ATATGGCCCGAAATGGCAAAGTTAGCAACCTTGTTGCTGGTGGACTGGACATTCCAATAGATGAGGATGAGGACTCAAAGTTAATTCTAGAAATTATAAGAAGGAACCTTCAAAAGAAAAGAAAACGAAGGTAAATATATATCCTTTATAAATGTAGCAAACCTCATTAATCTGCCATCAATTCTCCACCTAAATTCTGGCATTTCAAAAAATTTTGGAAATATATCATGGTAATTTTACAAATGAATTGTTCACAATATTAAAACAAAGAGATTTTAGAAAAATTATTGTCAAGATGTATCAAGTTGACCCTTTCAGATTTTCATATTGGCATCAGTGGGAAACATCATATTATTTTCCTTTAAAAAGATATGCCATATTTCTTTTATGCGCAATATATTTCAGTATAAGTTCCAAATATTTATGATGAATAATTTGGTATTCATTGATAAAAATGTCACAGGAATTAATGTTTTGATAAAATTCAACTGATCTTCAAGAACTGGAGATTTCTAATACTTTAATAATGAAACAGTTCTAAGGGAGATAATGCTAACAAAAATCATGGATGGGAAGTGTTAATGAAGTACAAACTGATCCAAAGAAACACTGAAACATCAAATTTCTATCATGCTTGTATTAATGTTTACCCAAAAATTTACTCAAAAAATTCATTTTTCAGTGAAGCTACTGCTGAGACCAAAGCAATTGTCCCTGCACCTGTTCTTGCACCTGTTCCTGTCCCTGCTCCTGCCCCCAAGCTTGTATCCCCACCTCCCGGCTTTGGGCCAACCCCATGCAAGAAAAACAAAGGCGATACCAGCATGACTAGCATTGTGTGCTACAAAAATCAACAAAAAGTGACATCGAGCATTGTAACAAGGTACAGAAACATTTATAAAGAAAATCTTTCTGGTAGAATAAGTCTGACAATGCTGGAGATACTCTTAGAGAACACCAAAGAAGTTGTTAAATGTGTTTACCCATTTGATTTATTTCATACAGGAATGTGGTAATGTAAAATAAAAAAGCTTACTTCTGTTCAAAGTAAAATATATTTATTTTCATTTAAAAATACTGGAGAAGAGGTCATTTTAAACAATGTCTATGTTCTTTTTTTGTTGAAGATATCATCCAAAGCTTCCTTCCCTATTCTACACTTCCGATCTGTGTCCAAAATCATCTCCATTCAGCCTGTATGGATATGTGGCAACAGACGATATGCCAAAAACCATGGTAGATGTAAAAATTCCAATTGTGCCAAACACTGACGTTATTCTTAAGAGGCGAGGAAATAGACAGCTCCATATCCTTGGAAATGGTAGCTTTGGCTACGTATACTTGGCAATTCATACCAAAAATCCACTTGCTAGCATCTGTGTGAAAGATTTTGATCCCAACAGTTCTTCTAAATTTGACATTTACCAGGAGACCCAAACTCTATTGTATCTTCAGAGCACACAATTTGTTCCAAAATGTTACGGACTGATGGATTCTCCAATTAATCCTATGCTGGATTCCTTTGCTCTTGTCCAGGAGTGCTTTGCAGGAGGATGTACCTTGAAATACTTGATTGACAACCCTCCAGTTACCTTTGGAAAGTGGCAATGGATCTGCATAGTGTACCAGCTTTTTCATGGACTGGATATGATTCACAACAAACATGTCCTTATCAATGATATTAAGACTGATAATGTCTTGGTTGATGTGAAGAAGCATGAACTCTCTAATATCAGGTGAATAGCCCTTATGTATTCAGTTCTATGGTCTAGTTAAGAATGCATTTAAAGAAACTTTTCATTTTGTGCTTCAGATTAAATTTCCTTAGATTAATTAACCTTGCTTGCATTACTAACAATATCATTTCAAGAAAAAATTGTGCATAATCCTAACCTTTCAAACATCTTAAATTGTGTTCATACCAATTAGGTTTCATTTGTAATTATTTGAATTTCATTTTGTCTTTGATTTTATTTAGTTGATAATGGTAATTTGTTATAATTGTTTACCTGTTTAAACCTTTTAGAACATGTATGATTTAAGTAGTAATAGTAATTTTTTTTTTCTAGATACATCGACCTTGGACTAGCATCATTCCGATGTGGACACAGATTCAATGCTAACCCTGAATACATGGCCCAGTTTTTGCACATAGCACCAGAAGTTCGTAACGGTAACTACTCAACCCCAGCTTCAGATGTCTACAGCGTTGGTGTTATTGTCAACCAGATATACTCTGCCTTCTATATCAGGGAACTAGAACCAATTTTGTACATGGCCATGCACAAAAACCCTGCCAAAAGAGAATGGTGTGAACACATAGTGCAGAAGCTGGAAAAAATTCTCTACCTTTGAGGAAATTTTACAAACTGTTATAGCAGCAGCGAGAGGATAAAATTGCATGTAGAAAAATTACTACAGTTAAAAGAACCATTGATTTTTAAAATGTTGAAGAAAGACTATTACTGCTGAGAGTCTACTTCATTCTATTCTATTATTATATTAGGTTAGGAAGGAATGCAACATAGCAGCTTGCTGTGATATATTTATACATTTTAATTTTTTTAAAAGAATCCAAGTAGATGTTTTTTTTTTCTAATTTGTATTCTATTTTCAGTTACACCAAAAACTCTGACTGTGATAAATAAATATATATTACACATTTACTTTATATTCATATAACAGATATACATGATTTCTTTTTTGTTAAGTTTGCATGTACTTTACATATATCAGCTGTAATTTTTACCCACATTTTCTTACATGTTATACTCAACAATTCCATTATTTATTTCAAAATTTTACACCTTTTATAATCCAGAAAAAATAATTCCCCTTCTAAGTAACATCTGATTGATATTTAAGCACATTCTTTCCACATGTTAACAATATTTCAGATTGATGATTATTAAGTAAAACCTCCCAATACCATCATCATTTACAATCTTTTGGCATTAGTCAAAAGCATTGTATGGAATTGTATGGAATGAGGTTTTACTGTGTAATATTTCATCTGCAATATTTCTTGAAATAGTCAGCGTTGTTCATTTTTATAAGCAAAATGTGATTATTTTTAGATACATATTTTAACAAAGCAATAGCAATGTTTTATATTTTTTCTGGTAGATTTAAGAAACATACACTTGAATACTTTTCTCAAATGTCCTAATAAATATTCAGGTTTTGATATACATATATAGGTGCTCTAACTGTGAATACTTTACATTTACAATACATACAACACAGTGGATTTTTTATAAAGATTTTTGCAGAAATTTGTCCATTTTTTTTTTCTTAAAACTTTTTTTACAATAATCTTTCAAAATTAAAGCAATCTCTAGTCAAAATGAAATTTGAATTTATTCGCACATATTAATTCTAAATTACCTTAATCAAATTATATTACATGTATTTTGAATTTAATAAAACTGTTGTTACGTTGATATTAGTCTTTTTAGTTTTTTGTTTACTGTCACAAATTTTCCATGTCATCTATGATCAACCAGACTTGTGAGGAAGTGTAGAACATAGAACAGACCTTTCATGATTGCAAAACTTGGCCACAGCAGATGTGCCCATAGACAGCTTATGAATTATTAGATGCATTTTAGCACACTAAAATGTACTATCAAGCTTGTTCCTCTGATCCTGGCCAGGTATTAACACTGTCTTGTAACTCCTATTTATTTGAACCTTTGCTATTCTTTTGATTCACTTTTACAAGTATCAGTAGGTTCCCATTCTGTTTGTGATATAATTCATTTCTGTTGAAATTTAGTGAATACCCATCACATTTGGTCTTTGTGCAATCAACGTATACATGATTTTAGAAGTGATACTCAGGATTTTCCATAAAAGCCATTCGCGGCCAATTTGACTGGCTACTTTGATCATTTGGCCGCCTACACCAATCCAGTTCTGTAATAATGTTCCGTACACGACTACACGTACACGGCAGGCCAGCCTCCTACTTTCACTACACAGCCTACTACTAACAAAATTATGGAAAACCCTGGATACTGTACTGGTCGTTGTTCGTAGTTTTCATGACTGGCGAGTTATTTCCATTTAAGCAATATGCAATATTGTGTGAACTTTACACAATAAACTTTTTATTTTGCTCCCACGACTGGTATAGAATCAGCTTTGTAGCTGACATCTCAATGTAACAAGTTGGGAAAGTCAAATACATTATTGCATGGTAATGCATTGTAATTGAAATCAGATATCTCATTTCACTTCCTTTTCTGTACCCTGTTACATTTATGTATTATTTAAAGTCTACAAAATTTAAAAGAAATTCATTGAAAACTAATGGATGTAATCTCAAACAAGATTTGAAAGCTAAACATTACAAGAGCAATGACTGTTCTAAGTTATGTTGAAACAAAATGAAATTGTGGGAAACAGTGATAATTGTTTTGATAATAATTAGCAAACCAAATTTCAAAAAGAAATTTTCAATATCAAAACAAGTTTGAGATACTGAAAAAACAAAGAAAAATAACTTCTCAAATAACTCTTCAAATCAAATGCCATTCTCAAAGACATCGCTCATGTTACGGTTATAAAAGGCTACCATGTTTAACAGGGATCAATTGAAAACTGAGATAATAGATATCCCCAAAAGATTTTAAAATTTGAAAGAAACAAGGGACAGAAGCACATCCAGTTTGAATCAAAATGTTGTTCAGGGAAACACAACTTCATGTCACAACAGTGAGAGCTGATCTTTAGACAAATTAAAATTTACAGACAGCAATGCCATAGCATAATATCTCCCATCAAAATTTTTAAAGACAAACGAACAGGATCATCTCATAAAAATTTAGTTATTGCCGGTAGTAAAAGGAGGAACACAAGTGTACAGGAACAATCATTGGTGAGCTACAGGGAATTACAGTATTGGTAAACCATGGAGTTGGAGTCTTTGATTAGATACATCATATTTTCTTATTTTGTCAGAGAAAAACTTTAAAAGTTACAACTACAACACAAAATACATATACAGATCATTTTATTGTCAGCAAGAAAGTATGGACGTGTATGTATTACATAATGTGATACATCTTATCCAAAACAAAACAAACACTTTAATAACTGTAATACTTTGATGTAGAAAAATCCAATTTCGCAATAATTGTATCATGTGACCAGTTTTGATGATGTCAGAAAGTAGAAACACAAATGTAAGACCTTTTTTTTTTTTTTTTACCTGTTTACATCTTTTCAAATAAAATAAAAAAACTATTCAACAATGCTAAAACAAGACTGTCTGGTTAAAATCTTAAAACACTTTCGTTAGAATAATGAATAATAGATCTTGCTCTCTGATCAGACTACAAACATGTAGCAATCAATTTAAAAGTGTTCAAATCAATGATAATTAAGAATTAAATAATATTAAAAACAGTATTTTAAAACTTGTATACATACATATATACCATTCCATGTTTTAAAGAAAGAATGTTTCTAAAATAAATCTAAAATACATACATACATGTTCCTAAATGCAATATGGACAATTTGAGAGACATGTATCTGTGTAATAGTATACAAGACAATAAAGAATATAGTAAATGAAGTAAAAAAAACGTTACAAAAAACTCAAATAGGCACAAACCGATCACACTGGCAATACCAACAATGTGGCAGCAATACAGATACCCCAACATAAAACAAAGTCTAAATATTCCAAGAAAAGTCTTTCTTTAAATAGGTTTACAGTAATTAAATTTGTCAGTTTATTTTTAAACACTGATTTCAGACAATCAATCTTGAATGTGAATAGTTGTTATTTAAATGACAAGTTTCTTCTGTATCCTAACATTATCTCCCTTTGACCAAGCAAATCTCTCCATCCATGTTGCTTGTACTGTAGGCTCACCTGGAATCTTCAACTACATAACTTTATTTAACAGTTTGTCTAATTAGACTATGAACAATTTCAATTCAAACTGATTATATCAATTTATATAATAGATATTATCATATTAAATACTTCCTATAAAATTGCCTTTTTTCCCCTCGTTTTCAGCTATGAAAATGAATATGACAATAACCAATCAGGATGAAAGTAAAGTTTACACTAATCAATTGAACACCAATTCCTTAGCACTTCATTTGGCTACCACTGCACAAATAAGACAGATATTTAAATACCTATATATAATGCCTGTAAACTGTCATTAAAAAATAAACCGCTGTTGATAGAATATACTGGTTGTATTAGAAATGCCACGTAAACTAAAAAATTCATAGATCTATTAACAATAATAACTGAATTTCATAAGAGTCACTGAGAATTTCTCTACCAAATCTTGATGTACAAATTATGTTCAAAATAAAGAAATAAATTCCTTTCTTCTTACTGCTTGAAAAGAGTTCACTCTCCTGTATTTGTAGATGGTCAATTTCACCATTCATTATTTGTAGGTGGGTGTTTCCAGTTGTGTTTGTAATTGACCGATTTTACCATACAGTGTTTGTAAGTGGTTACTTTCACCTTCTGTCTTTGTAGGTGGACCAATTCATCCTTCTGTGTATGTAGGTGGTCAGATATATTTATCTTAAAACTTGTAAGTATGACTTTCCACAAATACCCTATCATATATATTTTCCTGTTGAATAGAATTGTTCTATTGTGGTGAAAGTCTTCAGTCAACATCAACTAATATTACACAAAAATACCTTGGATTTAGTAAACACTGCAAACAAAAATATTTCTCATACGTAGCAAATACTAATTATGTTAAAGCATCAAATTAACACTGTTTCAAACATAGGTGTCAATAACAAAAAGCACAGGTAAATGGCTTGCAATTCTTATACATCTATACAGAATCCTCTGTCTATAGACAGTGTGAAGAAGATACTGCGATCCAGCTGTTTTTACTGTGTAAACTGAACCTGTTTCATTTCAACTCTTGCTTACACTGACAGAACATTGGACAAGGTTTTTGGGCACTTTTGACAGGTTTTACTGTTGTACAATGCATCGTTGTAATGTAAAAATTCATATATGTCAAGGATAAAACTCACACAAATCTAGTAGCTCAGTAGCCTGTACATCACACTATTTACACTTGATTCTCTAAAAATAAAAAGGACAATGAAGATGCACCATTAAGTACAATTTTTCCTTTTGCTGATCTTCTAATTTATCCACTGGAGCAAAGTTCTGGATTTTTTTCCCAATTATCAGGTGTTTGACTTCATCATACTTAATATGTGTTTATAGGTCTACTGTGTATAAAGACTCCAGAACTGCAATTAGTACAATAATATTTTTAGTGCAATATTTTCAGCATGAAAGAAAAGCTACCAGGTAAAATAAAATAGCTGCTAAAATATTGTTATTACAGTACTTGAAATTCTGATAATTAAGCAGTCAAACTTATCATTATCATACTTTAATAATCTCATTATGCATATAATTATAGAGTCAATACAGTAACAGTGATAATTAACAAATCATTATCTAATTAACGATGAACACAGAACAATAAACATTTATAAGTCAAACATAAAAGCTAGTCTTTAGTAATATTATAACCGCAGGTACAACTACAGTGTAGCTTGTTTCAAACTTTTTTATTTTTTCTATCAGCTTTGGGTTTCTGTATGCCTATTGAATGTCTGGCACAATTAACATTCTATAAAATAATCAAGATATTATACCTGCAAGAAACAATGAAAACAGGACTATTTATTCAGAATGTTGCAAAACACTTCCAAATAAATTACACCTATGAAAACACTTATCACGGCGATATTGATATTTGTAGAGAAATGTTCAGCAGATGATATATATATATATATATATATATATATAAATACTCAGCTATAGTCAGATCTGATGAAGTTGGACAAGAATAAGGCTGTTTAATTCCTCCACCTTCACTTTCAGTAATAACAGTGGTTTCTGAGCATAACAAAGATTTTACATTAGGTGAAGTGTTGTCTACAGGTACAACCATTTTTGAGTCCTATTTTATCTTTATACTCCCTAGACACCTGGAGAGGTCCGAGTTACATTCATTCTCTACAGCAACTTTGTATAACCAGTAAGGACACTTCAGCACATTTCATTCTATTGACAGTATTGTGATAACCATAAAATAAAGATTCTCAAGAGGTCAATTAACTGACCTCTAATTTCAGTACTATTTTGTTCAGAAAACCCTGTCTAGTAACACCTGTCTACAGTAGGCCATCTGTCTAGTAATATGTGGCATCAGCAGGCCACATGTCTAGTAAAACTTAAGTTTATAGTCCAAAGTAGGCCACCTGTCTAAAAACAACTTGTGTTTATAGTCCGAAGTAGGCCTCCTGTCTAAAAACAACTTGTGTTTATAGTCCGAAGTCGGCCTCCTGTCTAGTAAAACTTAAGTTTATAGTCCGAAGTAGGCCTCCTGTCTAAAAACAACTTGTGTTTATAGTCCGAAGTAGGCCTCCTGTCTGGTAAAACTTGTGTCTATAGTAAATAATACAAATGTTAAAATGAGCATATAGAGGTCACTCTCCTGGTGGAACCAGCATGTAGAGGTCACCTCCCTGGTAGAACCAGCATGTAGAGGTCACCTCCCTGGTAGAACCAGCATGTAGAGGTCACCTCCCTGGTAGAACCAGCATGTAGAGGTCACCTCCCTGGTAGAACCAGCATGTAGAAGTCACCTCCCTTGTAGAACCAGCATGCTTAGGTCACCTCCCTGGTAGAACCAGCATGTAGAGGTCACCTCCCTGGTAGAACCAGCATGCTTAGGTCACCTCCCTGGTAGAACCAGCATATAGAGGTCACCTCCCTGGTAGAACCAGCATGTAGAGGGTCACCTCCCTGGTAGAACCAGCATGTAGAGGTCACCTCCCTGGTAGAACCAGCATGTAGAGGTCACCTCCCTGGTAGAACCAGCATGTAGAAGTCACCTCCCTGGTAGAACCAGCATGTAGAGGTCACCTCCCTGGTAGAACCAGCATGTAGAGGGTCACCTCCCTGGTAGAACCAGCATGTAGAGGTCACCTCCCTGGTAGAACCAGCATGTAGAGGTCACCTCCCTGGTAGAACCAGCATGTAGAAGTCACCTCCCTGGTAGAACCAGCATGCTTAGGTCACCTCCCTGGTAGAACCAGCATGTAGAGGTCACCTCCTTGGTAGAACCAGCATGTAGAGGTCACCTCCCTGGTAGAACCAGCATGTAGAGGTCACCTCCCTGGTAGAACCAGCATGTAGAAGTCTACTCCCTTGTAGAACCAGCATGCTTAGGTCACCTCCCTGGTAGAACCAGCATGTAGAGGTCACCTCCCTGGTAGAACCAGCATGCTTAGGTCACCTCCCTGGTAGAACCAGCATATAGAGGTCACCTCCCTGGTAGAACCAGCATGTAGAGGTCACCTCCCTGGTAGAACCAGCATGTAGAGGTCACCTCCCTGGTAGAACCAGCATGTAGAGGTCACCTCCCTGGTAGAACCAGCATGCTTAGGTCACCTCCCTGGTAGAACCAGCATATAGAGGTCACCTTCCTGGTAGAACCAGCATGTATGTTTAAGGGCCCTCTTCAGCAAAACAACAGCAGAACAACTGATACTAATTAGACAGTGATGCACTGTATAGAGTTATCACTTGTCTCTTTTAAAGTAAGTACTTGATATAACTTTGTTAAAATATTCAGCCAATCTTCCTGCTTTTCAGTTATAATAAAAGAACAGTTAATGTTTTTCACAATATTTTTTGTTGGGTTCGATTCATTCATTCTTTTCATCTGTGTCTTCATCCTTGATCTTCCTGCGGATTCGTGAATATGGTCCAATCTCGGGGTCAGTGATGAAGTCATAGATGACCTTCACCCACGATTGATGGCATGGAAGGTTGTCATAATATTCTGGGGCTATCTTTTTGACCTGTAAGTACAGAAGATTTATATTATATTCACATATTGAAAGAGTGCATGTAGTTAAAACAAATGATTTTTCTCAATCTAAAGACATGACCCTTTCAAAATACTTTTACAGTACAAAGACAAGAAATGGTTACAAGGAACATCAGAATGTAAGAACATTATGTCAGCAGTGTTTTCTAGCTTGTGATGTCTAAGGGATAACATTTATTTAATCTGTTAAGATGAAATATGCCTGGATTACATTCATTCATAGGAAAGTGTGTCCAGTGGTCAATCGCAATTGTTAGATTATAGACTGGAGAACATGTCTACAAATGAGCTGTGTTCATACCTGTCCTCCCCATTTTACGTATGACTCACCCGTTATCAATATTGATAATGAAAGATGAACAAGAAAAGTCCTTCTGGTTTAACTATGTATTACCCTAGCAGTGTTGGCTCTTGCAGAGCAATGTCATTTGTCTTTGTCGAGTGTACGAGAATGTTCTGTGACTTGAGTTCACTATTACTTGTGGGACAACATACACAGTTTGCAACAGTTAAAAGCTAAAAACACAAGTGAGTATTTGCATGAAAGGAACTCATTTCAATTTCCAGCATGTCAAATATGCTAATTTCTTTATTGCTGTCGGCATCAAAAATTGAAGGTTTCAGCTGATGCCAGACAAGAATATCTATATATCTAGAATTTGAACAAGTTGATACATTAGACGTCAGGAGTAGGCACAACACGAAATCATGGATTGGACAGGAACTGCTTCGTGTTGCGCCTACTCCTGACGTATGACGGATCGCTTGGATCCAAAACGTGTTAACAACTCTCAGCACGAATAAATCGTGGATTGGACAGGAACTGCTTCGTGTTGTGCCTACTCCTGACGTCTATTCTACTTATTACTTATAGTGGGTACTCGGTATCCTTTCAGATCCACGGCTGTTCCCGGAAGGAGTTTCCTGATTTTAATGTTTGCGGGACGTTGTGTCTCCACCCCCAACCCCCCTGAATTTGATACATTATTTAAACCTATTAGTAGCGAAGGATGATCATGCAGAAACAAAACTGTATGTAAGTGTGTTTGTTCATATTGATTTGATAAAATCTCCATTATAATGTATAATAGATTAAGAACAGTTGGTTGTGTTATAAGGATGGCTGCTCTTGTGGTTTATGTGTGTGATGTCTTGGCTGACATTCTATCGATTCACTAATCCAGTAGTTCAGGAATAAACATGTTGACATAATGCTATTGACTTGAAATTCTTTGTAACTTTTAAATGCCCCTAGTTGACATCAGATAACATATGTACACCTGCATCAATCCTAACAGTACCGTGACAGATACTAAAACACTTGATATGTACTTCAGCATCTTGTATCTTCTGAAATTACTTGTACAAATAAAAAGCAATACATTTTGAATTTGAAAAATGATTATTTACTGAAGTGTGAAACCCTGTCTTGGATTAATAAAACATACACATTGCTCACACTTCATGGTCTTCATTACGTTATTGACTATAGACAACAAAATCAAATTCATCAAGATACATCCGGCTTTGTAAGGCCATACAATGTACCAATTTTTTAATCTATCTTTAATTATACTATCCTTTGAGACATTACATCACAGCTTGACACGCAAATCATCGCCAACAATGCAATAAAGAACTAGTGTATTGAGTATTATACAACCATTTGAGAAACTCTGGTAGGTTTCAACCAGGGAACAGACCCAAAAGCGCTTCCTCCGAGGAACCATTGCTTGACAAAAGCCATGGACATTGTCAAGGGAGAAATTAAAAAACAATAATTGTTCAGAAGGAATAGAAAAGATATCCTAAATTCAGTTGCCTCTATTGAATGGGGACAACATGTTCACTGATGATTATCTATGTAATTATGTAAGTACTTAACCAATAGAAATGCTGAATTCAAACAGGATCATGTAATAAATTACTACTAAAGGCCATTAAGATATGGACTGAATGTGTTGTTCTGTGGTCAAATGAAGAATTTATTTCAACCCTTATAGTACTTATGCCAATTCATATAACAATGAAATGATGTTTCAAGGTTTGCTTCTTGTACAACTGATTTATCATCTGTATGTGTTATTTTGGTTAATTTCTCAAACTCCAAGGCCATCTTAAAACAAAAAATTACCAGAAAAAAATACTTTAAAAAGATGTTACCGGTATTTTTTGAAAGTGATTGTTTAACAATGCCTTCCAGAAACTTATAAAATGACATCACTTTTAATTTTCAATCTGTCAGAAATACTGAAATACTTGGTGATATAAAATTGTACCATCAATGAGAAATCAATTCTTTTCTCAGATTTTATAAGCAAAACCGGTGTAAATATTACCTTAAAAATTGATCTTAATGAATTAATTTCCCAACTCTTGATAATAAATATGCTAAGTTAAAAAGAATATTACACAAGTATTTGTTTAGTTGAGAAAACACAAAGTAGAATTAAGAAATAAAGAAGAGACGCGCTGAGCAAAGCTGAATTAGACCAGCTTTTCGGGGATTAAAACACAAAACCACCACCTAATACTTTCTGAATTATATACCTAATACTGCTATTATTCACTGTATAGTCATTCACTATAAAACATGAACCATAAGTACATTTATCATAAAGGGTAAATCTGGCAGCCATTTCAGTTTTAGAAATCATTGATTGAATTATATAACTCTACTGGCAACATTTATAACAGAAAAAATCAAATAAAAACTAACTATCCAGCTGGAAAGAATCTTATCAAATCACCATTTATGGTTGAATTGATACAAAAGTTTTCGATCAACATCAGACACAATGTGAGGCGTGGTTGTGTTACATAACTCAACATAGTTTGACAAATGTCAACTCTTAAGTACTGGTTTGAGAATTTCCTTCCTCCTTCTAGCCCCCACTACCTGGTCATGTGCTTTAGCCTTCAAAACCCTGATCGATGATTAATCACAAGCAAAGCATATTAATCAAATCTGAATTCCAATAGAAGAACTATATCCGGCTATACATTTAAATATCTAAAGGTACTGACACTTAACATGCACAAGACATGTTACTGGCAGAGATTGGATACAATAAAAACACTGTTAAAGTAGACAATCCTAATACATGACCAGGTAGTGCAGTTATATAACTTTCCCCTTCCACTGGGGTTACCTGGGTTTGATTCCCTAATGGGTGGTCAGGTAGTGCAGTTATATCACTTTCCCCTTCCACTGGGGTTACCTGGGTTTGATTCCCTAATGGGTGGTCAGGTAGTGCAGTTATATAACTTTCCCCTTCCACTGGGGTTACCTTGGTTTGATTCCCTAATGGGTGGTCAGGTAGTGCAGTTATATCACTTTCCCCTTCCACTGGGGTTACCTGGGTTTGATTCCCTAATGGGTGGTCAGGTAGGGCAGTTATATCACTTTCCCCTTCCACTGGGGTTACCTTGGTTTGATTCCCTAATGGGTGGTCAGGTAGTGCAGTTATATCACTTTCCCCTTCCACTGGGGTTACCTGGGTTTGATTCTCTAATGGGTGGTCAGGTAGGGCAGTTATATCACTTTCCCGTAAACACAGAGACCAACATTTCAGAGGATTAAATCCTTTTTAAGTGAATATGATGTTTAAATCCTTGGGCTTAAATTGAAATCTGTCTATACATCACCTGTCCTCGCCTAACTCTCTACTGTACCAGTATTATGACCAGAGACCTGTTGGATCTGTATCACATATCTGGATATTTCAGCTTTCACTTTAAACATGTTAATTCACAATTCATATTGTACTTTTTCCCCAAAAAATGAAGGATCTTGAAGCTACAAACTGAATTTCTACAAAATACCTACAACCGAGCAGAAAAACAACAATGTTGATCTCTCAATACCTCACATTCCCATATCAGATCCTTTACCTACCTAAAATTGAGTCTCTTTCACCCAAGGATAATTGAAATAGAAATTGGTCAAAATACTTCAATTGGTTACATCTATCTACAGTATTGGGCCATGCCCCTCTGATCAAATTGGGACAGAATCTTGGCATTCCTGCAGAAGAAGGATTTTAAAGAATATTCACTATCTTTCCCCCGCCTTTCATGCCAATAGAGACCCAGATGAGACCCATCATTTCTATAAAGCTAATTCCCCTTCACCAAAGCATGCACCAGAAAAAAACTGAGACAGAATCGTGGCATTCCTGCTGTAGTTCCCCTATTGGGCTCCATCCCTACTGTTCCTGGGTCTGAGACCCAGCATTCCTATATAACTGATTTCTCTTCACCCAAGGATGTTTCAGTCCAAATTGGGACAGAATTTTGAAACTCCTTATGAAGAAGGATTATAAGGATTTTGCTCTAAATCCCTCATTTGGTCCTGCCCCTTCTGCCCTACGTGGCCAAGACCAATGCTTTATATAAAAGTTAACCAAAAGAAAAACTTGATTAAGAGAAAAAGTTGCTAGACAGGCAATGAATGACAGATGACAGATGCCACATCATGGCAAAAGTTTACAAGTTACATAAATGATCTAAAGAAATTGTTTCCAGTAAAGGCAATGGTAAACTTTATGTCCTTACAAGGTGCAACAGGGGACAGGACATGTCTCAATAAAGGCTTTAAAACTAAGAAAAAAATCAATTTAAATATTTTTGTTATTTTAACCATTTAGGGCTCAGCCCTTGGATTCCAAAGGCAAATGAAAACCTGATGTCACTAGGTCATTCTGATTCTTGAGGTCATATAACCTGAAAGGTAAATGCCAGACATTGAGATAGCTGGCAGCTGATATCTACAGACTTTCAGCCTTTCCACAAATTAAATTAAACAGGATATCCTTACCATTTTATTTATTCTTCCTTGTTTTACAAATAGGTAGCTGGAATTGATACTATAAAAGACTTATTATAATCTTTCTTTTACGGAGACAAATTTTAAATTATTTCTCTGAACTGATCATTTTCAGAGAAAACCAGGTTCACAATTGGCTGTAGGATCATTCAATGTATAGACAGATAAAGAGATCTACATAACTCACCAGTTATAAATATGTTTCAGGTACAATAGGTAACACTGCACCATTAGTTAACAACCTTGAAAAGCTCAAATGTATGTACCAGTTTTTATTTATGATTAATACATATAAAACGCTCGAAATCTTGTGGAAAAAAAATTTACTTATTATCCTCCCCACCATTTTTTCCTTTTTTTCAGGAAATTAGAATTTCAGATAAGATCAAAGTCAGAGTAATTTGGACTATTTAGATCTTTGTTATTTCTATGTACTAAGCAAATGAACCTCAAATCAGAGCGTGTGAACTCGATTACATATATGTGTCTACACTTTACATATACAGCAATATCATAATACAAATTTTAAATGAGAGTCACGCAGCTTACAAAAGCATTTCAGAATAATATGTTTTGTATTCCTTCTACTCTGATATAACAGAGAATAAGCTCAATTTTTTCCATGATATTGTTTTACCTTAACTTAAAAAGTACAAATAATTTTATCCCTGTGAATACAAACAGACCAATGAGGTAGTAGGTATAAAGTACAAATTCAAATGGACCAAGAAACCAATAACATTGCAAATGTAGAGATGAAAGTGAAGTAAGTACACAACAGGTACTGATACAAGCACAAAGTCATCATGACGAGTGGATATTTTAATGTCAACCATAAATGTTATAACCACTAGTATTTATTGTCCAGGAGTGGATTGATAGGGTTACTCTCTGTTTACTTGTATCTATTCAACTTTTGAACTTACCAGAAATAATTTCGTTCCCATCAAATATCAATGTCATATCATTCTAATATTTTGGAGACAGCACATTTTACAGTTCAAATGCCAAAAAGCCACACTACAACAGTTTTGATTATTAAATTTAAAATGTTATTACTATTGGAGATTTCTTTTGTGGTTTTTTCATAAAAAGCATTTTCACAAAAGACAAATAGCTGCTACAGAGAACTGAGTGCAGCCAGACATCCTCAAAATATCACCCATCTATATTTCCTTGTTACCATGAACAAGAAACCTTTAATGCACAATGTCAAGGTCAAAAAGACAGGTATCAAAAATTTACAAAAAGCCCTCTGTATATGCTACAAACCGTCTTATTGTGATAGTCTGCCTTCTCAAGATAATAACTAAGTACAGCGTGTTTGGTAAGGTGGTCATGAATTACCGGAATGTTTCATACAAAAACATTTCTGAGCCCAGACAATTTGACACCACCTACCACTAAAAAATTCCACACAATGAATTGTCAAGCGGTAAAATTTAATGTAAGAATGAATGGGAAAAGATTACATACAAGGCATACAAGGCCAGAACAGGATCTGCCAGTGTTCAACTAGACTATCTTTTGTCATCATAGCAAAATTATTACCACTCAACAGCATTTTAAAATCCAGGTCGCATGAAATCAAAACTGCATTCCTACTGCTTATAACTGTCTAAGTGTTTTCATTATAGTTTAATACAGGTATTTGCTACCACTGGCCTCCCATGTAAGACACAAATGTTTCATTAAACAAGGAAATCTATAGACATATAAGATAATCATTAAGATTAAGATCATTTAATTGTTATTTACCTCAATAATATCATTCATGTCAAATCATCATTTTAGATCCAGATCTCTACCTATTGGTTAAAAGATTTAAGCTTCATTCGATTTGAAAAGATGGTCTATACTCTTTACTCAGTAAATAGATGTGACTATCTTGTGTGAATCAGGTGCTATTTGTTTATTATTTTTTTTTCACTTAACATTTCTAGGTTGAAGGTTTTTGTTTAAATAAAGTGTGGTAGAGAGTCCAACATTCACTTATAGTGACAGGAAACTGATATTCTTTAAAAGAATACATGATTTGTTTCACAATCATCTCTAGTATTGTATATTTGTTTGCTGGGTTCATTGCCCTATGAATATATAGGGTCATGATGAGATGAGGTCTCCTTGTAGAACTTTTGACTACCTCACTGAACAACATATGGAAGGCCCATCACATGTCATTCAGAGCAGTTAGGGTAAAGTGTCTTGCCCAAGGATGCATGCAACTAAGCCAGCACAGCCCTGGCTGAAGGTTTCTCAGCTTCCTGAGAAACACAACCTGGCAGGGGTAAGGAGCATCAAGCTAGGTACCTCTGATCTTACCTGACGTTACATACCTTACCAAACTTACAGACAACCCATATACGGAATATGTTAACAAGTGGAACAAGAGGCCCAACTGGCTTGCATCGTTCATCTGGTATTCTTGCTTTTCTCAAATGAATAAGCATTGATGTTCTAAAAAGGTCTCTTTCAATTCTCTTTAAGTGGTGAACAAACTTTGAAACTCTAGCAAAGTTAAAACAATTTATGGACAGATGAAACAATCAGAAGGATTTAATCAATTTTATTCCCATGACCTTCATTAGGGGTCAAGGTCTTTTGTAAGATTTGTCAGGTATATCAAGAACCTACAAGCTTTGAACCAGGTGAGCTAAAATGACTGATAATGGACAGGGTGTGCTTTGGAAAAGGTATTAGATTTGGCAATAGTTATGGCTAGGTACATGTTTTGTATTATAGATAAGGTATAAATGCAATATATTTCCACTAATCAATACAATGAAGAGTTGCCTAGAAAGTATGCTATTTATTGATGCCACTGTTAAAATCCCTGCAATAAAGTCTCTTATCATGGTTCTCACATGTTACTTGTCTATCCTACAGACTAAAGGGAGATCTTAGTAAGATTTTCTAGACACATTTATATTGATTCTACTTTGGTGCTATCATAAAACTCTGGGCCAACTTTCAATGTATTTAAAATCTGGCAACTCCATTCTCTATCTAAAGTAGGCTTGACAGTTTCAAACTTACAATCAACACATATAGTAAATTGCAGATACATTCACATACATCCAAAAAGAGTAGAGCTCTTACTTAAAAGAAAATACTTTCTTAAGGAAACAAAACTCCCTTTTTCCACATACAAACAGCTTACAATCACTATTGTGGTATATAATTACATCACCATACTTCCGATTCTCTGGGCACCAGGATCATAGTACATTTTAACAATATCTGATGGCTACAGGTATAAACAGCACTGTTGTATCTTTATCACAATATTTCACCACTTGAACTGATGATAGCAGGTATCTTAAATTTGTATAAGATAGATAGGTCATTCATTGACCACAGGTCTGGTGGTCAATATGCAAATAATCATGAATTACAAGTAAATCTTTACTAACTCAACAGAATTGTAGCAAACATCATTTGTAACTGAAATTTCAGATGAAGTCATGTCACTATTTAACCCATCATCTGAATGAAACATGCATACATTTCGATACATAATTTCCATTGTAAGGAATGACATCATTAAACTTTCCCAAGATTTATAATCCTACAGAATTAAACCATGATTTGAAAAAAATATCAATTTTAAAGCAAAATCATGTATCATAATTTTCTTAAAGATTTTTAAAATCTTTAATCTAACACTTGCAGATGTTATCTATTAATCTAAAATATATGGGGAGGCAATTACCTTTTAGAAAGATAAAACACAGAGAAGAGGAAATCAGCAATACTTACCATTGGTAGTCTAGAGCCTGGGATACTAGGGAAGTCATGATGTTCATTATGGTAGCCCACGTTGAAGACTAAATAATTTAATGGCCCATAGTACGAATAAGTTTCCTGCCCTTTAATGAACATGTAGTGCTCGGATATAAAATGTCCTGACAGCGGATGAAGTCCTGTAGCAAGGAATGTACCAGCAATCAGGTATGTTAAAGCTTTGCCTCCAAGAAAGTAATATATGCAACAATCAAAGGTCACCTGGCATATAAAGTTCATGACCTCCAGGGTCAACACAGGTTGGGGGAGCACCACGAGAGGTCGAATAGAATAGAAGAATGGCTGAAGTATCATCCATATCAATTTACAGAATGTGTTGCAGAAAAATTGACCTTCAAATTCTGTTGGTATGTCAACATCTCTTCGCTCATCACCTTGGTAACGATGATGCTGGAGATGATATTTCTTGAATGACACTGACATTGGAACTCCCAGTGGTAGATTTGCGATCATACCAAGTATTCTGTTGGCTAATGGTCTGGAGTGGCCAAATGCTAAATTGTGAGCTATTTCATGAATGGCTAGAGTCATTGAATGGTTGATTGTGCCTCCAAGGACATATGCCAGAACAAGGATGACAGGCCAAGAAGCATCAGATACCATAATAGCCAGGATGATCTGGGCAAGCACCATGGCAACAACAATGTATTTCAAGTTGTGGTCACATCCCATCAGCTGCTTGATTTCTGGATACTTTGCTGGAAAGATTAAAAAAAAAAAATTCATTAATTTATACCTTAATGTGCTTATCTTTACAGCACTACTATAGTAAATTCATGTGTTACTGCAGCTAACGAAAATGATGACAAGTTTACAACTACCACAAAAATGTTTCACTTAACGTGGCAATTTCAGAAACCATTTTTTATTTATGTTTAGCTTTCATCTTCTTCATCATCCGTAACGAGGAAAGATTTGTGATGACAATTATACGCAGCAGACCCTACTCTGAATATTCAGAATGTATAAAAGGTCAAAATGAATACAACATGCACACAATATTTAGACTGAAACTTTGACAAGATAAAAGTAGGAGTCAGTGATCTGGAAAATCAAACTACTTCTCACACTTCCCATGTCATTCTTATACAGCTTGGCAGACTTACTAAAGATTAGAACAACAATGACTACATATGCACGCACGCAAAATCACAAGTGGCTCAGTCACCAGATGTAATCTAATACAACAGGAAAAAATGTTGTTTTTTTTTTAAATAAGAAGTAAATTTTGTTTGGAAAGCACAGTTCACAACCACAGTAAATCTACAAATGTGTTGAGATGTATGAGCACTTTGCTAAGCAGAAAATCATGCATGTACTTAAGTGTCCATCAGGATTTCTTTTAATACCTAACATAACACCTATAAGTACATTACAAAACCTCACCTGAGATAAAAGTGAATAAACAAAACACTTTGTGATTCAAAATTTTACGACAATTCAACATTACGTGACGCAAGACATACATGAATGTCTATTATACATGTAAGTATATGTACAGAAGTTTTAACAGCTTTTAACTAAATCACTGACATGAAGTTGTGGGAAAAGTTTTAGAGGTTTCTAGCTTGTTTGTGTTTCTTTGATTAAACATAATAAAACGTGACTATGTACATATATCTGTCATATGAACAGCGAGTGTTAAAACCATTAACAGTATTCTATGAGAGGAGGACATGAAGACAACAACACAGTTTTACATGGTGTATGCCGTAAACAATTAACTCCTTATTTTTTAAAAAGGATAATCTGCCCAAGTTGCAAAATTTCAAAACTTCAAAAATGGTGCACCAGTGGTATGAAAATGAAATCTTTTCTTTACTTACCATTCAAACTATAAATATTTTTTCATGAGCAGTAGGTAATGCTAATTGCTGTATCCAGTATGTACAGCACCAAGTTAACAAATACAAAATTAATCTCTACACAAACCAGATTAAAAAATGTCAAAAAATGTTAAACATCACTTTCTGGTCACCATGTAAGGACCCTTGAAATTTCTAATAATATTTCAAAAGATGTATGTAGGTTTATCACAGGACATGGACTTACAGCAATGTCTTCTGTGAATTACTCAGCTATATACAAAACATCCCTTTTTCCCAAGGGAAATGAAGCTACAATCAGGTAACTCTGATTAACAACACTATCAGGTTCTCACACCCAATCAATAATTGGCTCTGATATATCAAAGCACTTGCAATGTCACGTTTTTGTGAATAAGCACATATTATTTGCACTCATCTTATGAAAACTGGTCGATAATCAACAAACTCAAATATATGTCATATCTGGTCAGAAATTATTGTGAAAATGCTGCTACTGTAATTACAGAAGTTAATACCGAAAAATCTAATCCCAAGAGAAAATCACAACATAAAACACCTTTATACAATGTATATATAGTAATCACACTTCTCACCATTGTTAAAACATTTGTCAAGTACACTTTTCTATTGCTGTACTGATCATTCACTTAATTTCTAGTAAAAAAAATGGGCTGTGCATTGTTAACACATAAATCAAAACTGGGTAGTATCAAACCATCAAACAATAAACATCAGCAATTTTTTTATCACTATAGAGACGTACCCCTTAAGGTCAGTATGTAAATTCACATACAGTTTACAAAGACCAATGACACCTACCTGGTACTTTAATAAATTGTCCCATTAAAATTGGGATGTTGTATTACTGGCTCACTTTTTTTTGTTTTTTTTGTTTGTTATTGATCTGATTTGTCTGATTTGTAAATCAATGTTCAACTCAACATTAACATGTGTAATAGGAAGGAATACTGAAAAACACTCTGTCCACCATGGCCATGATGGTGTTTGAACTAGTGACCTTTGGGTTTCTAACTGGACACTCTACTACTTGATTAAAGGGAAATTCCCATTAAAACCTCCAACCCCTAAGATACTCAAGTTTGATATCTCCAAGAAAGCACCTCAATTTATCATTGGAGTGGTCAATGGCACAAAAATGTAGTAAAAACGAGTAGACAAAACCTGTTTAGCTTGAGATGTAGCTGATCTGACGATTTGGAAGTGTGCAGGCACAACATTAGTTATTTCACTGATGGGTCCAATAAGAATGACATTGAGTTTGTGCTGTAGAGATCTTGATCCTTACCAACAATCTTTTCTGGAGACTTCTTACTGGTATGTCTAGCAAGGATGACATAAAATTTGTGCATGGACTTGTTATATTTAATATATTCATAAAGTTTTCTGTAACAGTAACTAGTAATGACTACTTGTATGTAATTACTAAATGACGTTAACACAGGGATAAGAGACGTCATAGTGATAGGTGTAGATTAGGGTGTTCCCTATATCCCTTGCTTGGATACCATCCAGTATGCAGGGCAATTGAGGAATAGGGACTAACATCACAAGTATCAACCGCAACAAGCTCAGCATAAGTTGGTAGTAGGTTAATTAATCTTGTCGACCAATTTTTGCCCATACTATGGGTTTCATTGGTCCCGATGAAGCCCACGAAGTTTGGGCAAAATCAGTTGACAAGATCAATAAACCTACTACCAACTTACTTGCGTTATTACTAAATGACTATGTATCATGTACATAGTAAAGTGTATGGTAGACAAAGGTAAAAATCATCCTGATTTGAAAGTGAAAATAAACAGCGAATTTTCCTCAAAAAATCTAAGCAAAATGTAAACTTAAAGCAATGACATATTGCTTATATAAAACCCAAAAATGGTATTCTAATAAGTTAAATGTTATATACTGTACAAGTGCTTTTATACAGTCAAGACTTATTATCTCCATGTCCACGGAACTTTTCAAATCATAAAGTATTAGTTTATAGTGAGTTTGAATGTTTAGTTGGAAGGTTCGAGGTTCAAGTGTATTTACGTTTCAATTGCATACAATTTGCTATTAGACAACACTGATCTGTTAGATGTATTAAGGCCATATATTATATCTTCAGAGCATTGCTGTTTTGTAAATACAAAATTTCCACCATTGATTACTTATCTATTTATGACTTTGACACCCTATTGTAATTCAACCACAGGTAGTATGAAAACAAGAATCAATATCATGATAATATAACATCGTGCATAAGTACACCTAGGCCAACTTCAGTGGCTCTGATCCAAACTCTACGCCCCTATCTGGTTAGGGTCCAACACCCCAAACACCCTATAAATGATTAACCACACTGTAATATAATGTAGACATTGAGGTCAACTCTGTACATAATGAAAGTCTAATTAGTCTGAACCGTGAAAGGTAACTGAATATGATTTGGATCGATACACAGCATTTTATACACTATAGTCTTAAATTTGTGGGGACTGATAAAGCAGGAAGAGAAATTAGTCCAGGTTCTCTAGTTTAGTTATCTATAGCCCTGAGATCAATTTATTGTATGGTATTATTGTATTTTATCTATCAATCTAATCAATGAAACAGGAACTATTACAATTTGAAATTTCTCATAATCAAAGTCTTCAGTAAGGAAATGATGTACAGGATGGCACAAATTCTTACCACCACTGTCAGTAAATATTTCAAATACATGTATACCTTAAACTGGCAAATTGATGCCAACCTCCTGTAAAATACATTGTATTCTTTAAACAGATAAAAAAATTGCCTATAATCAAAGAAGATGCGGGTCTTCATTCTTAGAGTAATTTTAATGTTTCTAGCTTTTTAAAGCATGTATTCATTCAAGAGTTAACAAATTTGTAGATTGTCAACCAAACAAATGATTTTAACTTATGGATCAATCTATATCAGTTACAAAGACTAGCCTGAGTGTTATTGTTTCAATCTGCAGAGACCAACACTCATACACATGTATACACAAAGCGGTGTGTACTAAATGAGCCTTATACACCTTGATCCAGGTTTTAAAGTGAAGAAGCCTCTTAAATTCCCTAGTTCTGTAATTTGATCATGTTAACAAGAACAATGCATTTTGTAGACCCTAAAGATTGTGATAAAAGTTGGGCTAAAAAAAAACTTGAAAGACAATGAGACAAATATCCAATATAAAGAATATCAAGCATGTGATTTTCTGTAGATCCCTATGAACTTGCATAAGGATTCCAATAATTGGAAAATAAACAAACATGTGAGTGTGTCACATAACAATTTAGCTTATTTCCTTTTATTTAATATGTGTTAGTTATTGATAAAGAGGTTTCACAATAGCTCTGTCCATAGAGAGTTGGCCCATACAAACAACCTCAAGTGAAGATCCAATGCGTGAGAAGTGTGTGGTTTGAAACTCAAACTCCCTACCTATGAAGGTTGATGTTTCTCAGGAAGCTAATCTGTGCAGTCATGATCGTGTCAATGTGATGAGCCTCCTGTATATTGTTCATTAAGGTTGCTACAAGACAACCCTGACTAAAAATTACACAGCAAACAAGTGATTGATAAACCAACAAGGAATGTCAATTGAAGTATTAGCCACTAATGAAAAGTTATTTCATGTGGTGAAATTTCGTCCAGTCTTGCTGAGGAACTAGTCAACTGGCTATGGTTCAGATCTATATTACCCCATTTGATTCTTCAGTATTCAATGAGGTAATGACCATAACATCTATTACCTTATTTCTCTCATCAAGTCTTCCAACATTTAACATTTCAAGTCTATTAAAAAAATAGCAATAAAGAGAAACATTTCCTCCTGAATTTCTGATTTCCTTATTTGGATTATGTAGGTTTTCTCTAGAGAATTCATCTCTATGGTAGCATTACAATTCCTTGTTTATTGCCTAATGGTAGTGAAACTATCTGTTTTAGCACTTAATATATCCAGTAACACTCCAGGGAATCCAGCTGGCTTGTTATCAGTACAACACATGACAACTCGTCATGTTATTGTGTTCTGGATATGATACAGCCTTTAATTAAAATTGTACAGGTGTAATTTATTCATCTATGAATAACATTATCAAACAAACATATCTCTTTAGACAGTACATTCATACTGTTTATTTCATTAAGTGTTGATATTCTGTTATTAATGTATTATTAATCTTCAACATTAAATGAATAATGGCTGACGAATTAATGATCAGACACTAAAGGGTATAAAAAGAAAAGCATTCTGATACCAAACCAGGCATATTCTAATAAAATGAAGTTTCCTTTAAAATCACATTCTATTCTAAATATTACATGGCTACTTAATCAGTGTTGAATTTTCAAACTACACTTTCCCATACTTGGTCCTTTCAGAAAAACATTTTTACCACAGTGGCACTCAAAAGTTAAAAGTCAGTGCTCCAAACCTTCTCATTTTATTAGGTAATGTACATATGGATTTTTGAACATATTTTAATCCCTGTAACCTTGAAAGCATATCAAGACCATTTATATGAGGAAACTTAAAGTACAAAATCTTGGGTACCTATTGTCACATATATCCCCTTGGTATCCAGTGCAAATTAACAGTTTTTATAGAAGGTCATCTTCATGCACTAATGGAAGGTGGATGTTGCACCTCACAACAAGCTTGTGGCACTTAGTAAAAGTTTGGTGAAATGTGTCAGCTGAAGGATTGAGACAGGATCCTCAATTACTTATTGACTAAATTACGGCTGGTTCATTAAACCTATGACTATACTTTTAGAATTTATTATTAATAATTTTCAGTAGCTTGAACACTTAACAATGCTTATGCACTATGCAAAAATCCAATCAATTTTTTCTTTTTTATTACAGTTGAAAGCAACACAATGACAGATATTTGCATATTGTATTTACATAATGTGTTTTTCGTCAATAAAAAAAAGTAATGTCAGAAATATGGACAAATTTCTCAAAAATGCCCTGCAGCTGAATTCTAACAATGGAAGAGACAGCACTGCCAGCAGGTTGTTTACTCATCTATGTTCACAATGAATATTTATTGTCTAATTATGGTCAATTAAACTTCATACAGTACTGTATAATAACAAATGTGACAGAGTCATGCAACAATACTATCTAATACAGTATATGTAATCTGCCAAGGAGACCTTAGCTAAGTTGTATGAATGAGAATAAATTATGTTTCACAGTTGTAATTGAATTTTTCAAGCTCTTTAACAATGTCGCCAGAAATTTTCCTGTGATTAAATTGATTTGGTATCCACCCTAACCATTTGAGTCCTTTTTTTCAGGTTGGAAATGACAATAGAATAGAAGTTCTTATAATACAACCAGCAGAAGATTTGAGTGTGACGTTTCAATGACTAGTCACCTTCACCTGATGAAGAGTGCATTTTGCAGCAAAATACACCATCTTGTTATGCTTCATTTAATATATTCAAAAGATTTGCTCATAAAAGAATGATGTAAGTGCATTGTATAAATTATCATGGCACAAAGAAAACAAGGTTCAGACATTATCTTGACATACATCACAAAGTAAAAAGATAAGGGGTCACGATAGCTCAGTCAGTTGAGCATTGTAACTATGTAACGGCAAGATCTGAGGTGTGTGGTTTGACATTACACATGGTCATTTGTACTCCTCAGGAAGCTGGGAAATAGACTAATCTGTGCTGACATGGTTGTGTCCTTGGGCAAAACACTACCATGGGTCTCCTGTATGTTGTTCAGTGAGTTAGCTACCCACTGCTACAATGAGACCCTGTCTCAGCTGACAATGGGCCGATAAAACCCAACAAACAAATACAGTAAACAGACAACATCACTTTTAAGGCAGCATCACTATATATATATTTTCTAATATAGCACATATACTTTAACATCACTACCACCATATGTAAAAATTGCACTCAAATTTCAATGAAGAAAATTAAATCACATTGTAATTCTAATAATGCTGTGTGCTCTCACAATGTTAGACTTTGCCTCCTATCCAAGAAATTTTCTTTTCACGTTTACACACATCACCTGATCTTGACCTAGCCCCGATTCCTGTCTAACAAAGTTTTGTTAGTCTAACAGATCTGAATGAAAGCATATCGAAAAAAAAGGGAGGTATAAAAGTACATGAAATTTAAAACATATAAATACCGAAGGAATTTATTTCTACCATGATAGAACTATGATAATACTTAATAGACAAATTATGTTGAAAATAATTACATGTATGTGTGGATATGTTGTCTTAAGCTAACAACATGAAATGCGGTAGTCTCAGGTCTCCTGTTATCCATGAGCAAGCTATCTAGCTACATTATCTACCTGAAGTTCTTTAATCACATGTACACCTGTAAGCCAGAGACAGACAAGGCTTACTGATGAATTGGTGACACTGTTTCCCCAAGGGCAAATACATGACCTTGGGAAATACAACATCAAATCCCTAACAGGCAATTTTGCCCCAACAAAACAAAACCAGTATTTTTAACCTTGACCTCCAGTATGAAATTCACATGAGCATAGTGGATGAACTACCATACTATATGTGTAAATATGTTTACAATCTTTTACTTTAAATGGTGTGACCTTTGACCTTGAACCATGATCACCATAATGCATTAAGTAAATACATATACTTTCAGACTGGTGAAAATATTTTACATATGTAGTATGACTACTAATCAATCAAAAATTCTAAAAATACTAGAAAATGACTCTACACTCCTATGTTTATATGTATCATTATTTAATGATTTGCAGAAGTTGTCATATGTTACTTTTAACCCTGTAACCTTGACCGGCGACCTAATGTGAATCAATATGAATCAAATCTGTTGAGAAGTTCTAAAGATAGGATATCAATTCTGTATGATATGTGATGAACTATTATGCAATGGGTTACAATGAAATAAATTCACAAATGTGAAAACAAACAAAACCGGAAGCTGAAGAAACATTTTTTATAGTTTTGGAAGTTCAGAAAGTTTCTTATCAACCAGTCAATGGATTCCAACAGGTAGCTTTGAGAATTAAGACATTTTGGTTACTGATCTTTCAGGGTTAAAATTGACCTACTTAAAATACCATACTATCTTTGTACATGCATGGATTAGATACTATTTGGGTTGTTATTCTCACACTTCAGTGAGTTTTACAGAACATGTGACGACTTATTCTGAAGTATTAAAATAATCTGCAATGGTTTTCAAATAGTTAATCTCTTTTTGCTTTGTTTTAACCTGGCGTTTTAAATACACAGTGTTAGTATAGCCTTTCTGTGTATTGTGTCCACACGACAAACCCAGCTACAAAACCTTTAATCTTACCAGTAAATATACCCTGGACGGATAAAATGCAGTGCAAACACTCACAGAAAGAAACATATTGTAAAATCATAGACTAACAAATGACTGGTAATTATTTTATTTATTTATATATCAATAAATTTTAAAGTTTTCATATCCTTCCTGCCTTCAGTTTGGCTAAGTATTACATGCATAAATAAAAAAAGTAAAGAATGTTTTGTGCTGAGATAAAGCAATACTGGTCAACTTCAGATAATGATATACTTTAATCCTAAGACAACAAATTTATGGTGCCTTTGGATATCAATGTGTCAAAATATAACTTGTTTATAATCTATAATTTATAAATTATATAGGATCATGAAACTTAAGGACATCTTATTATAAATTATTACATATAAAGAATATCTGTAAGTTCACCAATAATTTAATATTTACATAAGAGCAATGCACCATCATGTTAATGATAACATCTCACTGTAATTTGTAATTTTTGTCTTAACCCAGTTACGTGACTCACTAATTACCCTTAAAGCCTAACCTCATTTCATTATCACCAACAGCATACTCAAGGTAAAAATGAGGTGGGATTATTGTGGGAGAAGTTTTTATCAGCTACTTTCTGCTGTCGGAAGAAGGGATAAAATTCCTAGACTATAAATATTAAAGTATCCGGGAAGGTATATGCTCTTATACCTGGGAAGGTTTCAAGAAGGCTAGCTGAGTTCTGAGTATTTAACAGAATATCAGGCCAAACAAAATCATTTTTTGTTACACTTCCTTCCTGTTAACTTTTTAAAAAACTTACGATGGGTAGATTTGTAGCAATCTTATTTTGAAAATATTTTGATAATGATCAATGAGTGGTGTAAGTGCTACCACAAAATTGTCATGAAAATCGTCTGTGAAAATAAATTAGGAAAATTATGCTTAAGCACCATAAAAATAGCTTCTTAAATTTTCATTATTGGCCTTATTCTTATGTTCTGAAATGCTTTGAAAACATATTTATCTACATATGATGATCTAAAAAATTGACCCTGTAATCTTTTATAAACTTTGTAATGTTTTTTATGCAACATATGCACAATGAGCCCAATATATTTGCTAAAAATGGTAGCAGTGTCCTCAAACTATTCTTTTCATGCCTTTAAGCTAGGATAGTAATAATCATAATAAGTGTTAGTGAAATTATAACGAGCATATCAGCAAGCTGCAGTTTTCCTACTAATGTGACAATGAAGATATGTAACCAATTTCTTCTTAACTTCAATAACTTTGATTACTATTGTCTTATTTTGATGCTGAGATTGTTTGCTACTATCATCTCTGCGGAACATTTTGAATAAAAATTTGGCAGACAGGAAATGACATTCATACTGGTGGAAATAACAAGGATCATGAGGATGGGCACATGTGTAACTTACAGGGTAAAAGGATGCTACTGCATCTCCATCAAAAAATGACATATGACTTACCAAGAATTTCTTTCCTCCTTGTTGCATGCGGCTCCTCTGTATAAACCCATTCATAATCAGTTCTTGAAACGTGTCCTCCCATTTTGTATGTACAATAAAACTCCCTTTTCCCACTACATAAAATCGTACGACATCAGCGGTCTGATGTCTGATTCAGTACTGCCGGTGTGGTGTTGTACACATGTGTGTGTGTCAGATTGTAATAAGGTGATGTGACGTCATTATTTGCATATTCATAAGGTCACGTGACTACTGAGTAACTACGGCCCTCGATCGACCCCCAGCAAACACACATCCCCGCCATTGAAGAGCGGCCATATTGAAGGAGAAATCAACATGGCGTCCGTCATAGGTTCTGAAGTGGAAATACAGGAGGTGGAAGTTGAATCCATCCCTGTGGAGATGCCAATAGAGACAGTTGAGACAACAGATGAGACAGTGGAAGTACAACCCATGATAGCTCTCCAACCGCTTCCAGACGCTCAAGAAGAGATTATTCTTCAAACTAGAGAGGAAGTTGTAGGTGATCCCAACCTCGTGTATGTTGGTGATGTTGATCACATACCAGTCCCTGCACCTGAAATAGAAATATCCACAGAGGAAACACCAACGTTTAGGAGAGGAAAAGGAGGGAAGAGAAAAGGGGCTAAAGGTCGCGGTCTTATCCCTGCTGGTCTAGGCGCAGAACTAAACTTTGATGTTCCAACGTCAACTAAAAAATGGGAACAAAAGCAAGTTCAGATAAAGACTCTGGAAGGAGAGTTTTCTGTGACAATGTGGGCTTCTGGTTAGTTTTACTTGTTTTTAAATGGATAAATGTTCAAACAGGAATATTATTGGTTAATTCTGTGGTGTCTAAAGGTAAGTATATGGCAATAACTTGGGCAAAAGTTGAGGCTTGATCGAGTCGACATAATTTTCTTCTATAAAAAGGTCACTACATACATATGACGTCAGTCAGTCGTCGTGGCACGTTTCACAAGTGATAATTATTCAGTATGTAACTTTAGATGAGCCGTGTTGTTACTTTGCATGCTCTGAACACTAATTTTCTGGGTTTGTTTTGGTTTTGATGTCGGCCATCATGAAACTCATGGGCGCCGCCATATTATAAGAATATGGCGGTGATTTAGCAATGGCGGCCGGCCGCCATTTTTCTGCATTACTTGAAGAAAAAACCTTGCTTCTGTCTCACATTTTAATGTTATGTACATATAAATATATTGTATAACACCGCAAGGAATTCTTTCTTGTCACTGTATGGAGATACTGTCTGAGAAATTCATATTTGATACAGACGGACTGTTTTCATTTCATGTTTTTGAATGACCTTGTTGGGCATGTATTACAACATGGCTTCCCTGTCGGCCAACTTTGCTTTGTTTAGCAGGCGAGTGACGTAGTTGGTCGACCTTGGTGGTTTATTGGCAGGTCGCCGCGATAGCTAAGATCGAATTTGCAAGTGTATTACGCATGGTTTTGCACACATACAAAGTTTGTGCTTCTAGATTTTATATTCCCGTATGAAAAATAAAGAGAAATGAACGCCAGAGCTATGTTTGTCGAAACCCAAACATCCAGCGTGGAGAATTCGGTCTCCGCTTAGGTTGATGTGTGTAATTTATAAGGCATATGTCTTGTGCGTAAAATGTATGCACAAACAAAATATCACGGACTTGCGAATATGTAAAGGGCTCTAATTGAATTAAATTGATGATATTTTGGACTTTTTCCATTTATACAGGCAGTCATACAATATCACTTTATGTAGACTCCTTCACATGACATTCAAGTCCTTTTTTTCTTTTTATTACTTTTTTTTTCTATATCTAAGATAATCTTGCCATAAAATTTGCAGCTCATAACAAACCAGTTTTGCCAGTACCTGTTTTTAAGTGAAAACTTCTTTTAAAATATTTACCATCCTCTGAAACTAAAAATATTTTTAATTTTCTGAGATTTACAGGTGTATGTGTCTTTCTAAATTTGGACTTATTAGTTTTAATTTCTTAGTGATTCATTCATTGATTCATTAGAGCATATGTTCATATGATTGGGGATAGGACACTTTTTAACCACAAGTTTGTCCTCTTTTCGACAATTCTAGATAATTCTATTGTATAATATGCTAGCAGTCTCTCTGTTTATGTATATAAATATATAAGAAAATAAGATAAAACTATTACATGGATCATGGTACAAATATTAATTTTTGAGATCCAGGTCTAAGCTAAAAACAAAGTAAGAATGCAGAAAATCAATCTCTTGAGAAATAGATTTACTCGCATATTTTTTGTATGATCTGGTTGTTCATTTAGGAAGGAAACCTGAGTACATGGAGGAGTAGGGGACCCACAGATCCACAAGGTTTTGGAAGTTATGCCCAAACCTTTTCATATCCAAAATAATTTAAACCTAGTCACCTAGGTGATAGATGAATGTGTTGTCACTGCATCACAAAGCCACCCAATATTGGATTCTATTTGATTTGACCAACACTTACTAGTATGTTGCAACAGTTTTTATGCAGAAAACATCACTATGGACTAATCACCTTACTGTATTGGCCTGATAAAGAACCATATTGGATTTTTTTGTTTATTTATTCTTTTATAAAATGAAACATTTTAAATGAAAATTGTAAAAGTCTTGTAAAAATAATTTAAATTGTTCAAATTAATAGAATATAGTGACCCTGAAATTAAGTTATCTTTACAAACATTATTTTTAGCCCACCGTCTGTCAAATTGCCCTAGTATGCGCTCCTCTGTCCAAAAACAGTTTTTGTTATCGCTATTTCTTGAGAAGAACTGAATGTCTCTTTCTCAAATATCATGTACACTTCCCTTGGTCTCTAATTGTGCCAATCAAACATTTTTGGGACTGATCAGAAAAGCAGAATGAGCGACAAGTGGCCATTATGGATTTTGACTTTGAAAGTTTGTTATCACCATTTCTTGAGAAGTACACGAGGATCTCTCAAAAATCATGTGAAGGTTTCCTTTTGTCCCCAGTTGTGCCAATTTGATTTTGGAACTTACCAGAAAAACAAATTGGCCTACATGTGGCAATCTTCGATTTTCACTTTGAAAGTTTTTTGTTAACACTATTTCTGGAGAATTAATGCATAATTTCAAGTGAGGTGCCCTTTGGTCCCTGGTTGCTCCATTTGCTTTTGGGTCTGATCAGAAAAGCAAAATGGCTGAAAGACGCCCATCATGGATTTTGACTAAGAAAGTGTGTTATTGTTAATTCTTGGGGACTACAGCATTTCTCAAATTTCATGTGTATGTTTCCCTTGGTCCCTAGTTTTGCCTGTTTGATTTTTGTACTGTTCAGAAAAACAAAATGGCCAACAGGCGGTCATCTTGGATTTTGATTTTGAAAGTTTGTTATTGGATGTTCTTGAGAAATACTACATAGATACTTATCTAATTTCATGTGTAGATTCTTCTAGGAACTTTTACCGTATTGAAATCATATTACAATAAACTTCCAGAGTCAACATGCAAATTCTCGAGGTGAGATGACCTTATTGCAGGATGATAAAACAGCATTTTTAACCGAATGCCAATTGATGGGCTTATTTTCAGAAAAATCTAGTAGCACCTGAAATTTTATATGTAGAAAGTTAGGATTAAATGTCTACTTGGCGTATTGATTGCTGGCCGTAATTGATAAATTGTAAAACATCTGAGTTCATTGTTTTGTTATTTCATTTTCGTTATGCTTTCCATGCTGTAGAGAACTACAGAATAATTAAACAACCTCTTCAACTACAAAATAAGAAGGAGGGAATATAATAATGATGTGAACACAATTGTTGGCATACTACTAAATATCTTAAATCTTAATGAAGTTAATTGTATGAACAAAAAGCTTGACAAAATCGACTGGTTTTCATAGATGGCTTTAAACAAAATGGCTTTCCAAGGTCAGATTCAAGTCAGGTTCTAGGTATCTATACCATTACAGTACCTGGGGGACAGAATTTTGGTGTGAATCACAAGTACAGATTTGTTAATGTTTCTCCATCATAGAAACATGTTTACATGGTACTTAGGATTTTAGCATGTATGTTTCAAACAATGATATACATCAGTGATCAGTAACTTTGTTTTTTACAGGTGGTGATGATAAAACAAAGCTGGAAGAAGATTCTGTTTCTGAAACAGATGCTGACTTCACAGAATACATGACAGGCAAAAAGCTTCCCCCAGGTGGTATACCAGGTCTGGATCTAAGTGATCCCAAACAGCTGGCAGAATTTGCCAGGTAATGCTGTTAGCAATTTACTGGCAATCTCAGTGCTTAAATGAATATGTTTTCTAGTAAATTTTTTAACTGAGATGCTATTCCTGTGATACTTGCTAAAGTTTTTGAGTACCCAGTATGTTTCCAAATAAGAAAAAAAAATTGAAATTATGTTCTGGGCTTGCCTGAAAAAAAAACTCTTTCATTATCATTATCATTTTCCCCATCTTTGTTAATTCTATATTTCTAGATAAATATCATTTAATGCTGTAAAGCATATTTCATAGGTTTATTGAAAAAAAACTGATATTTTCCTTAATCAGAAATGAGTGTTTGATAGAAATCAGATAAGTCCTTGATTTGTTTGCCATATTAATATTAAAGTGTACTGGCAATTCAGTTTTAACCCTAAAAGATACTCTAGTATATGCTTAAGATTGTCTAACCTCATCTTGCTCATCTAAGAATTACTTATTGATATTTAACAGATAATTTTTGACATCTTTATCATTGGTTTTATGATTTTTGCTTTTATTGAAATAGTTTCATTTTATCATTTGCAGTCTACAACCTAAAGACATGCAGCTGTTACAACACTCGAGGTAAGCAGATTGGATATCGATAAATTACGAGAGAAGAAAATCACACTCATAATCTAAACATTGTTTATATTCAGACAGTTTTCCTGTATCAAAAAATGTAGTAGGTTTTAAAAGCTGAATTTTAATATTGAATCATGACAACTCTACCAATTGTCATTATATTGCCTACAATTCTATTTTCTTTTCAGAATAAAGACAAGAAAAGCTGTGGATGATGTACCAAGAACTGTACCATGCCCACATAAGGTTTGTCTCTATGTAATTTGGTAGAATAAACAATGATGAAAACAAATTGCATTTGATATCAAAGATTCTTTTCAAGATGCCTTAGTTCTTACTGAAATGTTAGTGCAAAAAAGACTAATCAGAAAATTTTGCATTTGTAAATACTGTTTATAGTGCAATATTGAAGCCCTTACATAAGCTGAGTTTGTTTCACTTTGAAAGCAATTTATTACCAGTAAAGTTCATTTCTTGTTTCCAGGGCTGTAATAAAATGTTTCGGGACAATTCAGCAATGCGAAAACACCTACATACCCATGGTCCTAGAGTTCATGTTTGTGCTGAATGTGGAAAGGCATTTGTAGAAAGCTCAAAATTAAAACGGCATCAGTTGGTCCATACAGGGGAAAAGCCTTTTCAGGTAAGACAGCAAATAATTTCAAATAAAATTGCATCTGCTTTGCTTTTTATTTTTTTTTTTTTGAAGATTATGCAGTATTCACATGTTTGATCCATGTGTAATTTCAAAAAAAAAAATTCTTAACTCACACTACATGTTATAAAATGTAGTTTTGATACAGTATTCCCCCATTATACTGTCACTTTGTGTCCAGTTTGCATTTTGGTGGTATGTCAGGGTTTCAATAGGAATGCTGATGATACAACTCCAGTAGTAAAATGCACTTCTGTACAAAGGGAAAAAAATAATGACTACAATAACTTGGATAAATCAAGTATAATATCATTTTGAGATTCTAATTATTGTCATTCATTTTAAATTGTCAATTACATAAATACAATTAAAAGATTTTTAGAAAAGTTTTATACTTGCTTTCCAGCAGGATGCAAGGCATAGACATATACATTACATTGTAAAGTAATCTGTTCTGATCAGGACCAATCAGTAGTAAGGTTATCTTCCTGAAAAACTATATCCAAATTTGGAATGTGTGTAGTTGCTTCTAGCAGTTATCCCCCATTGTCTGTGTATGTTTAATCACTAAGCAGATTGAGATGACATACGACATGTTTTTCATCATGGCAAAATGAAAAACAAATTGGTAAAGGTTTTCTTGTAAGATACCATTTATTTTGAGACATGAACAATAGAAAGCTTTGTCGATGCCAGCATGGATAGTTTTACCAGTGTTGTTTACTTTAGGAGAAGCAGACAGATCTTAAGGCATGGTGAGATCAAATCATTTCTCTGAAAGAATAGCTATCACCGGCATTCAATGTTAATTTTTTGAAAGTTTTTGAAAGAATTTGTAAAATGATCAACTATTTTCTGTTGATGGCTAAATCCAATGATCACCTGTAACATGGTTGAAGTTCAGAAAAATTCTGAGATTTCTTCAGCAACAACATGCCATATCAAATTTAAAAACAACCACAAAACAAATTGTATGTTGGAGTTTGTATAGTCAGGGAAACCTATGTTACTTTCACAGTTGAATTCTACATGGTGATTTATTTAGCTTACTTGAGTAATACAATCTTTAAATATTATTGTTACTTCTACTCATCCATGTTTGCATAATGAATCTTTTTATTTTTCAGTGTACGTTTGAAGGCTGTGGAAAGAGATTTTCTTTGGATTTCAATTTAAGAACACATGTCCGTATCCACACTGGCGACCGACCCTATGTGTGTCCATTCGATGGCTGCAACAAGAAATTCGCACAATCCACAAACTTAAAGTCTCACATCTTGACACATGCAAAAGCAAAGTATGTACATGCTGTGTAATTTTTTTTGTTTGTTAAATAATCAGTTTTATTGTAAGCTTCTGAATTACATTATTCTTGACTGTTGCATGAGTCCAAAAGTTGAACATTTCATTGAATCCTACTAAAATATAAAAATCAATGATATGTGCTGTATTTTTGAAATTTTAATTATTTCAGGAATCAGACATACCAGTTGCCAACCACACAGTAAGTACCAGTACTTTTAAAGGGTTTAGTTTCACATTGGACAAAATCTAGACTTGATTTGATCCCAATAGCTGTCAAAATTGTCACATTTGAACCTAGAGAATATTGTAATTGTGATATTGTATATTTCAGTAAGTTTATGTCTTAATCATAACAGAAGTATAATGGAAAAAAAACAACCTTGTGGCTTTGTAGTTGAAATTAAATAACATGGAAATTTTTTGTGATTTTGATAGTAGTCTTGATGTCTATCCAGGCAATATATGTTGTTGTTTTTTTCCCTACAGAGAAACAATGCTTATCGGATACACATTTGAGGAACAATGAACTGTGACATGTATTACAGAATTTTGGAAATGTATGTGTTCTCGTGTTCTACAAATGACATGATTTTATCTTTGCATGTGAAGTGTTGAAATTTAGGGTATAAATTTTGCTGGTAGAAACAATGTTATTGGTCACAAGGTGTATTTGATGCATTAACTCTATATGGTTTCATTCTCTCAGTATTTTATACAATGTAATATCAGATAAATCACGTTATCTCTGAAGACAGCAAGGGTACACAAAAAATTCACTTTAATTCCGATGTTAAGAAATTCAAGATATTATGAAATGATGTCCATTTGAATTACAAGAAAACATTGGTAGTTTTGTTTGTAATATGATTTGTATTTCAAAATGTCATCTAAAGCAGTTTTGCTTTCTTTTACAGCAATTCTGGACCCTGTGGAATGTTAAAGGAAAGTGTCTTTCGTGAACATATTAACAGGTTTGATTTGACTGGATCTGTTTTACATGGACTTGGGGAAGATATATGTACTTGGTGAAGACTGGTTGGAACAAACATGTCCTGTCACTTTGTCTGAGGTCTTAGAGAGTGAAAAGATCATTTTCCTCTTTCCAACTATTCTAATGGATTTCCACATCCTAGACCTTCGTCATTGCCACAAATCCTGCAATATTTATAGTTGGACCTATCGTTGCAGAAAAAAACAGTTTTCAGAAAAGAAAGGAATTGACAATTATTTATAAAATAAGAAGAAACAAACTTTCTATGAAAACTGAAATATACTTGTATATATCTCTGAATGTAATTTCATTTGCATCAAAGATTTATGAGTCAATTTTGTCATATTTTCAAGTTGCTGATTCAGAAGGATTGTAACATCATTGGAGAGAGAGTGTATGAGTGAGAAAGGGATGTGTGATAGTGTCATTTGTGCACAACATTGAGTACAGATTTTAAAAAGTGCATTACTGGTAATGTTGTGAACATAGGGATCTTGAATAGTGCGAAAGATAGCAAATTTTATTTATTTTCAAGAAAACCTTGCTTTCCGTTTTAGCAAATAATTATTTCATGAGAACAAGTCTATGATTGTGATATTTTTATTGGAATTTCGTTATTTTGTGTAATAGGATATGCAACGAATTATAAAATGCAAGATGTGTACGCCTGTTCCAATATTTTACCATACTGTATGTCCTAGTGCTTAAAATCAACTGTTAAAATACTTACAACACTTGTACAGTGTGTTATTACCCGAAACGTTAATTGACAAAAAGCATTCAGTTCTATTTTAATTTCAGTTTTGAATTACTTTTATAACAAAACATTGAAAACATTGACTGCATAAAGCAAGTTGATCTTTTAAGCATTTAAAATCAAAATTATGTGTACAAAATTTTTTCTTGCACTGATATTTTTCCCCATTTTTCAGAATTCATCATATGAATATATTGTTGAATTTTCTTACAGCTTCAAGATCTTTTTGTTTTATTTTCCTGAATACATAAAACAGAGACCGACACAGTTGTGCCAGACATTAACTAAAGCTGGTATAATACCTTTCATTCTCAAATTTCATTATTTTGAAAAGCTATGTGTTAATTTATTGATATTCAAACACCACATCAATTAAGAATTCCAGGAGTAGGTATGACAATAATCCTTTGCTATTGTTAAAATATGAAAGTGGGATGGAAAATATTGTTCTATATCTGAATCTGCCAAATTTATGCATGCAACAAACTCTTTGTAAAAAAATTTCTTAAGAGTGAAAAACAATAATAAAGAAACTGAAAGTAATTTAATACTGTAGTTTTTTTTCCAGACAAATTACAGTGTACATCGATAATCAAATGTGAAATAGACAATGAATTGGGGAAGATGTTTTGCGTGTTGGAAGAACTGAAATTTTTTTCTTTGCATTTATATTAATATCAATTCGATACAAGATAAAGTAGATACAGATGGTTAAACATTGGATTCTTGAACCTTTCCCCTTGAAGAGCCATAAAGGAATCTTGTCATACCTAATTGTACTTGGTTTGACCCCTTTTCAGCTTTGTCTGACTCTTACATAAATACTTTGTCATCGTAAGGCATAACTTTGCCTTATATTGTAAGTCTGTAAATAAAAACTTACATACAATCATACTGATTTTGGTTTGATTTTCGTGCTAGGTATAAGTCCGTGGTTTGACATTTTGTCTGCTCTTGGACCCAAAACATGCTATCCTGATTTGGCTTATAAGCTTCATTTCTCTGCCAGTACAAGGACTAGGTTAGCCTTGCTGCAATTTTTAAGTATAAATTTTTAGGGGTTTTTGCACCAAATTGTTAACGTGTTATCTCAATGGAAACACATTTGATAGAGCTCTATCCATCAGACAGGCTTCTCCAGGAAACTGAAACTTTAAAACTATTTAACCTGATGTAAACAAAACTTTATATACATATTGGGTTTGTGACTTACCTGTAGGAAGAAATACTAAATTCATCGCTTGCAAGCTTTTTCAGCCTATAACTTGAAAACACATCTAAGGAAAGACAGATAATCTACGTCAACATATTAATTTAACTACAAGGGATATATATGATTGGATATTCATACTAACATTATTTGTGGATGTCAGTTTGCTGCTCCTTGTTTGCTTTTTACAGGGGAGGTGGGGGGCGCAGACATGTAACAGAAATTTGATTTTCAATATTATGGCAAATTTAATGTACCAGTAAGATTGAGCCGAATTTTAAGGAAGGACTCCCAGGATCCATTGATATAGCTAAGACATGTACATTACATATACCAAGACAAGCCTAAGAATGACGGCCAACTTTAGTTAATCCAAGTCCGTCCTATATAACAAAATTTCATTTCTTAGCATACAATGGTAATGTTTAGTGAAATTTTCATCCCATGGTTACAGTCACAGCACGAGTCAAAAGTCAGAAAACCATGGTTTTTGTCATTAATTCTGCATTAAGATATAGAGTAAAACACTTCATTTATAAGGCTTTTTGTGATACAATGTATAAACACAATGATCACAACTTCACTCAATTGTCCTTTTTAACAAAACACAAGTACAAGATGACGAGACTTACATTCTTCTATCTGATGAAGTTTCTAGAACATAGTAATTTGCTGTCAACTTGAATTGGGTCAGTTCTAAACTGATACCAAACTTTGTATAGATTTTAACTGATGTCAAACACTGTCTATCTGGCTGCATCCATGCGTTTGTCAGTTGAAATCATACGACAATTATAACCTTTGATGACCACACCTTCCCTTGACAGAAAACATAGAAATGGAAAAACTAAGCACAACTGTATCGTTATACTCTCACCACCTACAACAAAGTTAGTGGTGGAGGTATACTGGAATCCATTTGTCTCCTGTCTGTCTATCCCTCCATAGAAAATATTGTACTACCAACTCCTAAAATACTGAACAAAATGCTTTTATGAAACTACATAGGAATGTTACGGACAATATGTAGATATACAAGTGATATTTTAGCAAAAGTTTCAGTTGCCATGGTAAACAGGTCACTATATACAGGTTTTGATGTCATAGTCCATAGGTCATCAGAATTTGGATCAATTTTGATAAAACTAGTAGAAATGGTAGAAGTTATCAAAGCCTATAATTTGACACATGAAGTGTTTCCAACTATAATACTAAAATATAATGCAGGCTGTTGATTGGTCAAAATGTAGGTATTATCTAATTATTAAAAAAAAGATTGATAAATGTTTAAAAGAATGGTCATTATAATGGTGCCATTTTCTAAAATATTCTGTATTTATTGCTTGTCATGGTAACCAAATAAGACATGAATAGAGGGAACATGTCAAGACTTCTTCCAAACTTGGGTCCAATTTCAATGAAACTATTCAGAAATATTATGGCCATATATAGACGTAAATGCAAGTTTTGTTTGTATTGTTTTTTGTATTTTTTTTTTTTTTTTTTTGTCAAAAGCTTGATTGCCTTGTTAACCGGGTCACTGTATGTATTTGTGTAATTGTCAATATATTTTAAATTATATGGTAATGAGACATGGGGTTTGACAAAGGACAAGAGGTGACAGGGACATTTGATATGCTTAATCTAAGTTATATGATGCTAACAATGGGCCAGCCAGTTGGTCAATGCCACTGGTTCCTTTGAACATAATTGGTAAGATCAATCATAGAAATGCAAGTTACATAAGCGATTTGGACAAAATGATGGGAACCTTCCTTGATAATGCCCCATCAATAGATTGTTACTTTTTTATACTTCTACATTCCTTGGAGTATCGCTCTTTTTTAATTTCTTGATTCCATATCTCTATGTACAGGCACCGTTATCAACCAATCATAGCGAGCGCCTGTCAATTACTGTCTCCCTCTACCTAACAACCAGTGTGACCATCATGCCATACCTAAAAACCAGAGTGGTCACCCTGTCTTCCATTTTATAACATGAAATTGATGATGTACTTAATCATTTTAGTGATATCACTTACTAAATGAAATAAAATGTAAAACGGCACCAGATAGCAGTCCAGCTAGTCAAAATGTCACTTTGTATTAATTCTTTATGCTATCACACAACTTCCCTGACATCACTGCAGTAGCACCTATTCCAGTGTTAACTTTCCAGATGGTAGTAGCTAGGAAAAAATGGCGGCCTCAGGATACAATATGTTCACTGTAGAGAAAAATGTACATCGCTTGGACATTTTGGTTCTTATCTATAATTCAAGTATAAAGTGTTACCGAGATAATGAGAAATGTTTGACTGGTTTTGCTCAACGCCGACTGTCAGATTAATGTATGTAAGCACGCGAACTTGCTCATGCATATATATATATATCTGTTGTATATTGGTCAATACCTCTATAAGTTTAAAGCAACTCCATTACACATAAACGAGTTATCACACAAACTCTCCGTGGTACAATTCAGTCTTTCAATCAAAACTTATCTTCAATCACAAAATAGATTTGTTTTTCTGCAGCGAAACTCGATCATCTACGTTTCGCGAAATAACAATGTTCTTCGTTCTGAACGTCCATGTGAAGCAGGTAAATACCTCTTTATTTAAGAAAAAAATATCAGTCCCGTTCTCGATGTGCACTGGGAAAAAACTATTTGTCAAATGTTGTACGAGAAAATATTGATTTTAACATTGATTTGCCTTCCTACTCTTCGTAATTAAATGTAAAGTTTTTCCTTGAGAGCTCCGGAATTTATTTTGTGGCGCACAAAATCTTTTTGGATAAGTTTGAAATAGAACAATCGTTGTTTTTAGAAACGCGAAAAATCGCCTCAAGGCTTCAGGTTTGTAATACACGTTGTTATAAGTTGTACCGTTTTGTGTAATCACCACGATGTCTATCCCTATTTAAGCGTGCATGCTTTAATTACATCAGCAGAAACGTTTACCTTTTTATTCCATTTAAGTGATATCGTTTTAGATTATGCGATATCATCAAATCATTGTAGACATATTGCTTAATCGTTTAGCAATATCACTAAAATAGAATGAAAATTCAAACGACTTCCCTGGACTCCAGTCATAATGTTCTTTGTGCGTCTTTTGATGATGAGAATCGAATCGCCCTGCCACACAAACAATAAAGGGGTCTTTTTCCCTTTCATATGAATACCAAATTACCCAAACAAAGATGATAGCATTTTCTCAAAAATATGGCATCCGTTCCACAATCGTCCTTCGATCTATTAGATTTATCAATGTTTAACTTCATTCTGTGTCATCCTACCGATACTAGCACGCCAGCTCATAGGTAAATCTACTTTTAGTCCAGTATTAAAAGTCAACTATGCCAGGTAAAATCAGAAACGTATAATAGAGGGATTTGAGATTGCTTTTCTACTTTTCCTGTTTGTTTCGGATGCTAGAAAATGCATGTTTGTATCTATTTTGATATCTGTTTATTATGGTTGTCTCGATCCATGCTAATTATAACGTAGAAACTGAAATACTGTGCTTAAATGGAGTTAATTAGCCTTGCTGTGTTTATCTCACATTTCTCTGCGAAAGTTCCTAACTAATCTATTAAAAAAACAGTATTGTACAAATCTCAATTTTCAAATCGATCGCGCTAACTAACTTTTGTGACAAACACTTACCGTTAACTTTCGATGTTAAAAAAAAATAAACGCTTGTTTGAGCTATTCGCAACTGAAATATCGCCCTTTATTAAAGAAAGCAATTTGTTAATCCTTGGCACTAACATCTCAGTAATTTTCTGTTTGACCGATGTAACGTTTATGATTCGGCATTTTAATTCATTCGTATTATTTGTATTACGAAGAGGAGGTTCCCTTTTCACTGACCAATAAATTGGTTCTGGTCAGGCCGGTCAGTGCAAAGACAGCACATATTTCGAAGTGAATGGGGTACAGGTTTACAAACACAAAAGCTAACACTCTATGTTTGATCATGTTTGATTGAGAAGAATGAAACAATAACGAAATTTGGAAATTGGCCATTTATGTCATTTTTGATAGGACGGAGGGGGGGGGGATGCTGTCGAGGTATGATTGCCATGGGGCGTATAGCAATTATTATCTATGTCCAGGATAAATGTTAACTTAATGATGATGAACCAAGTGGTTAATAGGGCATTTTGAGGTGGCGTAGACAAACGCCTGAAATGAGCTGTGCACAGATTAAGGCAATATTGTGAGGAAAAAACACTTCATAAAAGGGCGGGACAGAGACACACGTTCATGGGAAGGGATAAATCATTTTAAATCTTACTCAGGTTACTCATTATCTCACTACATACTTACATACGTGTACGTACAAATGTGTGTGTACTGAAATGTATTTCCATTAAAGTATCTGGAGCATTCTGAACCCAGACAAAATGATATCAAAAATGAATGTCTCTGTTATAATCATGGCTGCATCGTACACTTCTCGTTAAATGTTCAACGTCAACATAGCAGATACGTTGTACATTTCTTCAATAATGCTTGAATGATCCGTCATTATTGTTTTATCTACTATAAGCAACGTCAACATAGCAGATACGTTGTACATTTCTTCAATAATGCTTGAATGATCCGTCATTATTGTTTTATCTACTATAAGCGAATCAGTCAGTATACAATCACACCAATGTTTATGAATGCCAGTCGTAAACTGTACATTTACGAACGAAATGTATAAAGATATAAGCTTATACAACAACAAAAATAAATGAATGAAGAAAAAAAATATGTGAAAGGGAAAAAATAATAACCAATGATTTGAAAAAAAACTTCAGTGATTGTTGATATTCACATACGGTGAACTATATTGTGGTTATAACTTTGCTGCTACGTGGAGATGTCGTTTATACATTATTTTTCATTTCGTTAATTACGTATGAAATCCTTTATTTCGAATTGATGAAATGTACTTTGACCAGAAAACAATTTAACTATTTACTATATATAAACAGCAGTCCGTCTTAATGACTCATCGATACGCGTACTTTGAGGTGGTGTTTACTCGTACAGCGATAGGATTAAAAGTTACATGAACTGAAATTATGTGCCATTTTCACATAGAAACGAAACAACTAATTTTAACTTCAAGTTTGTCAAAGTCATATCAATGCTTTGGAAAGTTACTATTCTTGATAGTCAGAGGCATACAGTTGGAGATTTATACAAAATAAAGTTTTTATTTCACAGTGAAGTTGTCAAAAGAATCGTTTTGTCAAACATTTGGCAAGACAAAGAATGAGATTTATATGTAAGTTTCATGAAAAAATGACAAAACTAATTTTCATCTAAAAATGAACAAAAAAAAAAAAAAAAAAACCACTCCGAGATATTTGTAATGAAGTCATGTTAAATTTACATTAACACTGACTAAAATATGATTAAACGTAGTACGTTCTTGTTAACCTTGTTCTCATATATATAATGAAATGTGACATTTTTAATGGATTGACCAAGAAAAAAGAGAAATACATGGCAATTGTTATCAATAAAGCGGAATGTCCTTAGCGTTCCGGAACACGTGGTCTTATTCTCCTATGTTCTGCTTTTTGCTGGATTTCTGTGTAAATCTTTGTTTTGTTCATATTTTGTTCAATCTATTTTTGTCAAATTAGTTTGAGTTCGATTTAAGATTTTGTGAACATGGTGGTATTTTCTAGTAGCTGTTAGAAACCGTCAAATAATCCAAACAAAATTGTTTTGGACTGGACAGTGAACCGTGGATGTTCGTTAATGAAGTCAATTGTAACCTAATGGTATATGCATAATTTATTTCGTTTTCAGACCTTACATGATAAATATATTGCATGTGTGGCCTGATTTATGGCTCAGATGCTACATTTGGAAGTGCCGACGAACCAGTTATTTCACATACACCAGAGGGTCTTAGAATGGATTAACCAAACTATAGTCCATCAATATGTATTATATCTTTGGAACGTAGGTTGGAAATCCGTGCCTTGATTTGCAACTTTTCCGGATTTCAAATAACCGTCAATCGTTTCCGAAGTTATACACTGAGAGTTGCTTCCTGTTCATTCTAAAGCCGCCATGTGAAACAGTGTTTTTAAATGTCAACGTATCTTGCCTCTTCATGGCGTACTCTCCAATTCTTTGTGGTAGATAATTAATACTTAGACTAACACAATGGCTGGAGAACATCGTAGATCAACCGTGGCGCAGTTCTTCGAGGAGGAAGATGATGCAGCACTGGAAAGCACATCTACATATGACAGGGTTTGTATTGTTTGTTTAATTAGTGAATTAATTTGCATTTGCAGGTTTAGATATATCTTTAAGATCTATGAAGTGAAGCCTACACTGGTTGGGAACTTCCTTTCGTTTGGATTATATACGGGGGGATTTGTACTACTGCAACTGCAACGCATAAATCGGTACATATACCATTAACCTCAACAGGTTCGACACAGCCCTTCATCGATGAGGTCGTGGAAAACAACTAATTTGCGTCTGATAAGTGTAGCATGCAGAAATCACCAAACTCCACTACGTTAGTTCTAGTTACCTTTATTCTGTGCAGTATTAGCTCCATTTCTCAATCACGAATACAAACAGGCATTTATCATGAAGGAAGGATTTGATGAGAGTCAATGCTTCCTATGTAGTATCTGTACATGTATGGTGTCTAAATAATATATCTTATTTTGTCCTGTTTGGAGGTAGATTATCTCCATGTAACCATAGTAAAATACTAGTCACAATATACCACTCCCCAGAGAGAACTTGAGAGAAATTGAATTTACAGAACATGTACTAATTGTCCACTGTCTGATCTGTAACTGCCATATTGATGACAATGAATTGGTTTAAACTGACTGCTTGAATCCAATTGTTCTAAACAATTGCAAATTTCCGTAATGAATATTTGACTGTATATATACATATGCGATCTTTACCAATAGCTTGATTTAAATCGTTATTTGATTGGGGTATGGGTTTGTTATTTATAATAGCAAAAATTGTTTAGACAGTAACTTAAGCAATGTATTATGAAAAGTTGCATTTTTACTGAAAGAAATTTACTGAATGCGCTGGTCACTTTGAAACTTGTTGTAACGGTTGCAGCCATAGTAATTGTACTATTGTAACAGAGACCATATATATAGGTTATACTGCATCTATTTTCAGTGTTTCCCCACATGCAAATGGACTATTATATATACCCATATATGGAGTTGTGTTCAACCTGGTCAAGTTTTAGAGATTATTTCAGTAACGGTATTAAAAGTTGTCAAATGACTGTCATTTAGGCATGCTTGAAGCAGAAATCATTAAAAAATGACATTGTCATCTGTATTTTGTATAACTTAAATAGCTTGTTCCGGGAACGTGAAGGTGTCATTTTATAACACCGTTTTTACAGAACCTGATGAATTAACCAATAAAGTAATTAAGATTATGTACCAAATCTCTGAAAGTTGAGAAGCTGCATCATTCAGCTCCTAACATTATGGACATTAGAAGCTTCTTAAATCAATATTTTTTGGAAGGTTTACAAATCACAATAAATGACTTGCTTAGTCCTGTTCAATTCAAAATAGTTCACAAGACTTGAATATTTCCGAAAAACAGCTCTAATCAAGTTTTTATAGACATTCTGCACCCAAACTGTACTACACCAAATGATTATATATATGGTTCAAAGTGGAATGATGAGTCAGAGGTCTCTTCTCTAGTACACTGGTCTTATCCGTTTTCAAAAAACATCGAGGTAACCTGTGATTTTCTTCATATACTTTCTTTGCAGGTTGTTGATCTTATCAACAAGGCTTCTTTGATGCAGAAGGATGCCCAGAAAATAAACAATCTGAAACAGGTTGGTATTCTTACAATTTGTCATACAATACATGTACTTGCTCCAGTCACATTGAACCATGATTAGTTACCTTTTGTATTATAAAAGTTTAATAATTGATTGCAATCAATATCAATCAGCAATCGTGGGGTGATAAAAAACAAAATGAACTGATAATTTACAGACATGGTATTGAAATGAAATACTGTTAACATGAATCCTAACAATACATGTAGATAACTATTTATTTTTGGCAGAGACACACTTTCCTGTCCATTGATTCGTTAGTACACTTTTAGGCAAAAATATTTACTATCAGTTTCGAAATTTAAGGAAAACAGGTTTCTGTATGAAAAAAAGAGGTAGTTAATGTTTGGCGGGTGTATGAAAAAAATTGAATCTTAATTTAAACTCAAAATGGATAAAACTTGGACAAAATATGAACAAAAGAATGATTTACATGGATACCCTAAATTATAAGATTAAGGCCAGGTGTTCTTGGAGGGTAAGCATCTTCTGTTTTATTAACTAAAATGGTAACAACGATTGGTTATTAGCTCACCTGGCCCAAAGGGCAAAGTGAGCTTTTGCCGTGGTGCAGTGTCCTTCGTCTGACATCAACTTTTTCCTTTAGACCACTTCTCAATAACCATTGGACTAAATGTTTTGATATTAGGCTGGTATGCTCCTAGGATGAAGCCTGGCAATGTTTGCGAAAAGAAATAACCTTCAGTGATATTCAAGGTCCGGGGGTCAAATTTGTTAAAATCTTTATATGACTGTCTCATGAACTTAAAGGCCAAGAGACATGATACGTGGCTGGTATGTTCCTTTGATGAAGCTTGACAAAGTTTCTGAAAAGAAATGATCTTGACCTATTTTCATGATCAAAGGAGTCAAATTTGTTAAAAAATTTAAATGACTTTTTCTCAGGAACTATAAGGCCTAAAGATATGATATTTGGTTGGTATGTATATACCAGGTGAGTGCTGCAGGCTCATTGGGCCTCTTGTTAAATTATGTGTATGAAATGATAGAGATGATAAAATGATATATATGTCTACAAACTGTCAGTTTGTCAGCATTCTGTTTATGTCTAATTATTGAGGAAATGGTATATAGCACAATGTAATGAGAACACCCTAAATTTAATTTACAACTGCAGTTATTTTTAGCATATACCTGATATTCCACACTACAATATAACCTGTGTCAAATTTATGCACATTCTTATAACAATAATTTTTTTCTTTCTTCACTTTTTAGGTACAAGAGCTGATTATTCATAAGGAGCCTAATTTATTAGACAATTTTCTAGATGTAAGTATTTATGAAATGTCTAATCATTTGCTTGTATAGATTTACCAATGCTTGTAAGCACAGGCAGCAGACCTTGAAGAATTTATCATAGTACTGGTGATATTTTTCAGTTGACTTGTCTATTAGATTCCTTTTTAATAATCTGACGGTATGCTAATTCATTCTATTAATTTGTTTTCTTAAATGTGAAATTGCAACCCTGTTGTTATATCTTGAATCAATTATGAGAAAAAAATAATGATAAGATATCAGGTTCATTATCATTTGATACTCCTTTATTTATTGAATAAAAGTTTTAATTTTTATTTTTACTAGATTTGTAGACCAATAAACATAAGGAAACAACATACTATTTGATGAAATTCTTATGAATTTTTTTTAAGCAAGTGTTGTTATAATGAAGAATCATACCTGATGTTTTTTATGATAAGCTATCAAAGACTTCAGCTTAAAAAGTGTTAACAGAAATAAAAGTGAGTTGGAGTTAATTTCTTCAAAATTCATTTTCAACAGGAAATGCTGGCATTCCAGAGTGATAGAACAGTAGAAGTGAGAAAATTTGTCATCAGCTTTATGGAGGAAGCATGGTATGTAACTGTTTTGGTGCATTGTGAGAGTGCCTTTCAGCAACACAGAACATTTTCTCAACATGTTAACCTTAGGTTATGTAACAAAAGATTGGTTTATCAGGAGTACCTTGGTAGAGGGATAACTCACTGAGACAGTTCCAGTTTGTTTGATGATAACAGTCTTTGCAGTGATCGGTTATGATCTTGTTTGTTTGATGATAACAGTGTTTGCAGTGGTAGTTTATGCCCCTGTTTATTTGAAGATAAATATCTGTACAGTGGTGGTTTGTGCCCTTTACAGGCTATGACTAATTACAATATACTTTGTTTTAATAAGTAGTGTCATCATATGAAACATGTCCTTATTACAGAGTCATGAAAAAAACTGATTAAAAATGTCCGCCATGCTAAGTATTGTATAACGTCAGAAATGTTTACACTTTGTATATGCAGTAAGAAGGACAGAGAGTTGCTGCCAAAGATCCTTCCCTGTTTGCAACTATTGTTGGAGGACGAGAATGTCAACATCCAGAAAAAAGTCATCCTGGTCATGTCTCAAGTTTACAAATGTGTCCTCCAGGTTGGTATAGTCTAAAGCAATAAACTTAAATCCACTGAGGAAATATATCTTATCACCTGAAGATCTTGAAAATTGTACTCTTAAAATCACTTGATATGGTTCCAGTATAGTTTATGAACAGTATCACAAAAAGGTTACACTCTTTAGAATAACACATTGTAGACAAAAAGGTTACACTCTGCAGAATACCCGGGTAACCCATTCAAGACAAAAAGGCTACACTCTTTAGAACATCCCATTTGAGACAAAAAATTTACACTCTTCAGAATAACACATTTTAGACAAAGAAGTTACACTCTTCAGAATAACACATTTTAGACAAAAAGGTTACACTCTGCAGAATAGCACATAACAAGACAAAAGGCTACATTCTTTAGAATAACACATAACGAGACAAAGGGCTACACTCTTTAGAATAACACATAACGAGACAAAAGATTACACTCTTCAGAATAACACATTGTAGACAAAAAGGCTACACTCTTCAGAACATCCCATTCGAGACAAAAAATCTACACTCTTCAGAATAACACATTGTAGACAAAAAGGCTACACTCTTCAGAACATCCCATTCGAGACAAAAAATCTACACTCTTCAGAATAACACATTTTAGACAAAAATGCTACACTCTTTAGAATAACACATTTTAGAAAAAAAGTTACACTCTTCAGAATAACACATTGTAGACAAAAAGGCTACACTCTTCAGAACATCCCATTCGAGACAAAAAATCTACACTCTTCAGAATAACACATTTTAGACAAAAATGCTACACTCTTTAGAATAACACATTTTAGAAAAAAAGTTACACTCTTCAGAATAACACATTGTAGACAAAAAGGCTACACTCTTCAGAACATCCCATTCGAGACAAAAAATCTACACTCTTTAGAATAACACATCAGAGACAAAAGACTACACTCTTTAGAATAACACATTCAAGACTTTTGTAAAAATAATCTGATCTTTTTCTTTTAGGTGTGTTTGTCCAAATTTTCTTTTTTTTTTCCACTCTTAACACATAGACTATGTAATATGGATTTAATATTTTCATACTTTTGTTTAATTGTAGCTTTGTGGTTTTGTTGTGGATTAATTGAATGTGGATTTGCGAAATGAAGAATTAAAAGACTTATGTTGTTTAAGATTGTCAAGATGAAAATATTCTGAAGTTACAGTAGTAGAATTTGTCTATAGGTAATATCATACATACATGTACGTCAGTTTTGATTCATTGAAGTTTGAGAGTACTTCAATTTACATTACAGTGGATGTGTAATGCCAAAGGCATCAGTGATGAGAGGACTTATGTGTGGGAGATGGTCAAAAGTATGAAGGCCAAAATACTGGAGATGGCAGATTCAGAAAATGATGGGTTTGTACAACATCTTGGTAATCTTGTAAATTTGAATTATAATATGATTTTATTTGGGAATTGCTGGTGAAGGGTGTGTGTTTACTCATGTCAGTTTGTCCTATCATGTCAGGTACCATTCTGAATCTGTGTTATATCTTAGACCTTCTTTGGTTCATATTGACCTTGTCCTATGATAACATTGAGTTCTACACCTGGTCAGATTCTAGTTTGCGTAGGAGCTCAACTTTCATGTCTTATAGACATTTTCTTGTGTTAAATGTTATGTTATAAGCTTAGTAGTTAGCTGGCATCAAGGGCTATGAATTTGTTGTCAAGGACACAGATATCACATAAGTTAAGTCTTGTATAATATACTGTCATTGTAACTCAATTTTACTGTATTTACTTAACACCTTTCCTCCACAAAAATCATACCCTAATGTTTCCATGGTTGAGGAATATCTTTGTTCAGATATTTTCTCATGTGAAAGAAAGTGCACAGGTGTATGCATGAAACTGCACTTGTCATCTGTTTCTTTTTGTCTGTTAGTCATATTTTTGATAATTAAGATAAAATATTTCAAAAGACAAATATGACACACCGCAATTTATTCTGTTTTGTACTTTTCAAGTGTGAGGACTCATGTGGTGAAATTCTTGGAAGGCATGGTGATGATACTTTCTGTAACAACACCGGTAAGTACTGACTACATGTTATTGAATCCACTATTTTACCAGTTAGTTACCGGTGCTGATATTTTCTGTATCAACACTAGTAATTATTGACAACAGGTTATTGTATTCACTATGTAGAAGGTATGGGAGTGGCTTTTTCTCTTGTACTTTATGGATACTGGGGAAAAGATGAATTAGTCTTTATCTCCCTAAGGACAGACAATTCACACATACCTGTCTTCTAAATGTCACCACTTACAAACCTCTAACTGCAGGAAACTTACCTCAGGTTGAGATATCTTGTTCAATTCATACAAAGGTGAAATCTTCAAGTCTTCATGAACATGACTAATTATACTGGAACTTTGTGGAAGGTATGGTCATACCATGATGACAATATTATTGGTCACACTTTGGTTAGACTTTATATTTTGTTATGTTTCTGAAGTCAGTACTTGTTTTGGATGCTTGAATTCTTGAAGTCAAATTTGCATGTTTTGAACATTTATTTTAGAGCCAATGTAGATTTTACTATATTCTTGTTAAGGTTCATTTTTATCAAAGCCAGATACTGTGAAATCATATATTTTCATTGGGTCAATTTCTATGGTTTTTCAAAAAAATACTTTCACAGATAATTATAGATCAATATGTCATTTCATACAAATTTTAACAGATCATTGAGGTTTGATTTCGTAGATTAAGAGTACCTATGAAAGAGGAAAATACGTATCCCCTGTGAAATTAAAGATTTCACAATAAATAGTATCTAAACTTTTTCTATACACATAGCTACTTCTGTAAACTATTTGAACAAGGTCTGCAAATTCCTACATAGTTGTTTTTCATTCTTTGTTCTGTTTTTTATAAAAAAAATGCAATTCCACTGCTACTTTATATTTGAAAAGGGATGAAGTATAATGAAGACAAAAAACAGTCTGTAGAAAGTATTTAAGAAATACAACATCATATGATTTCATTGTAATTTAATACTTTGATAGTAAATCTGAGATTTGAATTTCTGTTGGCAGGATTCTGAGTTTCCAAAGAATTTCAAAGCAGAGACTGACATCAACCTAAGCATTATTCCAGAAGATAGTGACAACAAATATCTCAAGGTCAAACGTATGGAAGATGAAGGCAGAAACATTTTTGAGACTATGTTACACTTCCAAGCTTCTGCACACATATCTAGGTAAAGCTGTCATCTATAAAAACTCAGCATTGATCTTGTCTTCTCTGATAACAGTTATATTTTTTTCAAAATATGAAAGTCAAAAAATTTTAATAAAGCAATTTTGTACCCAATATAATTATATACATGTGATGTTATCACTGTGTTCAATACTATAGACAAATTGCTAGGTGATTTTATTTATAAGCCAGTTCCTGAAAATGATACAATATTCAGAAGTTATATTTTACAAGTAGTTTTTCCAATTTTCATTTAAGTATGTGGTTTGATTTCAGCATCAACCTTATGACCGTTATGGGCAGTATAACTGCCATAGCCAAGCAGAGGCCAACATTCTTTGGCAAAGTTGTTCAGGCATTTGAATCTCTTCAAGGTAATACTGTAATAAAAAATACACCTCCTATTTTTTCTTTTACTGAGTAGGTAATTCCAGGTCCAGTGTTCTATTAGATTTTACTCAAAGTCTAGAATATAGCTTACAATATGTGTTGCATGAACTTTAAAAATAAGATAGACTGAAAATATCTCATTTTACAATAAAGTCTATGAGGAACTAATATAATATTAAATCTCCAGAAAAAAATTATAGCTCTTAAATCTTCATTTCCTTTCAAGTTACAAAAAAAAAAGAAAAGAAAAAGGCAGTTGATATCATTGTGTAGATTGTAGGAAATATGTTTATGAATATTGTTCTATTCCTGCTCATTATCCACTAGTATACCTGTGATTGAAGTATATTACTCTGTATTAACCACCCAGTAAACTTGCCACCAACACTGGCCAAGTCCCAAGTGAGCAGTGTAAGGAAAAACCTGAAGATGCACATGTTGTCGTTGCTGAGACATCGCTGCTCTGGTGACTACATGACACAGATCACAACTCTCTTGACAGATCTGGGTGCCACAAACTCTGAGGTTGGTGCAATATCAAGGACTTGTCCCTCCTTTCTTGATTCAAAGACACACATCCATATGCACTTGTACACACATACTTAATGAAAATTTCTCTCTTAGATCTTCATAGAATTGTGTCCCTAACAATTCCATGATATGAATCATATTTCACATTTTCAGAAGTCTTATCATAATATACTCTTCCAGATAACTTGATCAGACCTTTACTTAATGGTCACAGATTTAAAAAATTCAAAAATTTATTAACATTTCTTTTTATCATTATCAATAAAAGTAAACACACCTGCAAAATTATTATATTATTATGAATAACAGTAATGGAAATATATTTTTGTGTGGCATTTCAGTTTCAAAGATTATAATAAATCATATAGGTTTGTAACAAAGTTGGGGTAAACATCCTGTTCTCTTTAAAAGGTGATGAAGGCCATGCCGAAAATAGATGAAAGCAAGAAGAGGAAAGCTGAGGAGTCCACACAAGTGGCCAAAAAAGCCAAAATAGAGGAGGTATGAATCACCAAAATTATAATCGTAAGACGGATTACGATTCAGAATATCATACATGTGTTATTGTCCCTTTCGAAATATATTATTTTCTTATCTTGAATTTTAATTTGTCAGAAAAATCCCTTTGATAATTTCAAGATCAAGGTTAATGTGTAAATACATGGCTCTTTGTGTTGACAATGTTGAGAGAGAAATAAAATGTATTAACTGAATGAAAAGAGCAGACAAGAAATACATTCAAACTAGGTACATACCTAGTGTATAGAGGTATTGTAGCCTTTGAGTTGTCAGATTTAAAACGAGACAATAGGACAGGCTAAACAGGAGTCAGTGCTTATAATTTAGATAAATGTAGTTATTGTCAGAAGTTTAATACAGCATATAAATACACTTGATAATGGCGAACAAGTCTTTTATTACAGTTGAAAAAAGTTTTTCACAACTGATGCCAACTTTTTTTACCTTCACTTGTTATTGTACAGGTGGAGATTGATGATGATGATGTTGGTATGACACCATTTGTGGATAGAACGACAACAAAGGCTCCTCCTACAGTTAAACAGCAGTCAACAGCTATTGACATCACCTCGGAAGACCTGGAGTCTAGACTCAGCACACAGAACGTGGCTGATCTTGTTCTCATCAGTATGGTAGGAACCATTGAACATAAAGTTGTAAACTTTCTGTTTCACAAAATTCTTAATGTGAGATCAACAGTGTTTTCAAAGTTTCGATTTCAAAAATAATGATAGAAAAGAGAAACTAACATTTTTCAACCATTTAGAACTCTGTACCCTGGTTGTGACAATGTATATACATATGTAACAGGTGATGTTACCAGACACCATGCCAGCCCACTTTCAGTCCACCTACACCCCTATAGCTGCTGCTGGCACTGAGGGACAGATCAAGCACATAGCAAGGCTTCTGTCCACCCAACTCACCACTGCTGGCATGGGCAAAGGAGTGGCTGAAACACAAGCACAGGTAAGCGGATGGCTGAAATACAGGCACAGGTAAGGGAATGGCTGAAATACTGGCATAGGTAACAGGATGATTGAAACACCAGCAGAGATAAAGAATGAAACAATGACACAGGTACCAGGATGATGGAAAGAAAAAAGAACAAATGAGGGTAGTGAAACACCTGTGCTGATAAAGGGGTGAATGGTATACAAGTTTCGGCATTGGAGTGGTTGAAACATGCATATAGAAAAGAGGATTGATTAAACACAGAAAAGGAGGAAAAACAAGGGGGTATTGGACAGTGGGGTGAATGATAAACAATTATAGGTCAGAGGAAGGGGGTATTGGAGAGTGGAGTGAATGATAAACAATGATAGGTCAGGGGAAGGGGGTATTGGACAGTGGGGTGAATGATAAACAATGATAGGTCAGGGGAAGGGGGTATTGGACAGTGGGGTGAATGATAAACAAAATCAAGGGGGTATTGGACAGTGGGGTGAATGATAAACAATGATAGGTCAGGGGAAGGGAGTATTGGACAGTGGGGTGAATGATAAACAAAAGCAAGGGGGTATTGGACAGTGGGGTGAATGATAAACAATGATAGGTCAGGGGAAGGGGGTATTGGACAGTGGGGTGAATGATAAACAATGATAGGTCAGGGGAAGGGAGTATTGGACAGTGGGGTGAATGATAAACAAAAGCAAGGGGGTATTGGACAGTGGGGTGAATGATAAACAATGATAGGTCAGGGGAAGGGGGTATTGGAGAGTGGAGTGAATGATAAACAATGATAGGTCAGGGGAAGGGGGTATTGGACAGTGGGGTGAATGATAAACAATGATAGGTCAGGGGAAGGGGGTATTGGACAGTGGTGTGAATGATAAACAATGATAGGTCAGGGGAAGGGGGTATTGGACAGTGGGGTGAATGATAAACAAAATCAAGGGGGTATTGGACAGTGGGGTGAATGATAAACAATGATAGGTCAGGGGAAGGGAGTATTGGACAGTGGGGTGAATGATAAACAAAAGCAAGGGGGTATTGGACAGTGGGGTGAATGATAAACAATGATAGGTCAGGGGAAGGGGGTATTGGACAGTGGGGTGAATGATAAACAATGATAGGTCAGGGGAAGGGAGTATTGGACAGTGGGGTGAATGATAAACAAAAGCAAGGGGGTATTGGACAGTGGGGTGAATGATAAACAATGATAGGTCAGGGGAAGGGGGTATTGGAGAGTGGAGTGAATGATAAACAATGATAGGTCAGGGGAAGGGGGTATTGGACAGTGGGGTGAATGATAAACAATGATAGGTCAGGGGAAGGGGGTATTGGACAGTGGGGTGAATGATAAACAAAATCAAGGGGGTATTGGACAGTGGGGTGAATGATAAACAATGATAGGTCAGGGGAAGGGAGTATTGGACAGTGGGGTGAATGATAAACAAAATCAAGGGGGTATTGGACAGTGGGGTGAATGATAAACAATGATAGGTCAGGGGAAGGGGGTATTGGACAGTGGGGTGAATGATAAACAATGATAGGTCAGGGGAAGGGGGTATTGGACAGTGGGGTGAATGATAAACAAAAGCAAGGGGGTATTGGACAGTGGGGTGAATGATAAACAATGATAGGTCAGGGGAAGGGGGTATTGGACAGTGGGGTGAATGATAAACAAAATCAAGGGGGTATTGGACAGTGGGGTGAATGATAAACAATGATAGGTCAGGGGAAGGGGGTATTGGACAGTGGGGTGAATGATAAACAATGATAGGTCAGGGGAAGGAGGTATTGGACAGTGGGGTGAATGATAAACAATGATAGGTCAGGGGAAGGGGGTATTGGACAGTGGTGTGAATGATAAACATTGATAGGTCAGGGGAAGGGGGTATTGGACAGTGGAGTGAATGATAAACAATGATAGGTCAGGGGAAGGGGGTATTGGACAGTGGGGTGATTGATAAACAATGATAGGTCAGGGGAAGGGGGTATTGGACAGTGGTGTGAATGATAAACATTGATAGGTCAGGGGAAGGGGGTATTGGACAGTGGAGTGAATGATAAACAATGATAGGTCAGGGGAAGGGGGTATTGGACAGTGGGGTGAATGATAAACAATGATAGGTCAGGGGAAGGGGGTAGTAGGGCGTTGAGAACTCAAAACACTTAATAGCCATGGGATTATCAGATGAAACAAATCTGAATACTGCTGATATTTTTATTTATCATTTGTATTGGCAGACTGAAGAAGATGAGGAGGCAGGTGGTGAATCTCCAGCCTATCAGCCATCCTCTCCAAAACAACTAATACAGACAGTTGTGGGTAAGTCATGTCTGATGCTCTTAGATCATTTTTGTGTTCCCTCTCGGGAGGGAGAATTGATGTGTGTTCTGTCACATCACCTCACCATTCTGCATTTATGTCATACCTTGAAAACCTCTCAACAGATTTGATTCATATTTACCTTCGTGTATCATAAAATCAAGTGCTACATCTGATCAGATTCTGGTTTGCATAGGAGTGGTAGCATTCATGCCTCACAGACAATTTCTAGTGAAAGTATATTAAGATCTTTAAGTGTCTACAATACATATCTGAAGTACCAGAGAAAACCTGTAAAAGCTGCTGTCCATAAAGACAGTCATCCTGCCATATGGAAATTATTTTCTTTGATCAATAGATGTCATTCATTTTAAGAAGAATTTAGACAGAAGATTTTCTTGTGTAATGAATTAAGTCTCATCTTTATAAAGTTTCCCTGATTATGCAACATGTACCTGCTATGATTAGATGCTTGTTTTGGCTACAGGAGGATTAACAGATGATTTACCAGCACTTGCCAGCTCTAGTAAATCAATGCAGCCTCCACCTGCTGTAAGTGTGACATTTTCTATATAACAAATCAAACTTGAATAGAATTTAACCCTGAGGGAGAAGAGCGATTTAATTAATTTTTACTCAGTGATAAAAAAATGAAAAAGGTGAAAAAATTGATGGATGCAATACATTCATGATTATCTCAAAGATTAAAAGAAGGAAAATAGTCGTCTTTATTTCCTGAGAATTTTTTTATCATTTTCTTTAATTTACATTATAATTTTCAGACTTTCAGTTTTAGTAAAGTATTTCAAGTTTGTGCACATTTAATTTTATTGTTCTATTCAGCCTGTTCGTCGTGGCATCAAACAATTCAAGTTAAGTAGTGTGACCCAGGAACTTAATCGGGATGACCTTGACCAAATGACTATTAGTGCTGTGGGCAGGATTCTCAGTGCAGAAAGTAGGTCACAGTGTATATAACTGCTCAACTCAGCTGTTCAAATTCACACAATAATGTGGTTTACAATATTTGTTTTGTTGTATTCAAACAGTTTTTAAGTACATCTTAATGGTTTCTTCTGTTTCATTTGTTAACCTACATGAGCTTATAAAATATACCACTGTGTCAAAAATTTGACATCTGTGTCCCTCCTTTTAACTTGTTTTTATGGTTAGGTTTATCATTAAAAAAACTGTTTATCAGTTTGACATCCACTATACTACTGATACAAACAATTATTCAGCAAATCTGAAATCAATTTGAATTTGTTCAAACAGAAAGTGCTACACAAGGCAATGTCCTGCCAGCCAGAACCAAGCTATTAGCTGGGCTTACATCACAGTTTGGCGGAGAGCTCAGAGATCGTAAGTGTTGTGTAACAGTAAAACTCCTACTGATAAGACCCTGTCATCAACAAATTCCTAAGGGGAGAGTGATACAGAATGAGATGGAATATTAAATACCAAAAGTTTACAGTGGTTTTTGTGGTAAACTGTTTGATTTGTAGAAGATAACATTAAACATTTATTTATTGGTCTAAGCAATGAAAATTGGAATGAGTAACATTATGAAGACAGTAATGATCAGCCAGTTCTAACTGATACAGATTCCTTAAAGTCTGATTCTTTCCAAAGAGAATTGAGGATTTCAATTGAGGATCTATGTAACTAGGTCATTTTTTGACAGGAATATTTCCAGAAAAGGAAAAATGGTAAAGTAGTTAACTCACTAATCAGGTGTTTGGGACACATCAGACATCTCAAATGTTTAAACTGAACAAAAATGAAATGTAATTTTATGTAATTAAAGAGTAAAAAGAGGATCTTGCATTTCATATGAGATTTTATGAAACAGGTCCAAGAAATTTTTATTTTGCTTGGCAACCAAAAGTTCAAACTTTGTTGCACCATTTTTCAATTCTTATTATAATGGCATCTATGTTATGACATCACCATCAACTTCTAACTGACACAGCCAATGAAAATTGCCCTGGGGTAAATTATACTAGGGAAAAATAGACAGAAATATTACATTGCCAAATTCACTGGATATAAGTCAGATCTTTAACTCATCAGCTTAACATATATATACTACAATGTAGTAATTTGAGACAAGAGTTTAGATAAGGTTGACAACTGTAAATTTAAATCAAACATGATACACAGGATTGGAAAAAGTTATATCTAAACAATTGGGGACAGTTTGTTTGAATAGAAAACATTTGAAGACATTTTGGAAGGAATACATCTTTTATGACTTGTAATTATGGCTTTGAATTAAGGATAAATGTATTGTATTTGTTGTGTACAGTTCTTGAGGAATACATCTTCGAAGACTTGCGGTCGAGATTTGATTTAGCATTTGCCTGGCTTTACCAGGAATATGCTAATTGTATGGGCTTCTGCGCCCCGTTGATGAAACTGGAAAAACCATCCCTGGCAAGTTATGATGAATGTCTCACGCGACTTCTAAATGGTCTACTGACTAGAGTGGAACTAAAGGAAGGGTGAGTACTAGATATATTATCCTCACAGATTTTCACAACCGAGACACTGTATAAGATTTTCATGTAAGTTTTCATTATAATCCAAAATACACTGAGCATTCATTTCTTTCACTGCAAAGTCAAGAATGAGAATGATGTTTGATTTGTTTACTTTTTTTAACAGGTTTTTCCAGCGAGTGTTGATCGAAGCTCCGGCTGTGACAGACAATGCTATTCTGATATTGAAGAAGTATTGTTTGGATGAGGTAGGCTTCTTTATGTTAAGGTTTTGAATACTGATAGATTATAGATCCACCTGATTCTGAAGACGAGGTATTAAACAAATGTGATTGGGATATTATGCATATTGTTGTTGTCAATCAGACTTTTGCTGATATGTTTTGTAATACCCAAACTTTTCAAATAACTAAAAACTTTTGGATGTCTAGAATCGTGTGGTGGCAGGTATGAACACACTAAAGGAACTTATCCTGACACGACCTGTTCACCGACATCGCTTTCTCAACGTCATGCTGGAATCATGTTCACATGATAAACCAGAGGTGAGTAAGATGTTAAGGAGGATTTGTGTGAAAAAACTGGAGCAAAATAAATTGGTTATAATTGTAGTGAATTTAAGCAGTGTCTCGTTTACAGCTGGATGCAGTATCACAGAAAAAAAGATATCTTGATACCTATCATACTTAGTGTTCCCAGTTAAAATAGGGATTGAATTTAATTATTACGTTACATATTCTAAGGTTAATAAGCCACAATAGTTATAACTGTACGTTTTAAAAACATTAAAGGTAAAAAAAATATGTATTTATGATCAGTTTAGATTAAACAAAATGGGACTATTTTCACTTACCACATTTAATTTGTATGAAATTAAATACAGGTGAGAACAACAGCTATCCGCTTCACCAAGAAATTGTATGAGAAACCGCAAATTGCTACACATATAGAGGTAAGTACACTGCGCTGGCTTTCAGTCTTCAGCTGCGATTTAAATGTTTTCTCCTTCACAAATTAAGTCACAGTTTAAATTACATCAATTCTTTATCCTATCAAAAGTTTAATGAAGTGAAACCTGCCTGAGATTTTTTTTTAACATTCTATAAAAAATATATTCATATGAAATAGATTTATATACAACACTCTCAGATAGGACATGTGTATTTTGATATCCTGTCTGGTGTGTTATGTCTTGGAGATGTAATATTAGATAGGTTTCTCAGAATGGGTGATTACTACTGCTGCCAACATTGAAAAAAAAAAAACTTCAGATTTTCAGAAAATCACACATGTAATTTTATCATGTTTTCAGGACTATGCCTCTAAGATGTTGAAATATCTACTTCTGCCTAAGCCGCCGAGTGAAATGTTTCCTCGATCCAGATCAGGTGAGTTGCTTGAAACAATTGATTTTGGCTCTAAACATAAAAGCATGAAGAAAACAATGGATAACATTAGATACAAGGACATGAAATAGCCTTACATTTTGGCTGTTAGGTTTAGATATAGGATCACATGCTAGAAAATGCACAGAAAGTAGGTCAACCAAGACAAACACGCATAAAGGTGGAAAATTGAAATGTTGATTCTGCATAATTTAAAAGTGCTCAAAGGAGATAGCAGATGAAAAATTTTAACTACGAGGAGTTTATAATTACAGTATTGTATCATTATACATAGGGGTATAGAAACTGTTTTTTATCTGGATTTGCTTTGACCAAAATATGTTAAACAGTTAATTGCGATGTTTTTAGCTGGTTTTTGTTTACTTGATTCATTACATTGTATGTCCACAGGTGATTTGCCACAGTCTTGGATTGAGGACATCATTAAAATGTGTCTCTACCTATATCTAGGTCTTCTGCCCAGCAACCACAAACTTATCCATGAGTAAGTGCCTCCCTCCTTTATCTAGGCCTTCTGCCCAGCAACCATACAGTTATCTATTATAAAGTGCACCCCTCCTGTATCTAGGCCTTCTGCCCAGCAACTATACAGTTATCCAAGAGTAAGTGCCTCCCTCCTTTATCTAGGTCTTCTGCCCAGCAGCCATGAACTTATCAATAACCAAGTACCTGCCAGTATTATTTTAATGAAACATGTTACAAAATTGTTTTCAAATGAAACATTTTTGCATTTTATTGAGTTTAATAAACTAGTCTTGTCAAATGTTAAATACAAATAAGGGTTGATTAAATTTATCTGGAATTCTTCACTTCTGTATTAAATATTTTTAAAAAAAAACTTGCTGTCTTTTCCAGATTGGCTGTTGTATACACATCTGCAACTGCTGATATAAAGAGGACAATTCTTCGTGTGTTAGAGAACCCAGTAAGAACAACAATATTTATTTACATAAAGTGTAATTTATTGGATTGAATTGTAGTCATCTTACATATTATGATGATTTTGACCTCAGATAGTACATCGTATCAATGAAAATACCGGCATGCTTTTTAACTGATATTTGGTTTGAATCAGTTATACAAGTTCTGATAGATTAATTACATTAAGATGATATTTAGGTTTATTAGCTTTTTTTGCATGACATCATACTGATAAATAAAATGTGCCCAGAACAAAAAAAAAAAAAAAGAAAGAAAAAAAAAGGAGGATGTTATATCAGTTATTAATCATTATAATGTTGTGGTGCAATGATGACTTTGTGTGTTTACCAATTTTAGGTGAAAGGTATGGGAATGCAGTCTCCAGAACTCCTTTTGCTTGTGGAGAACTGTCCAAAGGGTGCAGAAACTCTGGTGACCCGAGTCATACACATCCTAACAGATAAAGGTAAATAGTGGAGCAAAACTCCAAATAGTTCTCTCACCCTGAAGGCTCTATCATCAAAAGTTTGTTTCTTTTTCTTTCTTTCTTTCTTTCTTTCTTTCTTTCTTTCTTTCTTTCTTTCTTTCTTTATTTCTTTTTGTGCTATTAATTCACTGCATTGATGTTAACCTAGAAAGAATAAGGTTGTATCAGTAGTTTGATGAATCATGCCCTATTCAGAACATGTTGCTTGCTGAATGTTATGTATGAGAACTACAAATATAGATATCTTACATTTATATTGGTTCTGTGACAGCTGCTCCATCACCAGAGCTTGTGGAGAGAGTACGAGATCTGTACCACAAACGTGTGCCTGATGTCCGCTTCCTTATTCCTGTACTCACAGGCTTACACAAGGTAGGAACCATCTTATGGACAACATCCCAATTGGGTGATAATAATTGTGACAGACTTGTGACAGTTTCATTGAGACAACTACAGTATATAAATTTAAATCGGGATAAGACAGCTTATTCGTTCATCAGAAGCCCTCCATTTACGTGTTTGTTTCATCATGATTTATCATATCCTGTACTTCAGTGTAAAATTAATTTTAAAATCTGCTTAAAGTGCTCTACATTTTTCCTTTCAAATAGTACTATACAAACCTGTTTGGTTTTGATCACTATCAGACATCAGACACTTGTAGTTTCATCATTCTAGTTTCCTTTTATTTTTGACACATCCTTTGTTTTATAGAGAGAAGTGATACTGGCTCTGCCCAAACTTATCAAACTGAACCCAGTGGTAGTTAAGGAAGTATTCAACAGACTGCTGGGAGGCCATGGTAAGTTGATATATATAGATATATACATATAGTCATGCATTGACATCTGTTAGCTTAACATTTCTTTAATGAAAAATACAATAAATCTATTAATTTGACTTATTTGTATTCCACTTTAAATGGTGATTTTTTTTTGTCATTAAATCAATTTTGTGTATGCTATAAATAATGCCAGATAAAAGTAAGGTATTTAATAACTTGCATTACAACACATACATAACTTATCTGTGTTGACTGTATTACAGGTGAAACCAGTTTCACATCCCCCCTCACACCAGCTGAGCTGTTAATCTCCCTCCACAACATTGATCCCAACAAGTGTGATATGAAGACAATCATCAAAGGTAAAGGCAACACCAAGTATAATATTTATTGTCATCATACAGCAGTTCAAGTCAACTCTTCCATTACATGTCATTGAGGGAGTGCAAGTTTATTCATGTGCTTTAAAAACTTGAAATATTCTAGTGAAAGGCCAATTAGTTGCTGAAAAATATATGGTGGCATATTTCTGTCATTTGATTATACAATAGGTATCCTGATCGTAATACAGTGTATCGAGATTATTGGAAATTCATGTTATTAAATCTTGTTTTGATAATATTTCATTTTGTCAAAATTAAGGTCTATGTATTATTATTGTATGAATTACCACAAGAAGTAAAGTTACATTTTCATGTATCTCAACTAGAACTTGCCATCATGCCAGTGATAATTTGATGTGACGGGTTATGATTATTATTATGTCATATTATCAACATAAATTTTGTTGAAGTTGTAGCAAAGTGGGACAGAACACTAGGTATGTCATAATGTCAGTAAGAAGTGATACAGTATTATGGATTCTGTGTCGTCATAGATTTAATTACAGACTGACAGTTATTGCCTTTCTTTGAGGTCAACGTGAAAACTTGTTAACCCGATACCATATTTGTGTTGTTAGCTACCAACCTGTGTTTTTCGGAGAAGAATGTCTACACACAGGAGGCCCTGGCTGTGGTGATGAAGACTCTGATGGAACAGTCACCTCTACCTACGCTGTTTATGAGGACAGTGTTACAGTCTCTGTCTATGTACCCACGTCTCTTAGGCTTTGTACTTAACATTCTACAGAGGTTGATTACCAAACAGGTAAAATTAACAGCTTTCCTTTCCTGGTCATGAAACTCTGTAGATTTGTAGAAATAAACCTTATGTTATCATTATCATAAGGTATTTAGTACAAGACCATTGACACATTTCTCAAATAGTCATGGAAAGGCAGCCATCCTTATAAAGAATACATTTCCATAAGAATACCCAAGATAATAATGCGACAAAAGATGTTATGGATGAAAGGTTGCTGTTTGTGTGACCATGATCTTTATCTTTTACCTGAAACTTTAACCTTGATCTTACATAGGTTTGGAAACAGAAACGTGTTTGGGAAGGCTTCATCAAATGCTGTCAGAGAACCAAGCCCCAGTCCTTCCAGGTCCTGCTGCAGCTTCCATCACTCCAGTTGAAAAGTGTTTTTGAGAGCTGTCCAGAATTACGTGAACCTCTACTCAATCATGTCAAATCCTTCACAGAACACCAGGTATGGAATTCTTAATACTCAGTGAATTAGGCTGTTTAATGTGTTTAGATAGTGAAGGACTAGTCCTTATGGTGGCCTCTGTTTGGTTGAAATTCAGATATTGCCCAAATTGACCAAATTTGGTTTATAGGAGTATCATGGAATGCCACACATCACTTTATATGTTTTGTTGTCATGACAAATATGCTAAGGCAAATTGTGACCTCTTATTGGTTGAAATTAAGATATTGTCAGATTTTTACCTAATTTTATGTATAGAGGTATATGTTTTAGGGAATGCCAAAAATTAAATTTCAACTGTTCTTTTGCTTTTTCCATTAAGTTTTGACCAAATTTGGTATATAAAAGTCTTTGCACCTGCAGTGGATATCAGTTATTCTCAGGATGACAGTTCTAGTTTCAAATTATTAATTTTTCATTGTTTATACTTAAATTGCCCACTCATGAATGAATTTTAATGGCACAAATTAGCTACCAATGACGTCATGTCATGCAAGCTGTTGTTATGTGTAGTGATTTGTTAACAAAAATCCTTTATTAGATTATCAAATTAATCCATTGATGTGTAATTTTGCAACATATCTAAGAAACTAATAATAAACTTTGATAGGAATATTTTTTAATTTCATGCTTGTAGACCAATTTACAAACTGAATGAATGCACTACCTTTGAAACGTAAAAATATTCCTATCAAAGTATAAATATAGATTCTCAACAGGTTAACAAAGCCCTTGATTTGGATTTTATACTCTTCAGATCACACATATACCCAAGGCAATCATGACTGTCCTGGAGAAAGACCCTCTAGAGGAGCAGCAGAAACAAGCCCAAAAGGAGAACATGGCAGCTGAAGCCAGGAGAATGGCTGAGGCAAAGAATAGCTCAGGCCCTCCTGAGATCCTGGTACAGGTCAGACAGGAACCAATGGAAATGCAGGTAATACAGACAGTCGGTACAGTTTCACATGACCAGCAGGCTGCTGAGAAAGCCAAACAGGATGCTGAAAGGAGGAAAACAGAGCAAGCTAAAAGGGAAGCAGAAGATAGAGAGAGGGAGGCATTGGCTAAAAAGGCTGCCCAGGAGAAAGCTGAGGCAGAGGAGAAGGCGAGAATTGCTGCGGAGCAGAAGGCAGAGAGGCAACGACTGGAGGCAGTGGTAGGTGGCTATTGTGAGGGGAACTTGACTCTCAAAGCTCTTCTGTCATGCTTAATGGAACTTGGCAAATTATTCCAGTCTGAAATATGTTGGCACAAAACTAGACATGTTTGCCAGTTAGTTGTAATGCTTGGTGCCACTTACACATTTTACTTGTCAGAGGCCCATTTCTTTCAATGTTTAAGTGGTTTATTTATACAATCTGCTGTGGTAAGAATGGTAAAATTTATTTCAGTCATGAAATCTTAGATATATATAATTGGGAGGAAATAAGAGGTCAGAGGTGACAGGGTAATGGAGAGGTTAGAAGTGTCCATGTAAACCTTGAGCTGAAAAGTGGCTAAGAGGTATGTATTGAGATAGGATATGTATGGCCATGATGGGTATTTGAATAAGGTATGAAAATGGAATAATTTACAAAACATGATTTTATACTTCTCCCCAGATATACTCTAAAAAGCAGTTAAAAAACAAGTTAAATATTTAAATGTTGTAAACATGTATAGCTGAAATAACACAATCTCACATGCTGAAAATCATTTTCATGCCCACAGTTTCACATACTAAAAATCACCTTCATGTCCACGGCCTCACAATCTGAAAATCACCTTCATGTCCACGGCCTTACATACTGAAAATCACCTTCATGTCCACGGCCTTACATACTAAAAATCACCTTCATGTCCACGGCCTTACATACTAAAAATCACCTTCATGTCCACGGCCTTACATACTAAAAATCACCTTCATGTCCATGGCCTTACATACTAAAAATCACCTTTCATGTCCTCGGCCTTACATACTAAAAATCACCTTCTTGTTCACCGCCGTACATACTAAAAATCACCTTCTTGTCCACGGCCTTACATACTGAAAATCACCTTCTTGTCCACGGCCTTACATACTAAAATCACCTTCTTGTCCACGGCCTTACATACTGAAAATCACCTTCTTGTCCACGGCCTTACATACTGAAAATCACCTTCTTGTCCACGGCCTTACATACTAAAAATCACCTTCTTGTCCACGGCCTTACATACTGAAAATCACCTTCTTGTCCACCGCCGTACATACTAAAAATCACCTTCTTGTCCACTGCCTTACATACTGAAAATCACCTTCATGTCCACGGCCTTACATACTGAAAATCACCTTCATGTCCACGGCCTTACATACTAAAAATCACCTTCTTGTCCACAGCCTCTCATACTGAAAATCACCTTTATGTATTTTCAGTCTAACATACTGAAAATGTCCATGCTGTCTCATACTGAAAATAATAAATATAAAGTAATGGGTTCAGAATAACTGATTTTTAAGTAAAACTGTGACATGCAACTGTTTACATCCATTTTGACGCGACTGGGCAAAACTGATGTAGGAGAGATGGAAAAATTGACCCAAAGCAAATGTAAGGTATGTAATGTAATACAGATGGCGTGACAAGCTGTTAGTGATGTGATGAAAGAATCCTCTGAAAAAAAGATAACACTATATTGGTATTCTTAAAGATCTTCAAGAAACCCAGAAATAGTATATGTTAATACTAACATCTTATTGTGACACGTTTTGTAACACTAGAGAGCTGCAGAAGCTGAAGCCATGGTTGCCAGAGCTTTGGCAGATGTAGAGATGGCCGATGAGGACCCAGACTCGCCTGAAAATGCCCTGGCCATAGCAGAGGATGAACTCATGGACATGTCCCAGACCTCAGAGTCAGCAGAACTGGTAAGTAAGGGATAGTGAACGGTGTAAAGACTTTCAACCCTCAGTCTAACATGTGTAGTAGCCATAGCAGAGGATGAACTCATGGACATGTCCTAGACCTCAGAGTCCGCAGAACTGGTTAATAAGGGATAGTGAACAGTGTAAAGACTTTCAACCCTCAGTCTAACATGTGTAGAATAGGAGGCAGTAAAACAAGTTTCCATCCAGAAATTTTCTTTGAAATGTAGGATAAGAATGATGATTGTCTCCCTTTACTTGCTCCCAAAATAGACTTGAATATTATTATAGGATAGTTGACTTTTAAAATCTTGATGTTCAAAAAAGATCAAATGAATAAGTGTTTATACACAACATAAGAAACGCCATAGTTAAGGTTTACATACTATTTCTTATTAAAACACTACATAACAAGATTTGTCATAAGAAATACCTTTGGCTCTTCTTTGGGGCTACTCACCATGTGTATACCTTATAAAAACATTCACATAACACCTTAACTTTCCTAGTAATTTAACCTGATCCGAAACTTAAATGATAACATGTTATTATCCGAATGAACATGTAAAATTTAGTTATTATCTGCATGGGAATTTCCATTTTATAAGAAAATCATTTCACTAATTTAATATTGAATATTTTGTCTGTACAAAACTTTCTGTGTTTTTTTACATGTACAATGGACATTTAGTGTGAAGTTACTTATTAAGCTGTGGTTATGAAGTAAAAGAATGATGTATGAGTGAATAGTTTTATTGACCAAAGTTAGTCCAGAATCAAAGACATAACTGTTGTCTTGTTTGTAGTCACAGGATACAGAGGAAGAGGAGAAACCTGCTGGTGAGACAGAGGAGGAAGAGGCAGTGGAAGAAGGGGAGACAATTGAGGAGGGAGAAACTGTGGAAGAAGGGGAGGCAGTTGAGGAGGGTGAGGCTGTGGAGGAGGAGGAAGAGGAAGTCAAGACCACAAAATCAAAAATGGTTCGTCGTGGTAGAGCAAAAGCATCCTCACGGTCAGCAAGCAAATCAACCTCAGCACCTGTAAGGAAAAGTTCCAGGACAAAGAGATAAAGACAATGTTTCTTGTGTCATTTCATTTGGAAATATGTTACAAAAAATACTCTAGTGAAGACCTTGGATTAAAAGAAAAAAACATAAAACAAAACAAAAAAGACAACGACAAAATATCAAAGTCTTGTAACATTAACAATGAACAAAAATGCAACAAGGTAACAATACCATTCTCCAGGACAAACAGTCAAAAGATCTTAAAGATCCATTACGGGAAATAACAAAATACTGCATAACTGTAACTGTGAAATAAAGAGACATGTGTATAAGATATCCTTTCAAAGATTGCAAAAATTGCAAACTTTTTATCCATGTAAATTACCAGATAAATGACATTCAATTTCCATTTGGGGAACAAGTTTCATGATGAAGGAGGAATGAGAAACAAACCAGGCACCATGAAATCTTAAAGGAAGAAACTAGTGACATTACAAATCATGCTTAATTCTCTTAGTGTGTTTGCTTAGTTTTCATTGTAACATCACATCCAAGTTTAACACAGTGTGTAGTGTTTGTTTATTGCTTAGTACAAAATGTACTGGTCCAGATTAGTCCCCAATATAACATTTGCTGTCCTTGAAAAGTCTACTCTTGACATTGCTAAAATTGATATGAGCTGCATGTCAGCTGTGATTAATGTTACAGATATTTATCTTATGGTCTACCTGACAGAAGAAGTGCCAAGTATTATACTTGTGAGCTTCAGCTGAAAAAAAAAACCCTTGATCGACATATTGTTTATTCCCATATACAGTTATATCATGAGTCACATCACCGTAATTAACCTCATGGCTAAATGTCTGTTTCAATGACAGAAGATATTTTTATGTGTTGTTGGTACGAAATATTTGTATAATCGTACTGTGCTGTCATCATGTGAGAAAATCAGACGAAGATGTCATTAATAAATGTCATTTTTAATGTAAGTTCTTTGTTTCACAATTTTTGAGAAGTTATTGAAATATTTAAGCTACCTGGTAAGTAAGAATTTTTCATGGGGAAAAATGAATAGTTTTACTGTTTTTTCCCATTGAATCAAGGGTTCGCAGTTTAGGGAAAAAATCAACAAAGAAACTTTCAATCTAAGACCAACAAAAGTGTACTATGTATTTAACAGTATCACTTAAGTTAAATACAAAAGGAATTTTCTAAGAAGTGATTTATTATGAAATTTGATATGAATTTTGCAGTCTTACCACATTATTCAAACTGAGGCGGTACACAAGTACACACCCACTTTCTCTATTTACCTCTGTTGGTTGTTAATCTGTGACTTACGTTGTATTGCTGAAATGGAGGAACACTCGTTGTTATTTGGATCAAACCCTGATTTACTGCAAAAGTATTAATAACAACAACACTGTAAACTAATTATTTTATTTTATTCAACATATAAAAATATCTCAAGAGTATTTAGGCAAATTACATCAGAAGTATGATACCGGTATATTGTAAATCATTGAGCACAAGAATTTCACTGTTGATATATTTGAAACGAAACTAATTCTCTGGAGAAAGTTAATCTCATCTATTCACAATAATATTAAACTGCAGGAATTATTTTCATTATTTATCTTTAACCCTCAAATTGTGAACACAGAGCACAGAGTTCACTTGTCACAGATTGTATTTATTTTCATCACGACTCAAAAGACTGAAATCAAGAAGTTATATAAAGGAAGAGGCATGATATCAATTTATACTAAATGTATATATTCTTCTGTTGTATTACATATTATTCAACTGTTATTCAAGTACTAACATCATGTCTCATCTCTACTGAGATTTAACATCGACTAGTTTTCCACTTTATCAAATTTGTTTAACAAAATTGAGCAAAATTTATGATTTGTATTCTGGGTAACATTAGACTCCTTAACTTTGGGTAATTCCTGAAATAATTTTACTCTAGTCATTAAGTTTTCCAAATGGAAAATTTATGTTATTGAATATTCATGAAAGATAAGGAGATATATTTACTAGGAAGACTGAAAATGTGGCATCATATAAGACCGAATCAGATGAAAAAGATTGCAAATATCAGTCTGCCAGCGGTATTAATTATAGATATGGCTGATACAGTCTAGCACAAATATATATAAGTAATGAAAAGCTTTGATATGTGAAATTAGTGATTTCATAAGTAATATCAATGAAAAACACTATATAGAAAAATAAGTAATGCATGTATATGCCGATTGTGTCACTAACCAGATTATTCTCGATTTAAAGAAAAACATTTGGAATGTTTGATAAAAGTTTATTCAATGTCATAATCAAAGTTAAAGACAAATTTTGTCCACAGATTCTTTGAAATTGTACTAAGGTCTCATTTTCCCAAAAACATATATCTCCAGATTCTAAATATTTGCTTTAAATGACACGCAATGTTTTCTCTTTATGAAATGCAGCCTTAGTTTATCGTCTCAAACCTTGTAATGGATCAGAATGAAGCAAAATCCAGAGCTTATTTTAATACAATATATCACAGATCGGCTAACTAGTACTAACAATTTACACAAAGTCTAGTACATCTTGGGTCATTTGGTACACACAAGGTAATAACACTTTAACACCCTGTATCACTCACCAAAACTGACAAATCATTTGACAAAAGTATAGTTATCAGCATATATGATAATTCTCTAGCAACTTTGGTCCCATCCCACAACCACAGCATTAAAGCCACAAATTTGTAAAATTTCATAACTCCACCACCTGAAATTGCCACAAACCAAATATGGTTTTTATCCATTTAAAGACAATGTAGCCTGAAATATTGAATATTATGGGTATCCTTGCTTAGTTTTTAGGGAATTTCTACAGTGGTATAGCCAAATTACAGCTCTTTTACCTTACCACTACATACTCCATTCAAAGCCGAAGAAACAAGAAAAAAATTCTGACGGACAGAATAACAAATTCAACAATATTACATAGTAGTAAGCTAAACCAAATCCTTTGGATGAGGTGAGCTACTGAAAATTGTAATCTTCAATCACAGATACTCTTCCCATAATACAAGTAATTCTCATGAAAATATAGAGAAATATCAAAAAGTTTTTCCTGAATGCAATGACCTGCAGACATTTTGAGCAATTGACACTTACATCATCAAACATAAACAGTTATGTGCAAAAACATTGCCAGGTAGTAAATATTTAAATATCGATGTTATAATACACTTAAAATTTACAATCTCTTCATTAATGTAATAAAAAAACTGTATTTTTATTTCTTCAAAAATCCACAGAATTTTGAATATAAATTCCTGAAAGATTGAAAAAACAATACTTCCACATTAAACTTTGACATGATTGTACACAATTGTGTATCAATACATCAGTGATAATTCATTCGCAATATAATACAACAAGCTTTAAACTTGCTAGGCATAGCACGCAAGTATACAGTAATATTTCATACTTTGTATTTGATACTGTTTTCCTACATACTGTAACTGGATAAACAAAGACAACTATGGAACTGTTACAAGCCTTAAAGAGGTGTCTACAGGAGTACTTTGTACCATGTGGGAGAACGACAGAGAAAGTATTGCACAATTTGCCTGGAAACGAATAGAGGAAAAGTTAATTACTATGACAAAATTTTCGAACTGTTTCGGTTTGAACGTCATAGATCAATGAAAAAACATCAACATGCTTCATGTAGAAAGGGTTATTCCACTCAGATTGGCTTGAATTTTACATATATAGATATTAATAAAATTTTCTATTTTTCCTAATTTTAAAAAAATTCAAATTGAGCAACGTGAAAGAGAACTTCACATTATGTTGTTTAAGACGTAAGTTTGTCAAAAGAAGGTCTTTAAGGGTAAATGTATGAGGCATGAGCTTGAAGTTTTGAATGCACACCACGATCTTCCCAATGGAACTTTCGATAAGTAACTTTCAGGATTTACTGTACAAACAAGCTGCATGTATTAAAAAAATTACTGATACACAATGTACTAGAAAATCAAAATGGATTTCTTTTAAAACAATTATGACACAAATTTTACCAACATGCATTATTCACCATTGCTGGCCTGTAATGTTCAAAGAGTCTTTATGTGAAAGAGAAACACATAACCAATAAAAACCATAACTGGTTGTGATGACTCCATACATTTCTATTTGGAGAATCCAACTCCAATTGACTTGATGAAAGTCTGGCGCAACCTCCAGTATGACACCTGACCACAATATTTAAAATAAATCACCAGATGATTTTCAATCAACATAGTGCATCTACAGCCAATTATTTCCATGTGGATGATATTTTGGGTACATTAACGTGAATGCAAAACTCTAATAATCAGTGATATAACAATATGTGTATTAGATGTTTTGTTTACATCCAGATCACAACATTTTCATTTGTTACTATATAATTCAACTGTTTTATTAGAAAATTGTGAAAAATTTGACCCTGAAAATTACCAGCTATACAACATAATGTATTAGACATGTTTGATAGGTTTATTGCTTCATGAACAGCCAGGGTCATTTTGGATGGGGGTCTTTTTGTAGTAGCTGGTGGCTACTTCACTGAACAAAATGAGGGATTCTCATCACATCCAGAGCAATCAGGCAAAGTGTCTTGCCAAAAGAAACAACCTCAATAGCACAAACCTGCCTGTTTCTCAGCTTCTTAAGAAATGGGAAGGGCACGTTTAACCAACATAGCTATATAGACACTGCCCATATGAAGAATTATATAGTAATTTATTGTATTGTTATAATTTATCATGCTGTTCTGTCATAGACTTATGACTCAATTCAACATCAAACATGAAGGATCCTGTATCATTGTCCACAGAAAGTTTGGAGTAGGACATGTTCTGCGGATTGCGGTACGAGAAATCTTCGACATGTGATTGTGGTGACTTTCTTGTGTATGACACATGGGCCACTTTGTAACTTAGGTATCCCGACAACAGACTTTGGAGCAGTAGTGTAGCCGTCACCAACCAGCTGAATACCTGCAGAAAATAATGATACAGAAATTTCTTTATTAATAATTCATGCTACTTTTGCAAACTTGTTTGGCTTTGGTAAATGATGAGTTTATCTTGTCTGCTATCCAGATTTGGGCAGGTTGCCCATCACATAGTGTAATTTTTATGGCCATCTCCCAACAATGGCACTGACTGCTACATGTAGCTTTACTGAGGGTTGGAGAAACCATCGGGGTCAACACATACTGATATCAGGTTCAGTATTATCAGGGATATACTTTTCAATGAAAAGTTATGTGTTGTATTTACGATACTATAAATGTGAACTTAACACTACAAAAAGGGGGAAATTTCAACTTAAATACAAGGGAAGTCCATCAAGTGAGGTTATCCTCTTGTCCGCTCTTATCGCATCAAAAGTACATAAGTTATACCATGGTACATTACCAGGGCTGAAGGACTGGTTGATGAATTTCTGCATTGGTAAAATTACAGAACCCTAACCATCCAGCAAGATCTTTCACATATCTGTGGCTACAAAATCATTCACAAACATTACTTCTAGCATACCAGGCAATGATTGTACCATCCAGAGAACTGAAATGTTCAGACACCACTACAAATTAATTTCTATTGCGCAGAAATCCAATTCATTCAAAGTAATCCAATTATATCAGGATTCCTGAAACACTATTTGAAGATATATTAAAATCGCAGTTCCAAGACAATATCGAATCCCACCACAAAGTCAATTACCAAATACTAACACCATTCTACCCTCTACTACAGCAAGGTAATCCAAAATTACAGTCACAGCTACAGCATGTTACAGCGCACAAATTTTTTCTTTGATGTGGGTGGCCAAAATGTAGGTCAGAGTGACTTACTTTTGATATGCGACACAATGTTGCACCAGGATGAACTCATCTCCCAAGTACAAAGGTCCCATGATAAGTAGTGTAAAAGATAGGACCTGAGGAAATTTTCTTTGATATAGGTCAAAGGTCTAAATATATGTCAAAGTGACCCAGGCAATTTTTTTCTTTATAGGTCAAAGGTCAGAATGTAGGTCAACTCCAAATTGTATTCTTTCCCCCACCAATTGTACCTTCTAAACCACTACACTAAAATCCTAACTTCAAATATCTTCCTAACTAGTGCTTCAAAATCTACTCCACAACATGTTACCCAACTATGAATACCACTGTAGTCATTTTATTCTCAACCCCTACATTTAATACCACTCCACCTTGCACTTCGAACACCCCTCTAAGTCACATTCCAAAATACCACTGCACGCCCCATCATCAGTGTAAATTCCACTTCAAATTCCATTCTAATCACCACTCCTAAAATCTTCGTATCCTTGCTCCATGTCCAAATAGATATAGGAGTATTGTTTGACTAGTGTAAGTAGAGCAGAGATATCCTGAACTCATGATCCAAATTGTGTAAGTGAAGGCTGCACTATCAATCATCAAGCACTCACCACAGCTACTGTTAAGAATGTATGGAATTTATTTTTTTCTTCAAATATATCCCAATGCCATGTCTGCGTCTCAGAGCAAGTGTATCTGAAAAACAAGAATTATGGGTATAATCGTCGTAATCATGATTTAAACATCATCTGTTATGGTACATATAATAACCACAACTGTGCTTATCAAATTATGATGTGCTTGTTTTTGTTGGTAATTTTCTGTTGAGTATTAATTTCTTCAGCATATTTTCGTATGAAGTTGCCAATATTAGCAGTGTTTTGTTTTGCAAATTTCTTAAGATAATAAGAGCTGTGACCTTGGTAAGATGTGCTTTCCGCCATGGTCTAAATTTTCTCATTGATATTTGATATTTTTATAACAACAGGCAAACAGGGCATGTATCTCTCACCTGGATCTTTATGCTCAACAATGGTATACACCATGTTTATAGTCTAGGGATCTCAAACATTTCAAAGTCATGACTAAGCCTGACTTTGTCTAAAGAATTAAATCCCAGCTGAGGGTTGAGACCAGGCCCCTGGGTCAATTCTAATATTGCCATTTGTGTTTATCCCATGATGGCTCAGAAATTAATTTCCCAGGAGTGGGTCAACTCTTACATCATAATTGTGTTTAGGGTAAGAATCTCAACTGTTGTAAAGATATAACCCAGAAATCACATATCTAGAGGTGGAAGGAAAAAGGCCCCATGGACCATTTCACCATCATGATTGCGTTCATCTCTTTATGTCCAGCAATGCAATACATGTAGATGTTATGGGATAGGGATCATTACACTACATACAATATTGACCCTGCTCTACCACTAGACTCTTTGACCCCACGGTCATAAATTTCATGAATTCAAAAAAGAACTAGTTAATGATTATTATTAAATGTGACATTACCAAGAACTTGCTGCTACTAGTACTAGTAGGAGCAATGAAGAAGGTTTTTAAAATGACCCAATTTTTTACCTATTTGGCCATGCCTCTCTGGCCCCAGAAAGGGCAGCTTCATAAATTTCAATAATTCAAATCTCTATATTCTAGTGATGTTCCGGTCCAATTTGGTCAAAATTGGCCAATAGTTACAAATGCAAAGATTAAAATGTAAAAAGTTAACACTACGGATGCTGCATTATGATAACAAGAGACTTATAGGACCTGTATTGCTCACCTGTCTTTGCTTGGCTGAAGTTGCTTTATCAAAACTAAAGGAAAGGAATTCTAACTATCCAAGCACACAACATAAAACACATCTATTTTCATGTGGTGCACCAACCCTCTGTCCTAGCAGGGTCACCAAACATTCATGCTTCAGGCCAAATTGAGACAGAATCCTCCCACTCTTACTGAAGAAGGCTTATAAAGAACTTGCTCTTTTTCCCCCATTGGGCCATGCCCATGTAGCCCCAACATTGATTTTCCTTCATCCAAAAATGCTTCAGACGAACTATAGGCAAATTAAACCCATTACTACAGGAGAAGTTGGATTTTAAAGAATTCACTCCATTTCCCATATTGGATTCTGCTCCTCCTGCCCTTGGGGCCGAGACCCAATGTTTATACACAATATATCACTTCATTCAAAAATGCTTCAGACTAAATTTGGGCAAATTCCAATCATTCCTACAGAAAAAGTAAGATTTTAAAGAATTTGCTATATTTCCCCTTTTGGGCCCTATCCCTCTGACCTGACATAGCTGTGACCAACCATTAATTAATACAAAATTGATTCCCCTTCATCTAAGAATGTTTCTGATTAAATTTGGTCAAAATCCAAAGTTGACTTATGGACAACAGACGCCCGCAGTATGGCATAAGCTCACTGGTCCTTTGGCCCATATGAGCTAAAATTTATTGATGTTTGCAAAGATGCTATAATGATATCAATAAACTGGTTGAAAAATTTCTATAAGTAATAATAAAGATCCTACCTTTGACCTTGAAGCCTTGAAATATGTAACTCATTTCACAAATTCCTAGCTGTACTTGAAATTTAATTTGTTTACAAGTGTTTGAACAAAATCTGTGGAGACATAAAACCACTAGAGCATTAACATTGTCGAAGGACAAGACAACAGGACAGGACAGGGTTATTTGATATCATAAAATTTTAACCAATAACATTACTCTTGAAATTTTACTTTTGCACCTTAGATTTCTACTTTATGTTTACTTGGCAACAGACAACTTTTAAAATTATTGAAACACTATATTTAGATCAAAAGTTATCCCAATGTGGTATGTCTCTATCATTTTTTTAAACATGAAAATGTTTCAACTTTCTTGGATATTCATAAATGAGAATGTTTTTATCATTGATAAGATACCCAATTTAAAAGGCATGAAATTCTGCCTACAAGCCTATTGATACACACTCATGCATGAAATAAATTGCAAGGTAGGAAATTTTATGTGCACAGTGAAGATAGTTCAGTGATAATATTTCTGTTATGTGTTATACAGTGTAGAAAATATGTTATAATTCCACTTTCCTTTGATGCTTATTGGAGCAAAAAATACAGGTCACCGTGACCTAGATACGGTGCACAGCAATGGACATGTTAACCAATAGATGTACTAGGTTTTTGTTAAGAGTTATCCACAAGGAAGAGATGCCAGAAGTCTGTTTCAATCTTCCCTTTGGATATATTTAATACTCATCATACACAACCAATCTAATACATCAAGTAACCCTGTCACACATCCCTGTATACATATAGTGTTCATGCATATAGCTGACTTTTTACTCCTGTTTGGGTCCGGATAAACTTATGCTAAACTTGGCTGAAGATGTCTACTCAGCATTACCTTTATTAGATACAATATCAGTAAAAGATGTGTTTCTAACTGAACTTTAAACTTATTTATACACGTTTTTCAACTAGTTGATCAGAATACAAGAACAATTGACTTCTGGTTTAGTGCAATAGGAAAACAAAGCACTAAGTAATGACTATATGATAACAAGCATTCACATTGGATGTGGTAAATGATTGTACACAAAAAAATTGAGGTAAAAAATTGAGGAAAGTGGACTGTACACAAAAATCTTTTGAGTTGAAAATAAAGGTCACTGTAACCTAGTTTTAGAGACAAGCCTTCACTCAAACCAAAGCCATTAATAATGACCCAGATATGGAGTTGTTGAATATCTATAAACTGTTAATGGGTGTAGTATACTTACTGATTTCCCAGTTGGTGGGTGAGCCGATGACAGAATGTAACGAAGCCCATGGAAAGGATGAAGCTACTGACGATTTGCGCGATGAAAAGCATGACCTGCAGAATAGTACTGATCAGCAAGGAGCACAGCATTTGTCTGGAGAGACAAGGAAAAATATCTGTATCAGCGTCTGTGTAACCTAGATTATTTTCTATGATTCAGGAGTACATCACATGTTTGGTGAAACAGGAATAATAAATCTACACCAGCCCCTGCATAATCTAGTTCACTGTCTATGGGAGGAAACAAGAAAAAAAATCTACACCAGCTCCTGTGTAATCTAGTTCACAGTCAATGGGAGGAAAGAAGAAAAAATAAAACTACACCAGTTCCTGTGTAATCTAGATCACTGTCTATGGGAGGAAACAAGAAAAAATTAAACTACACCAGCCCCTGTGTAATCTATATTACAGTCTATGGGAGGAAACAAGAAAAAATAAAACTACACCAGCCCCTGTGTACTTTAGATCAATGTCTATGATTAAGGAGTACAACATCTGTCAGGGGAAACAACAGCACCTTTGTATCCTAGATCACTGTCTATACAGACATTAATTTTGGTTTCAGTGTTTAAATACCTTGTCTAATTGTTTCCCTCTCTCTTAGGGTTTTGGTGATTGTTGTACTTCAGTTCCTATATAGCTATATCCAAAAACACTATACATATGTCACTGTTTCCATCAACTAACCTCACAAACTTGTTTTTAAGACCAGACGACAAGTTTTTACTTTTAGATCCCGTTTCGTTTTCATCATTTCCACATTTCAAATTATATCAGCATTCAGCATATTTGCACATAAGACAAAAGGTAGACTACTGACATCTTACACCATAGATGTTTTTGTTATGTTTTGTAGTTCTAATGACACCTGTATCAGTGTTCAAACACCTGTTAGTATGAATGCTGGTTGATTGATAATGGAAGATAGCATGAAGGTAAAATCACATATCTTTAATCATCCAAACATATTTTTTCATCTGTCTGTGACAACAGACCTACTCCCAACACCTCATCACTATCATTAATTCCACCACACAATGTTAAATATTGTATTATCCATACATATCTTTAATCCAGTCTGAGAGGTAGTCCACAACAAGCTGGAATGATAGTTTCAAAATTTATTGAAGATTTCTGGCCTACATGTTTTGCCTGTGATGGCTTCTACCATTCCAGCTTGTTGTGGACTACCTCTCACACTCTTCTACTACTTCTGTATTTGGGTAGGACACCTGGCATACCATTAGGTATCCAAGCTGGGAATGAATGGCCACTAAACCAACTTGAACTTTACCGGCGTTGGCTCTCTCTTTACCTTACTTTGATCCAGTCAGTGACAACAAAATGTCGCCCAACCCTCTACAATACCTTATATCATTGCACCAACATATTTCTTCACCTGCCTGTAAAAACCCAAATCAATTCCAACCTCCCATTTCTATCATTAACTCCACCACACCAGGTTTTTATTGTACCATCCAGTGGTAATAGCATGACTCTACTACAAAGTATAAACTCATTACACTGCTTAGAATCTCCATTCATCCAAAAATACTGCAATGATAATTACACAACTCATTCAAAATTGTATATAAATACATTCACTCAGTTATTTCAAATTCCACTCTGGTCTCAATTTTTAATTCCACTCTAACCTCTTAGTAAATACCACTCCAGTCTTTCATCAATTCTCACTCAGACCTCAATTCTAAATCCTATTCCAGTCACTCACCAAATACCACTCCAGTCTCTTACCAAGTCCCACTCAAACACCAATACCAAAACCCACTCCTGCCTCCATTCCTAACCCCACTTTGGCCCTCATTCCAGATCTGGCTCAGACCTCAATTCCGATCTCACATGGACCTCCATTCCTAATCTCATTCTGGTTCTTATTCCAAATTCATTCTAACTCCTCAGGACACCATTTGAAGTATCGTCCTGTCCTTTACACAATATTCCATTTCCTACTCAAACACCCACTCCAATTCCTCCATAACCATACTAACTCCATGTTCAATCATTACCCCTACATAAACACCACTCAAGTTCAACTCCAAAATCTACCCTATAGGACCAACCATCAATTCAAACTTATTACAGAAAGGTCTCAGTAATGTCACTGTACAAAACAATGGCAATTCTGGAACCCAATGCACAACAAACATAAGACAAAAACTTCAAATTAAAAAAGTTGATAACAAGAAACAGTTGGGAGAAATATTTGACAGATTCAGTAATCTAAAATTCAGTACCACTTTCTTCCCACTGTAAATATCAAAATAGTCTATACCCCAACCCAAGGTTTTTCCCAATCCCTATATTAACACCACTCCCAACATCTACTCCATACCACTGTTTCCCCACTCCAAACACCATTCCAGTCTAACCCCCACCCAAGTTTCCTCTTAACTATATTTATTACTCCATTTAACTCTAATTAATATTCCAATTCCTAAATCAAGCATCATCCTTAACTCTTGCTTCAAATCTCACTCTCAATACCGTTCCCGTCAGGAACACAAATACCACTGAAACATCAACTCCACTTACCACTCCAGCATCCACTCCAATATCATTTCATCCCCATTGAAAGCATCATTCTAACCCCTACTCAAATTACCACTTCAACTCCACTTACCACTCCAGCATCCACTCCAATATCACTTCATCCCCATTGAAAGCATCATTCTAACCCCCACTCAAATTACCACTTCAACTCCACTTACCACTCCAGCATCCACTCCAATATCACTTCATCCCCATTGACAGCATCATTCTAACCCTTACTCAGAATACCATTTTAACTCCACATACCACTCCAACATCCACTCCAATATCACTTCATCCCCAATGCAAAAAACCACCCAAAACTCCAGTGATGGTGTATCTGCACAACCCAAGCTGCAAGATACACCATCATTGTGCCATCCATCCAATCACTTATGCAATGTCAAAGAAAAATTACTATTTGTTATATAAGTACTCAACAAATTATTAAAAGCTTTCAGAACAACACGCATCACATGCGAAACAGGGCGCGTTTATGAATGATTCAAACTTTTCATACCTGTGCCTGCAAAATATTGACTCATACTGTCTGTCTTAACGTAATGAAGCTTAGCACCGGTAGAGTGAGAGGGATTGTTGTCGGCTTTCTACTTTCATTTCAGCACGTATACACTATGTAGTGGGCACAATCAATAAATAATTTGGCCTGTCGATACTTACAACTCATCACTGATGGTGGTCATCTGAAGGTAAAACCAGCACCAGATGAAAGAATGGATGGCTGTCACCACGGGAACGTAGATACACACATAACACAGATTGTCAGATCCCCACGATGTTTGAGCTATGTCTAAAATAGCTGTCATATTTGTGTTCAAAGTTAACACCGGGTCCGCAAACAGCACACATTGTGAATGGAAGTCATTTGTTACTACTCCAATAGGAAAGAACACACAGCCACAACATATGATCACTATAAGATGTATAAAAATTTTCACGTATCGCAAATGTTGACGAAGCACCTTATTAAAATCCATTATCTTGTTCTCTGATACAAGCTTAACAGGTGAACATGACTCCACATTGAATGAGGGACGACACTTGTAACTAAATATAGTAACAGGTCAAATGAGCTAATCTACACACAAGGGTAAATAATATCCAGTTTACCGACAGGAGTTAATCTAGACCAAGTGCTTGCCTACATTCATAGCTTACGAGTAAATAAATAATAGGATTTTAAAAAATCGCTACAAGAGCATACGGTAGCCGAACACATCGACTTTTGATCGTAGGATTTCTCAGTCCTTAGTTATAACCATCGATGTCGTCTCAGAAAATTCCCAGGTCAAGATAGGAGAAATGACATGACTCTTAAAATTTTATTTGTCCCCATTCATTTAATCATTTTTTTTGTACAAGACTCGGCAGTGTTATACTCAAGTACACCTACAAGAGTTTTTATTGCTGGTGAAGGGGAGCAAAATATGAGTGGTAGGAAGAACTGAGAAAAAAAAACCCACGATATACAATTAAAACTGAGAAGACAGAATCTTAAATTGACATCCATACCAAAATCTTTATGATCGAAAACAAGTCATATGTTTAAAAGGAGGGAGTATTCATATGTATACCCCACTTTATGAATGATTCCTCCAGTAATAATTTATGACCATGATAAAAATGCCAGTATATATATAAGATGGAACCGCTATCAACAGCCAACAGTATGGCCTGCTAAAGGGACAGCAAGTCCCTCTCCGGGATAGGATAGTTCAACCTAACAGGGACCCCGAAACCAGTATCCTAGTGCAGTGCTATAGTGATGTACTGATGTCTTTCAATACCTGCAGTAAGCTCACCCTCTCCTTGGCAGAGTTGAAGTAGACTCTTCGACTATTCATCTTGTGTGATCCATCTTTATGGATGACGTACTCAGGCATTTTCGTCAAAGCAAAGAACTGAGATATAGGCCTACTTCTATAGATACTATTGTCCCCAGTAAGATGCTCAACTACAGACATCCCCCTGGCTCAGCTATTCCTTAAGCAGACTTATAAAAAATAAAAACTAGCACTAAAAATGACAAACTTGTCCACGAAAGTACAGGGACATTAAACAAACTATACTGCACATCTACTTTTGGTATTGGAATTGTTTATTCAATTAATAATACATAAAAACCCCCCCCCCCCCCTCTCTCTCTCTCTCTCTCTCTCTCTCTCTCTCTCTCTCTTTCTCTCTCATAAAAAATGTATATATGCAAACATGTCGTCTTTGTTTATGTCAAATTTCTAAAAGGGCTTCATATTAGTTTGAAAACTTGTACCCAATCCTACTATACTATTGTATATAATTATGTTAATGAATTATGTTTAAATCAAACACACGAAGACTGGAAATTCTTATTGGAACTATCACTGACAAATACCAATGACCTCCCTTCCAATACATGAATTTCACCAACGTGGAGCAACTAAAACCAGTCCCAAGAAACTCTACTCTTATATAAAAAAAAAGTACGAGATCCGAAAAAATGGAATCACACCACTGAAACATGAGGGCATAACTGACACCTTGAGAAGGCAAATGTACTCCATCGTCATCTCAAGTCAGTATTGACCCAAGAAGCTGACACGCCCATTGTCTACTGTAGACCTGCTGACAGCAGTACTGCAAAGTAACATGTCCTGATGTAAAACCTGCTAGAGTATGAAATGGGTTTTTTTCAGACATTGACCAAAATCACACATGGTTGCTAACAATGGTCGGAATGCCCACAGAAAATAACGGTAAGTGAATTCCAGGCGGAGTTTTGGTAGCATTAAGGCCATGAAAGTCGTCTATAGCTTTACGTAACTTCTGGTGTATCAGACCCAGTTGTGATGTAGTTTTAATGTTATAGTATGACCCACAACTACCGTGGTATCTTAAACTACAGTCTTCGATAATTTTATCAAACTTTGACAAAATTTAATCATTCCAATAGAAGAATTACATTAAAGGATTTGCTCTTCCACCCTTCCCCTCCCCAAAGGGGGTTGAGAACCACCTTTTATACAACAATGATTCTCCTTCACCCATTGGTGTTCCAGACCAAATTTGGGCAAATACACAGTCATTCCTACAAGGAGAGTAGGATCTTAAATAATTAGTTCTATTTCACCTACTAGGTTCTGTCCCTACCGCCTTGGAAGCTGAGACCTATGGTCTATATCGTCCTTCCGATTTGTTGAGCTAAAAATTACTGCGTTCTTTCCTATGAAATCTGTCATTTATCTTCCTCCGTAGTCGCATTCATACCTTTATTAATGAAAAGATTTTCGGTAGTTTTCATATGTGAACTAAATTTTGTACTAGTGACGACAGAGAATGCGTTTGTTGATGTGCATGTGATATTCAAATTTTCATCACGTATAACGAGGGCATTAGGTCGGAAATGAGTGTAATGTCACCACTGAAATGCAGAGAAAACACCCACTGTTTTGGTTATACACAAAGTATACAGAATACGTAAAGAGATTATGTGAAGTTTTCATAAGATATTCTTGTGGACAGCCATACTCGCGTTGATTTGCCTGACGGGGAGTGGGAGAATCTAATACTGGTTGTTGCTGATGGAGTTGAGATGCTGCTCTCCGACATGGACTCCCGGCTAACTTTGAACTGAATATGACACGACTTGTAATGTTAATGCATTAAGATATTTTGATCATGCTGTCACGTGACGTCTGAAATCTGTAACTAGCATTGTATTTTGTGTGGTTTTTTAAATGTTGTTTGAAATCTCTTTATGGAGGAAATAAAGAGTGAGTCTGTAAACAGTAAAAGAGAATTTTTTATCGTTTGATGTTACATCTATTCGGTCCTTTATAAAAAGTTATGATTTGGGGAAATACAAGTTATTTAAAGCCGGGAACTTTCCATCAAAAGTGAGATTTTGATTGGTTGACCAGTTCGCGGCACATGCTCAGATTACCCACAAGTCAGCATGGGTTCTTAAAAAAAAGTTGCTCAACACACTCGTAATGCACGGATACGTCATACTAATTGGTTAGCCCTTTTGATACGTCACACTAATTGGTGTGACTTTTGATACGTCACACTAATTGGTTAGCCCTTTTGATACGTCACACTAATTGGTTAGCCCTTTTGATACGTCACACTAATTGGTGTGACTTTTGATACGTCACACTAATTGGTTAGCCCTTTTGATACGTCACACTAATTGGTTAGCCCTTTTGATACGTCACACTAATTGGTTAACCCGGTTGTAGATATGCTATAGTTGTTTTACATGTACTGCTTTTAAGGCGTGTTTATTACAAGAAAACTAAGTTTGGACAATGAATGACAAACTTAGGCTGGTCAAGTTGGTTAAAGATCAGCAGTGTGAAATCTCCTGATTTTAACCTGAAACACAAGTATTTCTCAATGCATTTTACTATAAAGAGAATACGCGATACATTTTACTAGTACTAGTAGTCCCTGAGTATTCATCATAAAGAAGAAAAATAAAAGGTTTCACAAAGGAAAATGAAAAACAAAAATAAATCCTAACGAAAGAGTTGAACTAAAATACGAGTTTAAAAACCACAAGACATTGTATATATTATGTACATATCTAAATCGTACTTAAATGACGGGTTTATCTTTCGACTGTGGGTATAATGTGTAGATTGTAAATATGATAACACTATATATGCCAACAACACATGATTATAGACAAAGAAGATTTTATTATGTACCTATTGTTAAAGAAAAAGTGCCACGATCTGATACCGTAATTGACATAGGTTATATAAAAAACAAACAAACAAACACAAGGATATTTTGAAAAGTTCAAAGAATCTGTAAGTATGTCAAATACAGGTATCGTGTATATGAAACTGCATATACTTATATAATATTGCATCAAGATAAAACAGATTGCTCTATCTACTGATCGCTTATCCAAGTTACTGGAAAACACGTATAGATATGAAAGATTAGAGAATAATGTAACAAACAACCAAACTGTTCAGGAACCAAATTGTTCCCTGTTCAAATCTCCATGGAAAAGTTAATAATAACACAGATTTTTTCCTAAACGATGTACTTTATACGTGAATATCTTTTCTTATACATTTATGAGCAATATTTCTCTAACTACGTTACACCAAGTTAAGTTATCGCGGGGTGAACCGAGTCTGTCTGCGAAAACATGACTATTTTTTATGGTGTACATGTGCACTGTTTCAGGATTTTAAATGATTCATAACATCAATTAATTATAACCACAACACTAAAATTCCGGTATATACCGAAAGCGAGGACTAGCGTGCACAAGATAATATAGAAAAGACATTTCATCTTGTGAATAACATTCCACTGTTCGGAAAATAAATCCTTTGCATAATTTATTACCAACGGTTGCCTCCGGATTATTCACACCGACAACATGTCTAAAATTTCTTACACTACCAAACTTCCGTTTTCATTTTCGCTCTGAAAAGAAGCACGTGAAATGTTGAATATCGAATTATTGTTAAACGAAGGGGACCGTTATCCGTATGTAGGTCTACTAACTATTCCTCCATGTGAAGAAACACTTGTCGTCATTGAGTTTTGTTAATGGTATGGAGTAATTGTGACTGTCTGTGTTTCGCTACTTCTTGAATGCAATGAATAATGTTATCTGCAAACTTGACCGAATTTTATTCTGACGTTCTGTCGACATTTTTTTATCGGCATGGACACCAGACCGATTTAAAAAGAATTTGATTGAACGTCAGAGAAATTCAGACTAGCTGGAAGCATGTCTGTTTAACCTGACTAGAGCTCGAACAAAACCAGTGCTCTGTTCTCATTCCACAAAACGACCGATTTTTTTCACTCATGATGCATGAAAAATATGGAATGTAATGATACTTTAACTCATACAAGGAAAACTCTCCAACTACTGTGGTAATCAGAATGCAGCAGACAACTGGGCAGTCGATACTTCTGTGACAACTCAAAATAAACGTTGGTTACCAAAAACTTTGCATACTTCATCCTTTTTGCTTGCGCTACAGTAATTATAGTAAAATATATTATTCAAAAGAAAAGTATTGCATCAAAAAGGATTTGACATTATTTACAAAATATAGGTTTAGCACCAGTGCGTGTTGATGAATTTACTTAATTTATCTTGTGTATTTTTACATCATTATCCATCTAGGAAATAGTTTTTTGTGTCAAAGATTTGAATGTCATTATATAAAATGCCATCATAACAACATTGTAAATGCATGATATTTAATGGGGTGTTCAAGCATAGGTTCAGACTTCCATCAATATTCACAATTTCACTGGTGTCATATGACCAACTGCAGATAATTTAATAACAACTATATGATATTTTAATATAGCTGCAATCTTCATGATGTGTCTCTTCTAAGTTTACATTACAATGATTGGAGTCAAAATTGAGTTTTGTGTTGAAGCACTGGTCAAACAAGTCTAGCAACAGAGCATATAGGTCTATAGACAATGTTGAATGGTGTACAGACCAGGTCAGTTTTAGACATATTCTTCTATAAGCAGCTGGTGGCAAGTGGCAACCCTACCCCCATTGAATGAAGTAAAGGAGGCCATCCTATCCAAAGCAATGACTGTGAAGAGTGACACAATAACAGCAGTTTAGGGTGGTCATAGCTAGCCCAATATTCTCTTAGGTTAAGGGTATTTGTAACCCTGGTAAATGCTTGAGTAAAGAGAAGATCACTATGGCTCCATTTGTGAACCATCAGTATGGGTCTGTCAGAACCTTTATACTGTGGTTGAGATATCCCTGTCCACAGAACAGACCCATGTTTGCTTATTTTTCTCACAAACTTACAAAACAATCAGTTGTGGAGCATTTCCATTTAGCCTTCATCAAAGTTCTGTGAAATGTGCATCAAAATTGATGATGTTATCAATATACGACATGGTTATACTGTATAAATTGATGGCTCTTCATCATAATGAACTGTTTTATAGGACTTTTCCCTACCATGGAGAAGATCAGATTTACCTTTTCCCTACCAAAAAACTGGAATACTCATGTGAAGTATGACAAAAAAACTGCATGATGGCTCTGTACATAATTATAACTGGGTATCTCTCTATAGTAGGGAGTTAATCAAAGGATCATGTGATTCTGTCTTTTTATGCCTTAAACCTTTTCAAGGTTTTCAGCATATCAATGTCATTTTGCTAGCTTGCATTCTCTTCTTAAATTTCGTTAATAATTAGTATATTTTTTGAAAGCTTCATATCTTATCGATCTATGACTTGACAGTGTATTTGTACCTTGTGGCCCATATTTATGAAACATCAGTCCTGCAATATACATTTATTTGGGAGAAAATTTCTAAGTTGTAGTGATAAATTAGCACTTGGCTTACACATATGGGATCTTACATGAGTCAACATTTCATATGTGAATTGTTGTGAATCTAATTTAAGTGATCTAAAATGAAAAAAATTGTGACAAGTTTCAGATGGAAACATGTTTAAGGTCCATTTTAACACGACTGATTTTTCAAACATGTATGGTAGAAAATGGACATTTTTATGTCAATGTTGAAGTCATGTCAGCTCTATATCTATGGTCTCCAATGCTAAGTCACAATGTTGTCTATGAGTGTATATTATCGTTTGTTTATCTAAAGTGACATCACAAATATTCACTGAATAACAAGACAATCATATGATAAATGAATGTTTTTCATCATTGTAGTATTGCCACAATGCTTCCAAGCAGTCACAGACTTCTACTACGACTGAACAGACTCTGTGCTGTATTTGGTCGCAGATTTTGTGATCAAACTGCAGAATGCCCAGAGTATTTGGAAAGATGGGAACTAAAAGAAGAAATATGCAAACTGACTGAAAGATCAGCAAGTAATATGATGTCAAAAAATTTGTTTGATAGTCAGGACTTTTCTCATATAAACTATCAGAAATCTATGTTTGTTGTTACCATCCCTGGGTGCCAATGATATGTAGAACAGTTGGCATGTTTAAACCCTGACTTGTTGATTATTGTCACTTATTTGAACTCTTAACAAGGTCATGGTTATTTTAATAGATGTGAAAGCTAAAAAGTATTCATTGAATAAACCAAAATCATGAGCATTTCAATTCTGCTTCATCTTATTCTCAAAATCTGTTTACATTGACAGAGTTAATCAGATCCTGCATAGAGAAGAATCGAAGATACAAGAATAGTATAGTGATGGAGACCTATGGCAGTGAAGAGAGTAAGTTTTATCTTAGTGTAGAACTGTGGTATTGTCCTAATTAGGTCTTTTAGTGTAGGACTGTGGGGCTATAGAAAGTAGGTAATTATCTTAGTGTGGAAATGTGGGACCAGAAAAAGTAGATATTATCTTGCGTAGGAATGTGGGGCAGTAGAAAGAAAGTTTTATGGAAGTTTAGAACTGCGGCACTGGAGAAGGTAGATTTATCATGGTGTAGAACTGTGGGGGTGGAATAAGTAGCTTGTATCTTGGTGTAGCACAATGGGGCTGGAGAAAATATATTTTATCTTAGTGTAGAACTTTGTAACTGGAGAAGGGAGGGGTTTATTTTAGTGTAATACTGTGGGGCTGGAGAAAGAAGGTTTTATCTCAGTAGGACAGTAGGGCTGGCGAAAGAAAGTTTTATCTTAGAGTAGGACTTTGGGGCTGGGGAAAGAAGGTATTATCATAGTGTAGGACTGTGGGGCTGGAGAAAGAAGGTATTATCATAGTGTAGGACTGTGGGGCTGGAGAAAGAAGGTATTATCATAGTGCGCGACTGTTGGGCTGGGGAAAGAAGGTATTATCATAGTGCGCGACTGTTGGGCTGGGGAAAGAAGGTATTATCATAGTGTAGGACTGTGGGGCTGGGGGACTGTGGGGCTGGGGAAAGAAGGAGTGTAGACTGTGTGGCTTATTATCATATACTGTTGGGCTGGGGAAAGAAGGTATTATCATAGTGCGCGACTGTTGGGCTGGGGAAAGAAGGTATTATCATAGTGTAGGACTGTGGGGCTGGGGAAAGAAGGTTTTACCGTAGTGTAGGACTGTGGGGCTGGGGAAAGAAGGTTTTATTATAGTGTAGGACTGTGGGGCTGGGGAAAGAAGGTTTTACCGTAGTGTAGGACTGTGTGGCTGCAGAAAGAAGGTTTTATCATTGTGTAGGACTGTGGGGCTGGGGAAAGTAGGTTGTATCTAGGTGTAGGACTGTGGATCTGGAGAAAGTAGGTAATTATCTAAATGTATAACTATGGGTTGGAGATAGAAGGTTTTATTAGGTCCCCTGAGACAAAAATGGGTCAAATTGACTGCAATTTCAAAGATGTTCTACTGTTCCTGGATGGAAAATTCAAATCTTTAGTGTAATTTCTTTTAATTCAAACTTCCTTAGAAGCCTTTGCATGAGATGGCAGTTAATGTATATGCACAATTTACATTTTGCATTATATGTACAAAAGTATCTTACTTTTGTGACAAAATCATTACTATAACATGTTGCATGAATCATTGTGGCTCTGGGCACTGTTAAGGCCCTTTGGGTCTCTTGTATTAACTGACTGAGGAATGTTGGGTGATGATCATTTATGATATCTTGAAGCAGATAAAAAAGTGTTGGTGACAGTGAAAATAGGTTTTTTTTCATGGTGTAATGTTTTGAATTTATGTTAATACCATACTTCTTTGGCAGAATGCCCATGCTTTGTAATATGCTGCTCAGTCCCTTGCCCCCCCCCCAGGTATCAGGTATTACATGGTGATTGTCATGTTGAAATGTTTGTGGAATCTTTTATGTGAACTGTTTGTATGACTAAAAATGTGTTAGATCAGATGATAGATGGATTAATACTACAATTTTCATTATGCTCTCAACACAAAAAATAATCATATTTATGGTTGTGGTTAGGAATGTTGATGCACAATTAGGGGTATTACCATCATTTTAGGCATGGATGTCTATCGGTTGAACATTTCTGAAGTTTATAGAATTCTGAAGGGTTTGGATTTTCATAGAATATGGATTTGTATAGTTTATGATTATGTAGGTTGTGGATTTCCATAGGATGTGGATTCCTGTAGGATGTGGATTCATGTAAGCTGTAAATTTCTGTAGGTTTCATTTCTGTAGATGATATATTCCCGAAGACTAGATCCCTGTAACTTGTAAATTCCTGTAGAGTGCAGATTCCTGTAGGCTGTAGATTGTGGTGGTATGTAGATTCTTGTAGGCTGAAATTACTTCTGTTGAATGTGGACCTCTGCTGGTTGTAGACTTCTGCTGACTGTAGACTTCTATGGGATGTAGATTCATGTAGGCTTTGGTTTTCTGTAGGCTGGACACTTCTTTTGCCTATAGACTTCTTTTGGATGGATTCCTGTAGGTTGTGGAATTCTTTAGGCTAGTAGCTTCAGCTGACAATGGACCTCTCTGGCATGTGGATTCCTGCTGGCTGTGAACTTCTGTAGGCTGGTAACTTTAGCTGGCTATGGACCTCTCTGGCATGTGGATTTCTGCTGGCTGTGAACTTCTGTAGGCCAGTAACTTTAGCTGGCTATGAACCTTTCTGGCATGTGGATTTCTGCTGGCTGTGGAATTATGTAAGCTGGTAACTTCTACTTGTTGTTGGATGTGGATTCCTGCTGACTGTGACCTTCTATGGGCTAGTAACTATAGCTGGCTACAAACCTCTCTAGGATGTGGATTTCTGTTTGCTGTAGACTTCTAAAGGCTAGTAACTTTATCTGGCTTTGGGCTTCCTGTTGGCTGTGGATTTTTGTAGACTTGATTCCTATAGGTTATGTATTGTGGTTACGAAGTCTGATTTAATGTCATTTAAACTGAACTACATATTTAATGAGATCACCATGTTTGTTGCCACCTCCCCTTCATTCTTCACCCCTCAAAAATCTTTTCTTTGTTGCATTTGCTGATATATCTCCAGATATTCTGTAATATTACATAATTTGTAGTAATATTCGGTATGTTTTTCTGTTTAGTTTTTCTTCATACTAAGAAAAAATTAGATTTGGCTTGCCTGACACAAGTGAGTATTTGATAAGCGAGATAACTGATATTCATTTTATGTGCTTTGATAGTATTTGATAATGTATCTTTATCTATAAATGGTTACTATTCTATTTGATTCATTCAGGGAATATCAATTATAAATCAAAGCACATCAAGAGAAAAATGTTCACTTTTTATGACAATGTTGTATTAATCAGGTATGAAATTTATCCTTAAATACTATTGTCATTTTACAAGTTTTACTATGTACTAATGTTATACCATTGTATTAATGTAAGCCAGTTTACCATTGTGTGTATTAATGTCTGTAAGTTTACCATTGTGAGTAGTAATGTTAGTAAGTTTACCATTGTGTGTAGTAATGTTAGTAAGTTTACCATTGTGTGTAGTAATGTCTGTAAGTTTACCATTGTGTATATTAGTGTTTGCCAGTTTACCATTGTGTGTATTAATGTCTGTAAGTTTACCATTGTGTGTATAAATGTTAGCCAGTTTACCATTGTGTATATTAGTGTTTGCCAGTTTACCATTGTGTGTATTAATGTCTGTAAGTTTACCATTGTGTGTATAAATGTTAGCCAGTTTACTATTGTGTGTATAAATGTTAGCCAGTTTACTATTGTGTATATTAGTGTTTGCCAGTTTACCATTGTGTGTATTAATGTCCGTAAGTTTACCTTTGTGTGTAGTAATGTTAGCCAGTTTACCATTGTGTATATTAATGTTAGCCAGTTTACGATTGTGTGTATAAATGTTTGCCAGTTTACCATTGTGTGTAGTAATGTCTGTAAGTTTACCATTGTGTGTATTAATGTAAGCCAGTTTACCATTGTATGTATTAATGTCTGTAAGTTTACCATTAGTGTATTAATGTCTGTAAGTTTACCATTGTGTGTATTAATGTTAGCCAGTTTACCATTGTGTGTAGTAATGTCTCTTAGTTTACCATTGTGTGTATTAATGTCTGTAAGTTTACCATTGTGTGTAGTAATGTCTGTAAGTTTACCATTGTGTGTAGTAATGTCTGTAAGTTTACCATTGTGTGTATTAATGTTAGCCAGTTTACCATTGTGTGTAGTAATGTAAGTCAGTTTACTATTGTGTGTATTAATGTCTGTAAGTTTACCATTGTGTGTAGTAATGTAAGTTTACCATTGTGTGTATTAATGTCTGTAAGTTTACCATTGTGTGTATTAATGTTAGCCAGTTTACCATTGTGTGAAGTAATGTCTGTAAGTTTACCATTGTGTGTAGTAATGTAAGTTTACCATTGTGTGTATTAATGTCTGTAAGTTTACCATTGTGTGTATTAATGTTAGCCAGTTTACCATTGTGTGTAGTAATGTCTGTAAGTTTACCATTGTGTGTACTAATGTAAGTCAGTTTAACATTGTGTGTATTAATGTAAGCCAGTTTACCATTGTGTGTATTAATGTAAGTCAGTTTACCATTGTGTGTAGTAATGTCTGTAAGTTTACCATTGTGTGTACTAATGTAAGTCAGTTTAACATTGTGTGTATAAATGTAAGCCAGTTTACCATTGTGTATAGTAATGTTAGCCAGTTTACCATTGTGTGTATTAATGTAAGCCAGTTTACCATTGTGTGTAGTAATGTTAGCCAGTTTACCATTGTGTGTAGTAATGTCTGTAAGTTTACCATTGTGTGTAGTAATGTCTGTAAGTTTACCATTGTGTGTATTAATGTTAGTAAGTTTACCAGTGTGTATTAATGTCTGTAAGTTTACCATTGTGTGTAGTAATGTTAGCCAGTTTACCATTGTGTGTATTAATGTAAGTCAGTTTACCATTGTGTGTAGTAATGTCTGTAAGTTTACCATTGTGTATATTAATGTTAGCCAGTTTACCATTGTGTGTATAAATGTTTGCCAGTTTACCATTGTGTGTAGTAATGTCTGTAAGTTTACCATTGTGTGTAGTAATGTAAGCCAGTTTACCATTGTGTGTATTAATGTAAGTCAGTTTACCATTGTGTGTTGTAATGTCTCTTAGTTTACCATTGTGTGTATTAATGTAAGCCAGTTTACCATTGTGTGTACTAATGTAAGTCAGTTTACCATTGTGTGTAGTAATGTTAGCCAGTTTACCATTGTGTGTATTAATGTAAGTCAGTTTACCATTGTGTGTAGTAATGTAAGTCAGTTTAACATTGTGTGTAGTAATGTTAGCCAGTTTACCATTGTGTGTATTAATGTAAGTCAGTTTAACATTGTGTGTATTAATGTTAGTAAGTTTACCATTGTGTGTAGTAATGTTAGTAAGTTTACCAGTGTGTATTAATGTCTGTAAGTTTACCATTGTGTGTACTAATGTAAGTCAGTTTAACATTGTGTGTAGTAATGTTAGTAAGTTCACCATTGTGTGTATTAATGTCCGTAAGTTTACCATTGTGTGTAGTAATGTTAGCCAGTTTACCATTGTGTATATTAATGTTAGCCAGTTTACGATTGTGTGTATAAATGTTAGCCAGTTTACCATTGTGTGTAGTAATGTCTGTAAGTTTACCATTGTGTGTAGTAATGTAAGCCAGTTTACCATTGTGTGTATTAATGTAAGTCAGTTTACCATTGTGTGTAGTAATGTCTGTAAGTTTACCATTGTGTGTAGTAATGTAAGCCAGTTTACCATTGTGTGTATTAATGTAAGTCAGTTTACCATTGTGTGTACTAATGTAAGTCAGTTTACCATTGTGTGTAGTTAGCCAGTTTACCATTGTGTGTATTAATGTAAGTCAGTTTACCATTGTGTGTACTAATGTAAGTCAGTTTACCATTGTGTGTAGTAATGTAAGTCAGTTTAACATTGTGTGTAGTAATGTTAGCCAGTTTACCATTGTGTGTATTAATGTAAGTCAGTTTAACATTGTGTGTAGTAATGTTAGTAAGTTCACCATTGTGTGTATTAATGTCCGTAAGTTTAACATTGTGTGTATTAATGTAAGTCAGTTTAACATTGTGTGTAGTAATGTTAGCCAGTTTACCATTGTGTGTATTAATGTAAGTCAGTTTACCATTGTGTGTACTAATGTAAGTCAGTTTAACATTGTGTGTAGTAATGTTAGCCAGTTTACCATTGTGTGTATTAATGTAAGTCAGTTTAACATTGTGTGTAGTAATGTTAGTAAGTTCACCATTGTGTGTATTAATGTCCGTAAGTTTACCATTGTGTGTTCTAGTATTAGTCAGTATACCATTTGGTGTACTAATGTGAGTAGTTTGTTTGCGATTGTCTGTTCTAATGTTACCCAGTATACCATTGTACTTGTTAGGCCAGCACATGTTTTTGAGTATTTTTGTATTTTGCTATCTTCAGGATGCAACCAAACAGGATCTGTACAGAAAAATGAACCATACAAAGAACAAAGTGAAAACAGATATTCCATTGGCAGTTTATGAGTATTATAAGAATGCGATGGGGATAAAACAGCTGAGGAAATGTATGTTATATGAGTTTGATTTACCCACCATCTTTGAATTGCATTATTTCCTTGATCTATTCCTGTTAAAATGTAACTGATTCATGATCACTGGGCAGCCATCTTGGATTCAAAATCAAAGTAACAAGGTTGTTGAACATTTAGTCGTGATAAATCCTTGACCTGTTCTACATTTATATCAGAAAAATGTAAATCTTTCAAAATTTTGTCTTGTGATTCCTTAAGTGGTTCACAAATAAATGGTGATTCCAAAAGTGGTTCACACACAGCTGGTGATTCCAAAAGTGGTTCACACATAGCTGGTGATTCTAAAGTTTGTTTAGACACAGCTGGTGATTCTAAAGTTTGTTTACACACAGCTGGTGATTCTAAAGTTTGTTTACACATAGCTGGTGATTCTAAAGTTTGTTTACACATAGCTGGTGTTTCTAAAGTTTGTTTACATACAGCTGGTGATTCTAAAGTTTGTTTACATACAGCTGGTGATTCTAAAGTTTGTTTACACACAGCTGGTGATTCTAAAGTTTGTTTACACACAGCTGGTGATTCTAAAGTTTGTTTACACATAGCTGGTGATTCTAAAGTTTGTTTACACACAGCTGGTGATTCTAAAGTTTGTTTAGACATAGCTGGTGATTCTAAAGTTTGTTTACACATAGCTGGTGTTTCTAAAGTTTGTTTACATACAGCTGGTGATTCTAAAGTTTGTTTACATACAGCTGGTGATTCTAAAGTTTGTTTACACACAGCTGGTGATTCAAAAGTTTGTTTACACATAGCTGGTGATTCTAAAGTTTGTTTACACATAGCTGGTGATTCTAAAGTTTGTTTACACATAGCTGGTGATTCTAAAGTTTGTTTACACATAGCTGGTGATTCTAAAGTTTGTTTACACACAGCTGGTGTTTCTAAAGTTTGTTTAGACATAGCTGGTGATTCTAAAGTTTGTTTACACATAGCTGGTGATTCTAAAGTTTGTTTACACACAGCTGGTGTTTCTAAAGTTTGTTTACATACAGCTGGTGATTCTAAAGTTTGTTTACACATAGCTGGTGATTCTAAAGTTTGTTTACACATAGCTGGTGATTCTAAAGTTTGTTTACACACAGCTGGTGTTTCTAAAGTTTGTTTACATACAGCTGGTGATTCTAAAGTTTGTTTACACACAGCTGGTGATTCTAAAGTTTGTTTACACACAGCTGGTGATTCTAAAGTTTGTTTACACACAGCTGGTGATTCTAAAGTTTGTTTACACACAGCTGGTGATTCTAAAGTTTGTTTACACATTGTATGTTGCTGAGGTTGGATGTTATCAACTCATGCTTTCTTGACTTTGTGTTTGATTGACAGTGGGCTATTAAAATCACCCATTGTCCATCCTTCTGTTTTTACACAACGCTGGTTATCCCTCTTTTTGGAGAGGCACTGGACAGATCATTAGCAAATTTCATAGTCCAATTTTGGACAGCTGACAGTTGGCCATCTTGGTTTTAGACAAGTCTGAGGATCGCTATTTCTGGATGAATCATTGTCAATCTGGATACGTAGATTCTTAGTTCCTAGTTGTGAATAGTCCATTTTGGGACTGATCTAAGGAAAACCATTGGATGGGTCTTTCCAAAACTTCTTAGTTGTACCCTTTTTGATTTTTGGTCAAATAAATGAAACAAAAGGACTGACAGGTGGCCATCATGGATTTTGGCAACAAAACATTGTTATTATTTCTTGAGAGGCACAAGATGGATTTATCTGGAATTTCTTGATTTTGGGAACGATTGAATAGCAAAATGGATGACAGACTGCCATCTTATCATTTGATTATGAAAGAATTGATATACCTTTTTCTTGAGATTTGAAGTTAACCTATATTTCTATTTTTGACACGTTTTGATTGAAAATGTTATTCTGTGCATGTCTTAAACCTTAATTCTTAAATGGGAATAGTTTGGTAAGTGGGACAGTTGTGTGCTTAAAACAAAAGTCAGTATAGTGTTTATTTTAAGCTTTAAGATGATTTAACCCTATTCTAAGAAAATACTTGTCTAAAGCTGTTTCATATTAAATTACCACACTTCCTCTATAGGAATATTTTAGGCAGCTGTGTGACATACCAAGGTCATTGTAACCTCTAAATTGAATCTTGACCCTGTTCAAGTAAAAAACCCTTCTTCTGGGCATATCTTTTACCCTTTTTCATATAGGAATCTTAGACACAATCTAATAACAAATATAATTCCTGTACTTATAATGTCAATGTTATTTCAATCTTTAGCTGATTCACTGATGATAGTTGGGATTGCTGACAGGATATCAATAAAGCCTTTACCCCGACTTCTCTTGCAACAAACTGGGATGCCAATTTTAAAGAAATTGGAGCTGTTCCTGCTAATGGCACCAGATGATGTGATTGTGAGTAGAGCAGTACTTAGAAGAAGTTTAACTATAAATTTGCTGTTACACAGCTATTGCTGTCTTCGATACTGTTCCCAATTGATGATAAAATCATTCAATGATTTTTTATTTTAATGACCATTAAAAATCAGCTGATAAAGAAAGATGTGGTTCATGATGATAATCTGTTGCTGATTATAATGATGATGATGATGGTTGATGATAACAATGATGATGACAGAGGTTTGATACTTGGGCCTAAACTTTTCTTTGTTTTTAACAATGAACTGCCATCTGTAGTAATCTTTTCTAAAACTTTTATGTTTGCGGACGACAGTAAATTTTTGAATTGGGTAAGAAGGCTGTCTGAGTGTGATCAGCCACAAAGTGATAGAGTGTATGATTGGCATTCTGTCTGGAAAATGAGTTTTAGTATCCACATTAATTGTACTGTTTCCAAAGCAATGTGAATGCTCTGATTTATAAAACGTAAATGTATAATGTAAATACAAATATCTGTTTCAAAGTCTTTATATATAAGTCTTGTCAGGACTCAGTTAGAATACTGTTTGTCAGATATGGTCTCCTTGTTAAATATCTTTAATTCACAAAGTGGAAATTGTCCAGTGCGAATTTTTGAAATTTTTATGTTTTCAGACACTTATTGATTACAATTCTATCTCTTACACACTGACACTTGTAGACATTTTAAGTCTTTCTTGCCTTGAACAAAGACGGGCATTTTTAGACTATGTCTTCCTTTTCAGATGTGTAAATACTGCTTTGGACTGACCATATTTAATTGATGAAATATGGTGTTTAGTCCCTTACAGGATTTTAATCTAACCTCACATCAGATTGTCATACTTATTTATTGTTGTGTTTAAATAAGTTACAAAGTAATCGTTTACTTATCTTTTTTCCAGTGTAACATCAAATAGCACCATTTTAATAAATATTAACAGTGTAATATGTTGTGGGGTTGGGTAGGGGACAAGTATTACTCTAAAGCAACGACTCGGTGTGCTAGTTTACACATGCTGTCTTCATTGAATGGTTGTATAACTAATGTTTTCATAATGTTTCAGAAAATAATGAAAAGAAAACATGTCCAAGAGTATCAAGTGATGTTACAGAGTTTTTTTGAAATAAAATGTTTGATGAGGGTGAGTACTTTAATATTTACCCTTCTGCTATTTAACAGTTGGGCACATCTAGTGTTTTGTCATTTGGTCAAATCCATTTATGCACATTAACTGTTTTCAGCACAGAAATAGAACAGTAATTTGGTATGTAATTGCATGACAATAATATGCAGGAAAAGTCTTGATTTGATTTTGATCAATCATTTTAGTTCACCTGACTGAAGACCAAAGGGTTACCAAGTTTGTTCAATGCTTTGACCTTGACACACTTGCAAGTTCAAAGTGCTGATAATGGTTCTGATTGGTCAGATCACTTAAGAACTTAAAATTTCTTTTTATCAAGCTGATAAGGGAATGTAGCAAATTAAAAATTAATCTCCATCCTTCAGGTTTCTGTTAACTTCAAGGTAAATGGGGAGGAATGTTTTTTTTATTTGAAATTATTTACATATGTATCCTCTTTACAGATACAAGCTGCATCCATCATTCCTAAAATGAAGCCTTTTCGTAAGGCTGCCGACAGTGCATTAAAACAGGTATGGAAACAGTTTCTGAAAGTCATAAACCTGAGGCAATATGAAAAACTGAAAATTTAATAAGTAAAAAATAATGTTACTATTTTAAAATTATCTGTATGCTATCCCACATTTAACAAACTTAAATTCTCAAACTGCTTTCATTCATCATAAATTGTTTTGTTTTTTTTTCAGGAAAAAATTAGAATCCAGGATAGATATGTTAATGCTGGCTCAAGAGATCATGTTTACTTGATGCACTTAGTGATTGATGAGGTTTTTGGATTAGAGGAATTCTTTTTTGAATTTCGAGCTTTTTTGGACATTTTTCGATCTCAGAATAAGTATTTGATAAGGACACTTGAGTAAGTATTTAGTTTTGATAATTACTTCAAAATATAGTTTCATAAAATAATGAATAAATTTGTTGGAAAGGATGAAAGATCAGTGTCTGGTGATATAAAGTTAAGGATTCAGTTAGGCTGAATAAACTGGATATAGATCATCAGTACTGGAAGCATATAAGATTCGGCGACTCTTTTAGGGTAGGTCAGTAGGGCCCAATTGGGAAAAATATTGGTAAATGATTAAAAACAAAAATGAAAGGAATCATTTCCAGAGTTTTACTTCACTTTATATGATTCATTCTCAAGCAAATAGGATCAAGTCAGCTGGATACAAAAAAATATTGGTGCAAAAGAGGAAATTATTATGAATCTTTGAAAAGTCTCCCAAGTTGGATGGTCATCGTAGTTAATTAGAACTATTCTTTGTGCCATATGAAGCTGGAAGTGTTTTATGCTTGTTAGTTTTCCTATTGGTTCAGTTGTTGTATACCTTGCCTGAAGGGCCAAGTGAGCTTATGCTGTGGCGTGGCATCTGTTGTCCTTCATTTTTTGGACCAACTTTCCATTTAAGCAACTTCTTCTCAGTAGCCAATGGACCAAATGTTTTGATATTTTGGTCGGTATATTCCTAGGACGAAGCCAGACAAAGTGTCGAAAAGGAATGACCTTGACATATATTCATTCGTCATTCTTCAACTTTTTATATCCATCATGTTAACTATCTGTGAACTTTCCTTCCAAATGTCTTCTTATCAATAACGAAAAGCTTCAGGGTGTTGATATTGGGACTGTAGCATGTTGGAATGAAGAGCTACCAAGTTTGTTAAGATGAATGATCTTGACCCACTTTTTAAAGTCATAGGGGTCAGATGTGTTGAAATCTTTAAACAACTTCATTTCAATGATCAAAATCCCATGGGTTCTGATATTGAGCATGTAGCATGCTGAGATGAAGGGGTTCCAACTTTGTTCAAATGAATCACCTTGACTCAATTTGCAAGTAACAGAGGGCAAATGTGTTAAAATTATTAAATGACCACTTCTCAATAATCAAAACGTCAATGGTTCTGATATAAGGCTGTAGCATGCTTGAATGAATAACTATCACATTTCTTCAAATGGATGACCTTCACTCACTCTCAGGGTCTTTGAGATCAAGTATGTTAAAATCTTCAAACAACTTCTTCTCAATAACTGAAAGGTCCAGGCTATTGCTATTTGTTTTGTGACGTAATTTTATCAAGGGCTACCAAATTGATCCACCTTCAAGGTCACTGGGATCACATGGGTTGAGAAATTCTAATTTCCCTGTACAGCAAGGAATAGGTCGGGTCATGGTAATAAAAATAGGGTTTCAGATTTGCAGAAATCAACTTAATGAACTGAAAGAAACTTCTTTGTAAGCTGTAGAGCAGCTGAACATTTCAGGTCCATATGTAGGTCTTTATAGTCAGATAATTATGAAGACTTCATTTCACTACTACTCAAAAACGACTCATCAAATTTTGAAGTTCTTTAAAATCCTTCTTCTCCTGAAAGAATGATTAGATTTTGCAAAAAACTGTCTGAAGCATCCTCGGTTAAGGAGACTTTTTTTTTTTAGTATAAATGATAAATGGTGGGTTGAAGTTATACTGCTCCTATAGGAATGAGTCAAATTTGGTCTGAAGCAACCTTGGGTGAAGGAAAAATAAATTTGTATCTACAGTGGTCAGGGCCCCTTGGGGCAGAGGAGTGAGAACCCATGGGGGGAATACAGTAAATTCTTTAAATTCTTACTACTCCTGTAATAGTGATTGAATTTGGTCTGAATTATTCTTGGGTGAAAGGGAATCAGTTTTGTGGAAGCGATGGGTTTCAACCCCCTGGGTTGGGAGAGACGGGTCCAATATGGCAAACAGAGCAAGTTCTTTAAAGTCCTACTCCTCCTGTATGATTTGTTTTCTTTTTTCCAAACTCCAAACTTTGTTTCAATGCATCCTTGGGTAAAGAGGTATTAGTCTTAAGTAAAACAATGAAAATCAGTCCTCTTGGTCAGTATTTCGACATTGCCCAATAGTGAGATAGAGTCATATGCTTTAGATTCCTGCTCCTCTGTAGAAATGATTGGATTTTTCAAAAACTTGAAGCATTCTTTGGTCAAGGGAGTCAGTTTTGTATGAATGATACAGGTCCTATGCATCTCTTGTTTCATAAATCGTTGGTCTTCGCCCCCCTATAGGAAAAAAAAGCAAAAAGATCGTGAATAAAACTTATAATTGAAATATCTAGGTAAGGGATACTGGGCATGTTGTTTATCATGGTGCTGATGGTGGGCTGTTTAAATTGACCTTCGTCGGTAGTCCATCTGTCCTTCTAAAAATTCTTATTATTACTATTTTTCTAAAATTACTGGATGGATCATTTTCAAATATCGTATGTAGATTTCCGTCAGTTCCTAGTTGAGCATTGTCCCAATATGAAACTGATGAAAAAAACGGGGCTCTGATGTGGCCACCTTTGTTCCCTTTTGATGTTGGGACTGAGCAAGAAAAAAGAAAATAGCCGACCGGCTGTCATCATAGATTTTGACTTTAGATATTTGTTATTGTTATTTCTTGGGATGTCCTTGATGTATCTTTCTCAGGTATCATACATGGGTTCTGATTGGTCCCTAGTTTTTGATCCCGGGACTAATCAAAAGAAACAAAAAGAAATACGGTGGATAGGCAACCATTGTTGATTTGACAGTCTAAGATTATTATTGATATTTTTGAAAAGGGATTTTCAAATTTCTTGCGATAAATTACAAAAACTAAGGAAAAAACGATCAAGCTTATATGAAAACCAAATAAAAATCAAACAATGGTGGGTGCCAAGGTCCTCTGAGATCTCTTGATTATGATTTCAGGAATTATTTCCCAGGGTCAGGGTTGCCATTGCTTGAGGCAGACTATACCATGGTACAAAAAGTAAAAGACCTTACCTCAGAGCAGTTCTTGGAGATCTTTATGGTAAGTAGATATAGTAAAACACCTAACATCAGATCAGTTCTCTGAGATATCCATGTTAAGTAGACATAGTAAAACACCTAACATCAGATCAGTTCTCTGAGATATCCATGTTAAGTAGACATAGTAAAACACCTAACATCAGATCAGTTCTCTGAGATATCCATGTTAAGTAGACATAGTAAAACACCTAACATCAGATCAGTTCTCTGAGATATCCATGTTAAGTAGACATAGTAAAACACCTAACATCAGAGCAGTTCTCTGAGATATCCATGTTAAGTAGACATAGTAAAACACCTAACATCAGAGCAGTTCTATAAGATATTCATGTTAAGTAGACATAGTAAAACACCTAACATCAGATCAGTTCTCTGAGATATCCATGTTAAGTAGACATAGTAAAACACCTAACATCAGATCAGTTCTCTGAGATATCCATGTTAAGTAGACATAGTAAAACACCTAACATCAGAGCAGTTCTCTGAGATATCCATGTTAAGTAGACATAGTAAAACACCTAACATCAGATCAGTTCTCTGAGATATCCATGTTAAGTAGACATAGTAAAACACCTAACATCAGATCAGTTCTCTGAGATATCCATGTTAAGTAGACATAGTAAAACACCTAACATCAGAGCAGTTCTCTGAGATATCCATGTTAAGTAGACATAGTAAAACACCTAACATCAGATCAGTTCTCTGAGATATCCATGTTAAGTAGACATAGTAAAACACCTAACATCAGATCAGTTCTCTGAGATATCCAGTTCTAACATCAGAGCAGTTCTCTGAGATATCCATGTTAAGTAGACATAGTAAAACACCTAACATCAGATCAGCAGTTCAGTTCTCTGAGATATCCATGTTAAGTAGACATAGTAAAACACCTAACATCAGATCAGTTCTCTGAGATATCCAGTTCTCTGAGATATCCATGTTAACATCAGAGCAGTTCTCTAGATATCCAGTAGACATAGTAAAACACCTAACATCAGATCAGTTCTCTGAGATATCCATGTTAAGTAGACATAGTAAAACACCTAACATCAGATCAGTTCTCTGAGACATCCATGTTAAGTAGACATAGTAAAACACCTAACATCAGAGCAGTTCTCTGAGATATCCATGTTAAGTAGACATAGTAAAACACCTAACATCAGATCAGTTCTCTGAGATATCCATGTTAAGTAGACATAGTAAAACACCTCACATCAGAGCAGTAAAACACCAGTTATCCATGTTAAGTAGACATATAACATCAGATCAGTTCTCTGAGATATCCATGTTAAGTAGACATAGTAAAACACCTAACATCAGATCAGTTCTCTGAGATATCCATGTTAAGTAGACATAGTAAAACACCTAACATCAGATCAGTTCTCTGAGATATCCATGTTAAGTAGACATAGTAAAACACCTAACATCAGATCAGTTCTCTGAGATATCCATGTTAAGTAGACATAGTAAAACACCTAACATCAGAGCAGTTCTCTGAGATATCCATGTTAAGTAGACATAGTAAAACACCTAACATCAGATCAGTTCTCTGAGATATCCATGTTAAGTAGACATAGTAAAACACCTAACATCAGAGCAGTTCTCTGAGATATCCATGTTAAGTAGACATAGTAAAACACCTAACATCAGATCAGTTCTCTGAGATATCCATGTTAAGTAGACATAGTAAAACACCTAACATCAGATCAGTTCTCTGAGATATCCATGTTAAGTAAACATAGTAAAACACCTAACATCAGAGCAGTTCTCTGAGATATCCATGTTAAGTAGACATAGTAAAACACCTAACATCAGATCAGTTCTCTGAGATATCCATGTTAAGTAGACATAGTAAAACACCTAACATCAGAGCAGTTCTCTGAGATATCCATGTTAAGTAGACATAGTAAAACACCTAACATCAGATCAGTTCTCTGAGATATCCATGTTAAGTAGACATAGTAAAACACCTAACATCAGATCAGTTCTCTGAGATATCCATGTTAAGTAGACATAGTAAAACACCTAACATCAGATCAGTTCTCTGAGATATCCATGTTAAGTAGACATAGTAAAACACCTAACATCAGAGCAGTTCTCTGAGATATCCATGTTAAGTAGACATAGTAAAACACCTAACATCAGATCAGTTCTCTGAGATATCCATGTTAAGTAGACATAGTAAAACACCTAACATCAGAGCAGTTCTCTGAGATATCCATGTTAAGTAGACATAGTAAAACACCTAACATCAGATCAGTTCTCTGAGGTATCTATGTTAAGTAGACATAGTAAAACACCTAACATCAGAGCAGTTCTCTGAGATATCCATGTTAAGTAGACATAGTAAAACACCTCACATCAGAGCAGTTCTCTGAGATATCCATGTTAAGTAGACATAGTAAAACACCTAACATCAGATCAGTTCTCTGAGATATCCATGTTAAGTAGACATAGTAAAACACCTAACATCAGATCAGTTCTTGGAGATCTTTATGGTAAGTAGACATAGTAAACACCTAACATCAGAGCAGTTCTCTGAGATATCCATGTTAAGTAGACATAGTAAAACACTTAACATCAGAGCAGTTCTATAAGATATTCATGTTAAGTAGACTTGTAAAACACCTAACATCAGATCAGTTCTATGACATATTTACGGGTAGTTGGTAAAATAAATCACCTTACATTAAGGAATATTTTATTTGGATGTTTATGGTAAGTAGAGAATGTAAAACACCTTGCACCAGATCAGTTCTTTGAGAATTAGTAACAGTTGCTGCCATTATTAACCTCTACCAAATAACCTACATTTTTCAGATGGAAACGTTTTACAGCCTGTAAGTCCCAAAGTTAGAAAAAATCTAGACCAATTATATGATGACAAGTTCAGTTCTGATAAGAAATGTTGAAATGATTTCAGTTTTGTCACAAAAATAGTGAAAAGATATTAGAGAGTTGAGAAAGGAATTTGTTTGTTGTTTTCAATATATACAAAAAAAAAAGGGAATATTTAGTGAATTTGAAAGCATTTGTCATCTTCGGTTTGAAAATTCATATGAATGAATTTACAGGCAGGTCCTGAATCTTCAAATAAAATGCTTCATTTTATGTTATTGTGTTCCAGCTGGTCAGAAAAATGGAAAACTACAAAGATCTGTCCTTGATGTTATATGTAAGTTTCTTTTTCTTAAATTTTATAGAGTTGACATTGTTAAGATTGTTTCAAGATTTTACTGTTTACAGGGAAACAACGCCCCAGAATTTGTTAATCCTCGCCATAAATTCACTGTGTTACATCAAACAAATACTTCATCTTCAACATCATACTTTAAACTTACTTTAATCTTGCCCCATGGCAAAACGTAAAAATAGGCCAAAGTTACTGTAGCAAAAGTTTCTCCATATATGGTAAACATTTTTATATTAACATATTTTTCCCTGAACAATTTATCATTGATAAACATCTTAATATCAGTACAGACAATGCTTTGACATTTGTCATTAATTTTTTAAAGCCTTTGACACAATCTGGCATTAAGCCACTGGTCCCTAAGTATTTGCCAGATGGAGCTCTAGATATGAACCAAAGTGGGTTTTTTTATCAATATTATAGTTTACACTAAAATGCCTTTAATCCATTAAACTGTCCTTTGCCTGTCCAGTTTCATCTTTTTCCTTTTAACAACTTCTAAATAACTGTCACACCTAGAGATTTTCTTAGAAGTTCCCTGGATTAAGCACAGCAAAGTATGTGAAAAGAAATGACTCAAATTCAAGATCACAGGGGTCAAATTTGTTAAAACTTTAAACAACTTCTTCTGATTAAACAAAAGGCTTGGAAGCTTGATTTTTGACTGGTAAGTCTCTTAGATGTAGCTTGGCAAATTTTGTAAGGAGTGATCTTGAACCAAATTCAAAATCACAAGGGCAAATTTTTCTCTTCTGTTAAAGCAAAATTCTAAGAGGCAGGATATTTTGTGGGAAGGTATTCCTAGATCAAAGCTCAACAAAACGAAAATAAAAAAAAAATATTAACCTATAATTGTGGTCATAACTGTCACTATTCTGAGTTGGGTTTAAGAATCTTCAGTTTATTTTGGAAATTGAATAACATAAATTGAATGTGCCAATGTTGTACATGTTAAGGTACCAGTGTTTGTGATGGACATTGATTTTCAGGTCAGCAATGCAGGCCCATCAGGCCTCTTGTTAAATCAGCACACGGCAATATATATATAACACTCAACTTCAATGTCATTTACTGTAAATTTTACCGAGAAGGAAGAAGCCATCAAGTTTTTGTGAATAAATATTAAGAGGTTTTGAGGATTGGATCAAAGGCTTCAAATTACTACTATACAGTTTGTCTGCATATATCATTCAGTTGATGGACAAGTTTTCATGTATCTGAACGAGTGTTATAAATGTAATATAGGTTAGTTTGATATTTTCATCCAGAACATATTATCTAACAGTTGCAAATATATTTTTTGAAAGGATGATAAACAAACATTTGTATGTACTTGACAGTGGAGCTTATTATCTCCCTTAGACTGATAACTCTAAGTCATGGACTTGATGTCAGGATGTTTGAATTAGAAATAGGGAAAAAATCAGTACTATCCATGAATGACTAACTGGATTTTGACCAAGTTTGGTCAGAAGCATCTTTATTGAAAGGGGACTCAATTTGGTACAAACAGTGGGTCTGCCTCCTATACCTTGGGCCTTAGGGATGAGCCAAAATGGGAAATTTATGGAGTTCTTGAAAATGCTACTCGTCCTGTAGGAAAGATGGGATATTGACCAAATTTGGTTTAAAGCATTCTTTGGTGATGAGGAATAAATTTTGTATAATGGATGAGCCTCAGCCTTCAAGGGTAAGAGGGATGGGACCTGATATTGGAAATAAAGCAAATTATTTTAAAACAATCTACTCTTACTACTCCTATTGAAATGATTTGGTCTGAAGTATGAATGGTTTGGTGGACCTCTTAGGGACAGAGGGTTAGGTTCAATTGTGTTCTGTGGGCTGAGATTTTCAGAATTACTTTTCCCTAAGTTGTAAGGAAGCAATTTCAGCTAGCGAGACAGGCTCTATTTATTGGGGTTTTAGTTAAGGCTTGTCATTGCTATGTTAATTGCAATACACATGTCAACTTTTAAAGTACTATTATTTACAAGTCAAATTTTTCTCCCTGCCTAACACAAAATATGATAAATGAAAAAGAAGAAGTTATAAAAAACAATCGTTTGAAAGCTTATATTTCCAGAAAAATGAAGGTGGTTTCTACCTACCATCAAGTGAGGGCTTGCAAATCACATTTCTTTTCACTGGTCAGTTAATCTGTACATAAAAAGTGTCTCTGAAAAAACTTTACACAAGATCACAGCTCTGTACTATATACATGATCATTTTGGTCCTCCATTTTGCACTCTTATTGAATAAGATCAGAAAAGTGACATGACCACCAGCCAGCCATCTTTGATTTTGATTATCAAATTTATCAATTTTTCTTGAACGATAGAATGAGTACTGACCAAACCCAAACATGGTTAAATTAAATTTCAGCTTATTAAGGAAAACAAGATATCTACTAGCCATTGACATTGTATATTTTTTTCTTCTATTTGGTAGAAAGTGTAAAAGATCCATGTTCATGATTTCATGTACCACTTCCCCTATATCTTGTATTCTTCAACTTGAGATGGATTGGACAAAAACAAAATGGTCACCTGACACACATCTCTTGTCATACATGTCAAACTTATTACTTATATATGGAAGTAAATGTTTTTTAGTATTGAAATTTTCAGAGATCAAGATGAAGCATTTCCTTCAATCTGAAGTGTGTCCGCTTTAAATTAAGAAAAAATAGCCACTAGACCATTTAGTATTCTGTATAGATATATAAAGGTTATAAACACTCTTATTTGGAAAAAAACTAAAGGAATCCTACTATTTATGCTGCTGGATAGATGAGATGGAGTAGGGACATTTCTCATAGAAATTTGAATTCTATAAATAACTGTATATGCAGACACTTTGTTTAGTGAGGGAATCCACCAACTGTTTTGTCATTACAGTATATATTATTTTTGATATGTGTACAAACCTGTGGAAGCAGAAGGGGATACACCTATTCTTTTTAATTTTCTGCAATTTCATAATGGTGTTATATCTGTCTTACTAGCTTCTGGATAAAATTGGGAGTTTCCCATTAGATGTATGAGATGGCAATTGTTATACAAATTTTTTGGAATGTTTATTGGCTGAAGATCAAGTATTGTTATTCACTGAGGTCCTTAAACAAAAATATTTGTATAATTTTTTAAGTTGCATAAAAGTCTCGAATTGATATTTCTAAACTGTGCTCTGTAGATCTGAATGGCATTTTTATGAATTTGAAACATACGCTCACAAAGAAATGAAGTTTTTGAAAGCTTACAATATTACATGTTTGTCTATTATAACACAATCCTGTAGATACAGGTACCCTGAATTCAGACACTACTACATGGATAGGCGAGGTGGATCACCTATATCTCCTCTTTATATATTTCTAACTTAAATGTTTGATGATTTATGTTGGTTACCCAAAGTTGACCTGAAATACTCATTCAGTATTTATCCAATTAAGCAATGTAGGGCTATGTCTTTCTTGAGAAATTTGATATTTGCAAGTGACCTATTTAGATAATAACTTGTCTGCTCACCCAGCCAAGATGTCAATCATTTTGTTACATTTAGTTCTAAAAATAGAATATAACCATGTGTTTATTTGTTGCTGGGTTTCTGCCCTTGACTCTGGTCTTTTTCCAAACAGATTATAGATATTGTATTTGGGTTTTCTAATACTAAAATAACTGCTTTTGTTAGGACAAATTTATATTTCAATGTGATTTAGAGATAAGAAATTCTTGGGGGTTTACCTAAACATTTATATATGTCATTATTGTATGAAACTGTTAACAAAGCAGACTTGCAATACAAAATATTTCCACTATACCTAAACATTTATATACGTCATTATTGTATGAAACTGTTAACAAAGCAGACTTGCAATACAAAATATTTCCACTATACCTAAACATTTATATACGTCATTATTGTATGAAACTGTTAACAAAGCAGACTTGCAATACAAAATATTTCCACTATACCTAAACATTTATATACGTCATTATTGTATGAAACTGTTAACAAAGCAGACTTGCAATACAAAATATTTCCCTAAGCAATGAGATATCAATGATCCAGAGGGTTGTTTACCGATCTACTTCCTTTAAGTTATGGTTAGTCATTTATACATGACTTTATTGAGTAAAACACTAATCTAATCATCTTTTACAGACATGTAGTAGTGGCTCAGGTTTAACACTTATATAAAACATCAAGTGGTGTTTTACACATGTTATGTTACATGGAATTTGTTTTGGAGGGGTGGGGGAAGGGGAGTATATAGTTGCCACTTTGTCCATCCGTCTGTCCGTCCTTTCATGTCTGGAGTTTAATTTTGCCCACAGTCAAGCAAGGATCATGAAACTTGTATACATTCGTCATACTAAGACAGTGTACACTGTATCATATTCAGGGCCTTCAAGCTCTCAATTACAGAGTTATTGTCCTATGTCAAAATTGTGTGTACAAAGCATAACGTTGCTCGCATTTCAAATATAAATGTAGGTTAATGGTGTTTACATTTGTCATACTAAACAATGTGCAGTGTACCAAACTCAGGTCCACATATAGTTACTGTCAATGTAGGTCAGAGATCCATCTGTTGAGATCTTAGTGCTTTCAATGTCAACATAGATTCAGTCAGATTTAACATTGTAAGTAAATGACCAGGCCAGATTCAAAGTATAAATGTTATTATTTTGAATAGGTCATAGTTTAAACAATTATCACAAGATTCACACAGATAACTTCACATTCTATTTCACAAATACTGTTCATTCCTTAACAGTTATGAATAAAAATATCTCCCGATTCCTTAAGAGCTTATGAGCCCCAAATCATCCAATAAGTCACATTAGTAAGTACTTGTCAGACTTAACACTAAATAATTAGTTCACTTGTGTCACAGCCATCCATTGTAATAAATAAGTAAACCACAAATCCTTGATTAATTCATAAGTAAAAAGTTGAAATATCCCAATCTTATGAAT